ACGACGTCCCTCGTCCCAAGATGAACGACGGTCTTTTAGAGATTTACATGCGACACTTCTACGCTCGGGGTTGGCTCTCCCGCCCTCCTCGTCGCGAACAAGTCAACGGCGTCGCCAAAAAGTGCCGCAAGGGCCGCCTCGCAGGAAAAGTCGCCGTCGTAACAGGTGCATCTTCCGGAATCGGCGCCGCAGTAGCTGCTGGTCTCGCCAAAGAAGGCGCCCACGTTGCCGTCGCTGCTCGTCGAACTGAAGCCCTCGAAGGCGTCAAGAAGAAGATCAGCGTCTACGGTGGTAAAGTTCTTATTCACAAGACAGATGTCACGAATAAGGCTCAGGTGGAGTCTCTTATGAAAGAGGCTACTGAACAGCTTGGGCCGGTTGATATCCTTGTTAGTTGCGCGGGTGTAATGTACTTCACCATGATGGCGAATAACCAGACCGACGAGTGGGAGCGCACCGTCGACGTCAACTGCAAGGGTCTTCTGCACTGCCTGTCATCCACAGTTCCAGGCATGTTGTCCCGTGGAGCAGGCCACATTGTGGCTATTTCCTCCGACGCAGGCCGCAAGGTCTTCCCGGGTCTGGGCGTCTACTCCGCGAGTAAATTCTTTGTCGAAGCGACGCTCCAGGCCTTGCGTCTGGAGACTGCAGGCTCTGGTCTACGGGTCACGGCCGTGCAGCCTGGAAATGTGGCGACGGACCTGTTGGGCATGTCGACCGACCAGGAGGCGCTGAAGAAGTACGGTGAGCCTACGGGTGCCGAGGTTCTTAAGCCTGAGGAGGTTGCTAGCGCTATTGTTTATGCTGTGTGTCAACCGCCGCATGTTGCTGTTAATGAGGTTCTTATTGAGCCTCGTGATGAGCCGATTTAAATTTATGCATGGCGTGAAACAAAATTTGTATCTAGATTTGTGATCTCAGGAATTTCTTCTCTTGTTTGTTTGCTTTATCGGATCATGATGATGAGCTGAATCACGAGATGTTGGGATGGAAAATGAATAGTGTTTAGGCTTGCATGTTTCACCACGTGGGGGAAGGGATGGAGAGACATTAATGAGTTTGTAAAACTGATGAATTGACGAAAGATCTGTTAAACCGTCTCGAGTTGATTAACTTCATCTATACTATTCCGCAGTGACATGTCCCTGAATCCGAAAATACAAGAATCACCTTGCCAAGGGGCACTTCGTCTATTCAGGCGTGGCACGGTTGTCTGCCGATTTCCGGCTTGTCAGGGACTAATTAATTGTAGGCGGAAGAATAGACGATGTTTATTATTATGCATAGGCGACGTTCCTTGGCCGCATGCCATCCTGAAACAAGGGAGTTGGTGTTTGTCGGAGGCGGGTTTCGAAGTTTTGGAGGAGAGTTTTTCCGTGGATGAGAAGCGTTTGTTTGGAGGGGGATACAGGGCTGGGTTGATCCACTTTACAGGGGGGCTTTATGCTATCGCGATGATGTTATGCTTGTTGTTAGTGCTGAAGCCACTAAATCGTCGTATTAGATGCGAAATATCTGTATACAAAAATATCTAATTGAAGATGTTGTAAGTATTGTGATATTCTCATGTGAAGAATATGAGGAGTTGGTCATTATAAATAAGCGACAAACACCGGAATAATCCTCTTTAATTAATCTCGGCGGTTCAAGACATTTTCTATCATTCCATCTTGAGGCTCAAACATAGCCGTTGGATGTTCCACCAATGATCTTAGCGCCCCTTGCGCTGGCTCCAAACAGGCCCTGACAAGGGGTTGATAGATACAGTGGGGAAGACCTAAGAGCGGTTGACAGGCCGGACGAATTGTCTTTTGGCAGATTCGAATTCCGGTGAAGTCGGGTCTTGGCGACGGTGTAAGACATGGGACCGATCGCTTAGAAAGGGAGACGAGGTGTAAGTGTTTGGTTTGGAGAGACGAAACGGGATGAGTGACATGTTTTGCCGAGAAACCAAACATGTTTGTATGAACAGAGAATCATAGTAGATGTGAATTTGGTTTGGTTCGAAGGATAGAGATAGATTCAAGAATAAAGAACAAGGTGATAGAGTAACATGATCTGCTTTGTTCTAGACCGGCGCTTGTAGCTTAAACCCCAGCATCACTCATTGCCGCCGTCAACCACCCCCCGTCCGACTTACACTCAACGACAAGGATCACTAACATCAACGAGATTGACTACGGAGCGAGGCCCACGGTCCACCGCCTCGCCTCAGACGCCGAGTATCAGATCCCCATCGCTAAACCCTGTGTAGAAGTCATCCGCCGAGCCTTGTCTTGAGTATATATCCAACTTGATCACCCTCTCTTTTTTCCTCGATTCTCCTCTCCTCAACCTCTATTCTTTCACGGACCTCGAAGGACCAGATTCGCCATTCTTTTTTCTTGTACTTTTTTGTACTTCACTTTCATTCCAATATTCACTTTCGTTCAGAGCCTTGACGGCCGTTCAATTCACAACCACTCTTTAACAAACTTACATCTGGTCCTAGAGACTCTCACGAATCAATTCAAAAACTACCCAAACTGTTTTTTATTTGCATAAAACTTACCGCCAAAATGAAGAACGCTGCCGCCCTTCTTACTCTTCTCCCCCTCGTCGCCGCCCACGGCTTCGTCAAGTCTCCTCCTCCCCGCAAGCCCGGCAACGCCTTCAAGGCTGCTTGCGGTGAGCAGCCATTCTACCAGCAGTCGGCTGACATCAACGGCAACGTCCAGGGCATCAAGCAGGTCGTCGGATCCAACTTTGACGCCAAGGACTGCAACCTCTGGCTGTGCAAGGGTTTCCAGTTCGACGACAACAAGGACAATGTTCAGAGCTACAAGCTCGGTGAGAAGATTGACTTTGACGTCAACATTGCTGCTCCTCACACTGGTTACGCCAACGTCTCCGTTGTCAAGACCTCCACTGATAAGATGATTGGAGAGCCTCTTATCGAGTTTGAGAACTATGCTGCCAACGCGGGTCTTAACCCCAACAACACTGCCTTTAGCGTCACTCTTCCCGAGAGCTTGGGTGGTGAGTGCACCAAGGCTGGAGACTGTGTTCTCCAGTGGTTCTGGGATGCTCCTGATATCGACCAGACCTACGAGTCTTGCGTTGACTTTGTCGTCGGTGGCTCTGGCTCTGGTTCCGGCTCTGGTGCCACCAAGCCTTCTTCCGCTGACTCTGCCCCCGTTGCTACCTCCGCCCCTGCCGCTGAGAAGCCCGCCACCACTCTCGAGGCCGTCGCTGTTACTTCTTCCGCCCTCGGCCCCATCTTCGAGAGTGTGACCACCGCCGTTCCCGAGCCCACTGCTGCCCCTGATGCCGGCGACGACGAGGACTGCGATGACGATGAGCCCGTTGACGAGGGTGACGATGAGGACTGTGACGACGAGGATGAGCCCACCCCCTCTGCTGCCGCTGAGCCTGAGACTGGTGATGACGAGGACTGCGATGAGGAGCCCGAGACCGGTGATGATGATGAGGAGTGCCCTGCCGACGATGGTGATGAGTACGACACCCAGCCCGCGACACCCAGCAACAAGGCCCAAGGAATTTCCGCAGCCGCTAACACAGCCGCAGTTACTAAGACTCAGAACAACGCTTACCCCGTGCCTAAGCCCACTGGAAAGAGCTCATCTGACAAGACTGGATCCGGCTCCAAGGGCACCAACAACAACAATAACGCTGGTGGCAACAACTACAACAATGCTGGTAGCAACACTGTCGTGACTTCATATGTTACTGTTGCTGCTGAGACCCACTACGTCACCGTCACTGCTGACGCTCCTGCTTGCACTGCTTGAGTGTAAGTGGTGATGTGTGTGTATAAGATTCTTTGGGGCTGTTGTTTGTTTTGGAGGGGTATATATTATTCATTTGATGTAGATAATTACTTATGGGTAGCCTCCTGTGGGGGTATTCAATGTGAGATATTTGAGGAATCTGTTTCGTTCTTTTCGGTGAAGTTATACGTTGAAGAATTAAGCTGGTTATGAAGTGGTTGGTTCGTGGAGGTGTTGAGTGACTTGCCTGAATAGGCAATTAACACGGCCCGGTACGGGGCTGAGACACCGGAGCTCAACTCCAAATGTCTTGGGCTGAGCGCTATACCCCGGAGCTCTTTAGCGGGTACACTTGAAGTGATTTTTATCTCAAGGTAGAGGTAAGCCCGCGGTCTTTTGCTATTGTTAATATGCCAATTGCTTTGAATTAAAATCACTAGTCGAGGCTATTGATGCATCCAATCCTTCCAAGGTCAAAGGAATGTTTGCGTTACGTACATGAGCATCCGTCCCAACAACTTGCTCACAGCAGCTTATTTTTGGCAGCCTGCTTCTCTTGTTTTACACAATTGGTGGGCCTCCACGTACGTAGGGAAGCTTGACTCCCGCCTTGCACATTGCTGCAGTGTATCATGACCTTTCTTGGTGTTCTGTGGCTTATGCACCGCTTAGGCATTTCCTCCATCTGATTGGAGTGGCTCAAGTAATTCACAAAGATTGGAAGAAAAGTGAGACTGCTGCCTGGTAACATTGCTTTTGGAGGGCTTTCAGCTGAACCTTAGTCCCGACTCCCTGTTTCTAGCCCTCAGAGGATTAATTGATCTCCTGGAGAATGATCGTCATTAGTAGCAGAGTAACAGCGAAGCAGTCTTCGATCCATGATACGAACGTCTTGAACCAAACTTGCGTCATTTCATGGCATCAATACTGTACCTTACCATGGTTAATTACTCATCCCTGCACCTGTATGTCTGTGGTATCCCTGTGAGGCTGTGACGAACACTTCATCGTGCTTCTGAAAATGAGACACATCATCTGGTCTCAGACTCAGATCCCTGCGGGGCATCGTGAATCATTGCTACGTGGTTGGATCATCTCTGCATGATGTACCTAAAAGAACAAGCAGTGCCCAACCACTGAACAATCTGAGTCCTTTTTCTCCCTTCTTATTTTAATCTAACTTAATATACCGGCAGGGAAAAAACGTGCGTTGAGCAAGCCACCAACACAATGGGACCACCACCTTTGACGTATTCCGAGTCTGCGTCACCGGAAATTGAACCACACGAGCGGGTTCTGGCTAATTTGATTGATGACGAGGATGGCGAGTCGAGCCCTGAGGGTATGTCGACGGTGTCGATAACCAGCAGTATTCTTGCGTACCGAAAGCGTTACGGACGGACATATGAGAATATTCAGTCGACTGAGTATTGGGCGCCTAATGATGAGCAGCAGAATGAGGGTCTGGATCTCACTCATGCCGCACTGTTCTTTACACTCGGCGAGGAATTGTTTCTTGCGCCTATTCAAGACCAACCGAAACGTGTGTTGGATATCGGCACGGGGACGGGGATCTGGGCAATCGACTTTGGAGATGAACACCCAGAGGCTGAAGTTACAGGCACTGATCTAAGTCCTATTCAACCAGTCGTGGTTCCTCCAAACGTCAAGTTCGTCATTGACGATTGTCTGCTCCACTGGGCGTGGCCTGAGGATCATTTCGACTTTATTCACATTCGCGCCATGTACGGCAGTGTTCCCGACTGGGTCGATCTGTATAGCAAAGCATATACCCACCTTGCACCAGGAGGCTGGATCCAAGATCTAGAAATGGACGTCAAGATCCAGTCCGATCACGTCAAGCTGCCTCCCGAGCACGTCTTCAACGTCTGGGCAGACGCATTCTACCGCGCCGGTGAGCAAATGGGCCGTTCATTCGACATCTGCAAAGGCCACACGATGCGTGACAATCTCAGAGCAGCAGGCTTCGTCGACATTGCCGAGAAGAAGATCAAAGCGCCCATGCACTCATGGCCCAGCGACCCAAAGCTAAGACAAGCCGGAGAACTATTCCAAAAGGCGCTAGAGCAGAGTGTCGAAGGGTATGCGAATTTACTGCTCATGGATCTGCTTGGGTGGTACAGAGAGGAGGTCGAAGTGTTGTTGGGGCAGTATCGTAAGGAGATGAGGGATAAGAGTAAATGTGCATGGGTTGAGACGTGAGTTGTGCCCTTATTGTAGGAGCGAACGTGGTTTTGCTGACGATTTATAGGACGATTGTATATGGACGAAAACCATTTGGTGATGAGACGACGACGGACTAGACGCCTTTAAGGTCAGGATTGAAGAGATCTGCTCCTCTGATGTACAAATCCATTGAGAAATCTTGGCCGGCATCAGAGAGATAAGAATATGGACCGCTGTCCTTTCGAAAGTCCGTGGGAAGAAGAATACAACAGTAGACTACACTCTCTGCAGTGTGACTTGAGACTGCTTGATGGAGGGGAATGGCTCACGATGCTGAACAACAGTCAATCATCTATCTTCAACCTCATCCGCGCCCTACAGAATTATGAACATGCTTAACCACGAAGTCCCTATTGCCGTCAAAGTTAAGCTGTATCCAGTTCCCGACCATAAAGATACCTAAGCTTCTTTTGTCCACGACAGATGGTGGCTCCTCACTTCCCGTCCACCATCCGCCCACCATTCCGAAAGCAGTCATTTAATCAAGCCTCATCTTCAGCAACGAACTGACAGCTCACTTCCTGCCGAGACAACCGAGATCTATGATTCAATTTTAAACTATAGCGGCTGAACACGAAATGCCTAGACGGCAATGAGTGTGCAGAGTGAAAGGGGGCTAGGGGGAACATGACGGGGAGGAATGTTGGCTGTCTCAGGGAGAAGCTTATCGAGTTGGGGGTTAACTAATCCGGTAATTGGCTTTTTCAGATCTGCGATGTTAATACAGGGGTGGGAATGTGAAAATACGGTTATCTATCATGGCTAGTAGGGATTGATGGGACTTGGCAGATGATAGTGGGAGTTCGATCAGTTCAGCTGCTTTTGGGGATGATGAATGTAATCATAATGCGATCAGGATCTTCAGCAGACCCCCTGGAGGCGGAGTGATTTGATGATACAGTAGATATTCATGGGGTATCAGTCTTCACCAATCTAAAATACTACTGTCATGCTCTTCAGTTCAAACTCCAACAAGAACCACATCTCTAGCCATGGATCGCAGCGATCGCCATCTCCTCGTCAATACCAGACCGCTCAGCGAAAACTCAAGACTGCGTTACACCAAACTCTCCGATCTACAGCCAAGATCTTTTGTACGAGGAGAAGGCTTGGCCGGAAAGAAAACACCCAGCTCCAGACCTGCAGCTTTTGGCGTGAGCAGGCCCGGTGTTTTTCTTTCTCCTCGAACGCAGGGGGAATGTTACAGCCCAATCTAAGGTTTTGCCTCAGGAACTTGCAGATCCTCCCGCTCTCTAGCGATCACTAGAGTTAAGCCTTTTATTTCTGTAGAAGGAGGATAGGATCGGCGTTCAATGATGTACCTGAGACCTTGTTCGAGAGAGTATAAGGCTGTGATGTCCTCTCAGTGCCAAGGACTCATCAGCTCCGGCAGCTCTTCTCCTTCGTCTTCTAATTTTTCTTCACAGTTTCTTATTACTGCTCATAATGAAGTTGGAAATCTTCCTCACAGTGACACTCTTCACTGGTGTCTTGGCTGCCCCTGTGTTCAAGACAGTCACCGTCAGAGATGAGACACTTGAGGCTCGTCGACTGCTCGACTATGCCACTCCTCGCATAGGCGTCACTGCCGCTACATCAAAGAAAGAGCCTGCATCTCGCGTCAAGCGCTCAATCAGCCGCAAGAGTTTGAACTTGGTCAGCTTGGTAGATCGCGTTGCTGGGAAGATCAAGAACAGGTGTGATGACATCGGTACGAACAACATGCCCACATTCACAGTCCCGTTGCTAATAATTATGCCAGAGTCTGCTGTTGAGGCTACTCAAAATGAAAAGCTGTCGAAAGACAAGGCTGTACATAAAGTAGTCCGCAAGATGAACAGCATCAGAGCAACACTGTCCCGAACAGTCTCCATTCTTGACAGGACTCCTACTCTTGATCTCACCCAGGAAGATAGCCAAAATCTTATCCGCCATGTCTACACCATCACAAAGGAGTTACACAACACAGTCAAAGACTCCGTCAACACACTTGGAGGAACAGGAGCTCGCTCCATGTCTCGAGCAACTCACATGTTCGCCGATGTACTTAGCAACATCGTCACAATCAACCCAGATATCACTTCAGACATATATCACAAGCTGAAGCCCATTTTCTCAGACATGGTTCCTACCGATGAAGACGATCTTCAAGCCTTCATCATGAGCTCAGTGACAGAGTTCTTATCATCCATCAAACCCGATGATCTTGACTCAGATACTGCATGTAGCTCTGGAGATTGTTTTAACAGTCCAAAAGAAGACCTGAGATAACGGAATTAATCACGGCGCAAATTCATTTTCTTTTAGGCTCTTATGTGTGTAACGAGAAACGGCCGGAATAATGACAGCAACATGGATGGAGAACTACTGAATCATCACGATCTTTACGAAAATAACTACATAGCATTTTAAGATCTTAGCATAGCCCTCACTTAATTTATTTTGTCACGAGAACTTATGGTTTTGTAATTTAAGTGAAGATTACAATAAAAGAAACTCGGTGACCTGTCTCCACCTAAGAAAAACAAAACAACCTGCATCACTCACCAAACCAATATGCATCTTCTCCAAGATCTACGCATGGGTCACAAAGATAGCCCACTGTGGTTATAGCCCGTGCACGATTCTCTGGAGATAACCCGGATATCATAAAAGTATTTAGTATCAAAGCAACACGCCTCACAACTTCTTATAGCTGCAACTAAATTAGCTACCGTTGAGCCGTCACAAATGTCTATCGTTTGAAAACCAGAATGATTATTTATCAGGGCACCCTACCTTCTGCGCAAGTACAGCAAGGAATACTAAGAGCTACTGCGTTATCTTGCTACATCTCCATCAAAACACCACAGACATCAGATGAATCCAAACTTGAAGCAATAGCAATATGTGGAGTATTATTCCCAAGAACCAGATAACCACCCTATCCAAACGCCGTCCCAGCTACTAATACCAATCGTACATATCTATCCCATCACCATCATCTCACTCCCCGTCTCTCCCCCGCCCTCGCAAGTCTCTCCTTCGCCGCCTCAACAACACTCCTCCTCAGCGGCTGCACTTCTCCCTCTCCCTCATCCTCACCATCCTTCACAACAGTCCACTTCTTCGCGGAACCTTGCATACCTGCCCATAAATCCGTCGGCAGAAACTCGCCTACATCCTGTCGGAACGCCTCGCGCGATAGGCGATCTGTGTAGAGGAGCTTATCAACGTTTTCTTGTGCCTTGCGCCAGATGCTGCGCACGCGATCGTCTACTGCGCGACGGCGCTCGACCTCGAGAATTAGACTGTCGTACGCACTCGCGTAGCGTTCGTAGAAGTCCTTGAGTTGCTGCATCTCCTGTAGTTTGGCAAAGACGCTTTCCTTCTCCATATCCCATTGTGTTTTAAAGTCTCCCTCGGCGGCGAGGTAATCTGCGAGTCGATCGCCAATATCGCCCAAGATGGCATATGCCTGTAGCATGCCCGTGTAGGCCTGCTTCGAAATATCATGCTGTTCCTGCAGCACTGTGTAATCCTGCTCCATTGCCGTGAGGCGCTCTTGTATTTCCTGTACTACGTCGTCAACCTCGCGTGCGTCTTGCACGACGACTTTTAACATCTCAGCTCGGTCTTTCGCCGTTTTGGGTTCGAGGTCGGACACATTAGACTCTTGTTCGGCGATGACGCCTGAAATGGAGACCCCGTCGTTTCCTTGGGACTGTGTAGCCTCGGCAGCTCTACGGCGAGCGAGAGCTACGCCGCCTTCGGTCGTTCGGATCGCGGTGACGCACATATCGAAGTGATGGGTCAGCGATGCGAGGAGCTGAGCCATGTTGGCTGAATGATCGACTAGACTCTCGAGGATCTCGCCGGTCGATGGATTATTGCCCTGTGGTATATCCTGTATGCTCGGCGTATCGGCGACCACCTTCTTCAGGTTCCGGATATCGTTATCGAAACGGAGTAGATCCCCATCAAAAGATTGCTGAATAGCCTTGTCTTTGTCAGTGGATGATTGGCGATAGCTTCAGTTGGGAAGCTTACCTGTAGCTCCTGGATGCTTTGCTTCATCGCCTCGCGCACTCCATCCACGCCTCCTTCATCGATAAAGTCAAGAAGACTTCGTCTCTCTTCACCCTGAGGTCTGAAAACACTTTCGACCCCAGTCTCACGCAGCATCTCCATAGTATGATCAAGCTGCCCGTCGACCAAGTCCATCGACTTGACAAGCTTTCGGAAGTCCTTCTTTCCCCACTCATAAGTGCTTTGCAAGCTCCTCCTTGTTCTTACAAGTATCGCAGTCTGATCGAGTATAGAAGTTCGAAGAAAGCCCGCTTGCGCAGCTAGGATGGATACATCATCATGTGACTGCCTAGCATCATTCGCGATCTCATTCGCACGAAGAACAAGTGTCATAGAAGAAAGCGATCGTTTTGCGACGAGGAGGTGGTTAACGAGAGTGTCGATATCGATGGACGACGAGGTGGAAAGTCGAGATTGTGTTGCTGATCGTGGATGCGAATGTCCAGACGAGGCTCCGGATGAGTCGCCATGACTACGGCGCAAAGAGCTTTTAGAAGAAGAAGATGCCATGATGAATGTGATGTAAATGTTAGATACTAGTATTCACTCATGACTACATGATGGGAGCGATGGTAATAGATGATACAAGAAAAATAAGTGGTAATAATTACACGAGATGAAAAGAAGAAAGTTAAAGAGAGACGGACGGGACGGGGAGCTTGACGATGACGGAACTTGGGTGCGATAAGCTTCCGTTATCGCACCCACTTTCCATGAAGGCTCCACACACTCTAGGCAGCTGACGCCTCCAAAAAGCTCGGTTACAGGAGCTGACTCGTGATTTCAGGGACTAACCCAGCGGGTCTAGGCAGGTTTAGCGAATCGCTATAGGCTGTCTCATGTGTCTCAGGACCTGCAGTTTGTCTTTCTGTTTGGGACCTGGAACGTGGAATTTCCATTCCTGTTTTTTGTTTGCACGTGGAAAGGCTGATGCCGCCATTTGTGTTACTTTGTCGCAAGTCTCACATCAATCGACTCAAAATGGCATAATTTCACAACCGTGTAGAAACGTAAGGTTGTTTGTTTGCAATTGTAATTCATTGTTCAAAACATTCTTGATATCGGCTAAAAAAGTTCATGTCATCAATCCTGAAAGAATCCCAACACCTGCGCCTATCCTCCATCCATCCTATTCCCAAAGCATCAAATATTAACCTATAATCTAAATCATCTCGATACCGTATACCCTCGAGTCATGATCATTCTAGAATCTCTAATGCGCTCTCTTAATCTCAAACAAAATTCCATAATCAAGCCTTATCGGCTGGCAGGAGGGAACTCCAACCTCCGATCATGCTCATAAGGTGTCGGTGCTGGAGAATTAACCCTCGTTGTAAAAGCAGAGTCAATGTGGAAATAGCTCTGAATAGAAGAATACTTCTCCCCAGAGGTATTCTCATCTTCCACGTATTTACCATCTTTGCGGATGACAGGGGGATACGACCTGTCGTCATCTTGCTTCGTCTTGGAAGCATCTTTGTCGTCGGCTCGTCCACCGCCCGCGTTGGACTGAGCGTTGTCGAGATCTGCGGCGCCCTTGGAACCCATGCCGCCCTCTAGAAGCTCACCGCCTTCCATGACGGTGCGCAGCTCGAGATTCTCGTCTTTGGAGTACACGCGCACGCCGACGATGCAGATGGCGTTCCAGGGCTCGGGCATCTTTTCTTCCTCCGAATCGTAGTCGTCTTGGGCGGCGGCTTGGCCAGCTTGGGTGAGGCGAGGCTTGCGGGCCATGTCGTCGCTGCTGTAAAGAGCTTCCCAGTCTTCGACGGGAGAGTCGGATGACTCGCCTGCGGAGTCGTAGGCTGGTCGAGGGCGGATGGGAAGAGGCTCTTCTTCCTCGACGGGAGCGGGAGGTCCTCCACTGACTGGTGGAACTTCCTGCCTCTCTTCCGCACCCTCGGCGGTTGAGTCCATAGACTTGGGAGTCAAGTGAGGCGATCCAGTCGAGACAGAAATAACCGCATCGTCATGATCCTTGTGATGCTCATCAACGACAACAGGCTCATCCTTGTCATCTGAAATCTTGATCTCCTCAGCCTTCTTGCTCAAAGCCTCGTCATCAGCCTCTTGAGCTCTCTTCTCAGCTTCAGCAGCCTTCTCCGCTTCAGCCTTAGCAAGCCTCTCCTTCTTCATCTGCTCGCGCTCAGCCTTGACCTTGACGTTAAACTCCTCATCGAGACGATTCTGCTCAGCCTCCCACTCTGCGCGACGACGCTTTCTCTTGTCCAGGTTCTTCTTGCTCTGTTGCTTGGTAACGTCGCGGTTAGTGGAGCGCTTCTCCCACATTCGGCGACGTTCCTTCTGACGACAGGCAGAAGCCTTTTGCTGATCCTTCTTCTGACGAAGCTTGGTCACCTTGTCCATGTGATCCCAAGCCTTGCTATGAGCTAGATCGTAGGCGTAGCCAACTTGAGCAAGCTTCTCGTTCTCAGTCCTATCAGCAGCCTCGCGCTTGACGACCTGCTCAACAGACTGAGCATTAGAGTCTCGCTCGCCAGTGACCTTGAGGTAGACAACATAGTTGCCAGCAGGAAGATCAGGCAACTCAACAGAAACAGAACGCTCCATGAGATAGTTGCCGTGAGATCGGACAATGTAGTCCTCGGCATTAGGACTATCCTCGTAGTGAAGTCGGAAGTGCAGACGGAAGGAGTACTGCCCATGGAGACCCTTGAAGTATCGACCATCAAGCTGTGAAAGAACCAGAACAAGAGGAGAATCCTGGGTCAACTTGATGTGGAACTTCTCATGGTAAGCCGCTTTCCACGGGACATCAACACCAATCCAGCGCTGGCAGCATCGCCAGTCGCGATCGCGGAAGAGTCGAGTACGGTCGAAGTGAGAATATTTCCGAATGAGATCCTCGTAAGAAATCCAGAAAACAGAGTCGCTGCCGAACTTGTGGTCCATCTCCTCCTGCACCTCAGTAGTCCACTCCTTGGACCCATCACTCCAAGCTCCCTCCCAAATACCCTTTCGGACCTTGCCCCAAGGGTTGCGAAGCTTGACCAAACGCTGGCCAGACTTTAGAGTACGAGCCTCCATGACGACGTAGGCGTGTCCTTCGGAGATACCATTGCGCTCACCGTAGCCGTGCTCAAGAAGACCAGTGGAGGCGCCAAAGAGAAACTCATCGTTGACTCGTGACATCTCCTTATCCCAGAATTCGTCGATATCGAGAATGTCAGACGTCAAGAGCTCGGTAGTAACTCCACCAGAGAGATCTTCAACACCCTCACCAATCCAGCCACCCGCCAATGACGCATAGTCACCATGAGCCTTGGCGTAGGCCTTCTCGAAGAGAGGGACCCAAGTCTCATTCTGATCTCTGCACTGAGCAAAGAAAAGCGACTTAGAGCCAGTCTGATACGTCTTGCGATAAACGTTCTCGTTATCCTCACGATCGATCTGCTGCAGAAGATCTCTCTGCATGGAGGGGGAATCCCACAATGGGGACTTGAGATAGAGTTTATCGTCGATGATGGAGTAGATCCATTCGCCATCACGATAAAAGACAAATCCGTAAATGCCGATCTTTGTGTCATGGGCAACGCAGATCCGCTGTAGACCTCCTGGAACGTTGGCGAGGGCCGTTAGGCCAGCCATGATCCAGCAGTCACCTAGACTTCCCTGCTTGACGTCACCACCACTAACATCTTTCATGAAGGTGGGATTCTCAAAGATCTCGTGCACGCGCTTGACGGCCTTGGGAACAGCCGCCTTTGAGCTGAGCAGCGTTGTCCTGTTGAGTTCAAACTTTTGCGATCCCAGGTTATTCAAGCAGTGACCCTTCTCATACTTGAGATCCCAATCCTAGTAAATGCATTAGTGTCAAATTCATGCGAACTACAACGACAAACTCACTAAATCCCAACCAGGATCTCGATATCGCATATTCACTCGCTTGCATTCTTTGATGATCTTCTCAACCTTTCGTCGACATTCCTCAGCGGCTCGCTCGTAACCGGCCGATAAGAGCTCGTTGGAATGGTAGGTAGCTGGAGGTTGCACGGGGTCGAATGGAAGGACGGCGAGAGCCTTGTGAAACTTGCGCTTAGAGAACTTCTTCCAAATGCGGTTGATGGACTTTTGAGGTGGGAGCTTCTTCTTTTTCTTCTTCTTCTGGTCGTTGTTGTTGGTGGTGGCAGGTTGCGCCCGAGGCCGACGAGGGTCGTCGGACTCTTCTGATGAGCTGTAACCGTGCATTGTGATGAATATGATATATAGTAGATTAAAGAAAGAATGGCCTCCCAAGGAGTAGATTTGCTATCTTGAGTGAGGATGGTACGGTGTAAGGTGGGTTGGGCGTATCTTGTTGAGCCGCAAGACCAGATGGTACACCCTTCGAGAGTATAAGAGATTGAGAAGGTATGGCAAGGAACCAATATCCCGTTAAGAACTGAAAGGAAATCGAAAAGAAAAGGACGAAACCGAGGTCGGAGGAAAGAAGGGGTCTATATATGACAAGATTCGAGCGAGGAAATGGGAATGCTATTCACTGCCGCACTAGTCGTCCGCCACCACCCATCAACCCAAGTCCCCAGACCAAGGGTCCACGGACACACGACATGCCTGCACAGTACAGCTTCACCGACGGAAACTGGAAGGGCTCGTCTTGTTCCTCACCAGCAAAACAAAGCTGTCGAGGTACGGAGTACAGTACCCGCAGTCGGCCACCCTATCGATAGACATTCTCGAATGGCACCATTTGATGCACGGAGCACCGGACAGTGTGGATTCGAGAGCAGCAAGGGTCGCATCCCCGGAACTGGAAAGTATAAAATGTACAGTACGGAGCTAGTACCGATACCCGGCCTGTGGAAAGAGAGACATTGTCTTTGTCTCATCCCAGTAAAACCAGGCGCCTATATTAATTTCACGGAAAGAGTGATTTCGAACCCGGTTGCATGGCACAGGGTGCTGAGCAATTCCCCCTTCTGGCCGTGTTGATTCCAGACCGCTCTCTCAAGGCGTTGACGCTCAACCATGTGTCTGACACCTCGACACCCTTTACTTTCCGATGACATTCTTCTTTGACGACGGACAGTCCGAGGTCGGGTAGACTCCATAGGTGACAAAGTAGACGAGGCAGTGCTGTACTGTACAACAAAGCGAAGCACGAGAGGTCTGTCGAATCTTCTGTCTCGTTGAAACAAAGATCTAGTAATCCGCTATGGGGAATGGCTTCGAAATTCCCTTTGATCCGATTCGTCGACAACAGCGAGGCTAGAGCCCCTGAGTCGAGTCGTTGACCCGGCCAGTGGGTCCCAGGTTTCTAGGGGTCCAACCTAGAACGTAGGGGTTCTGGGGGCCACCCTAGACCGTCACTCCTTCAAGGTACTTTGGCGAGGCAAACAGTGCGGGGCGCCAGGGACGCCCGCTCCAAGGCTGCAGCTGCAGTGAGCCTTGATAGGCGCAGCGCATTATCATGCAGGGACTCGTTCAACACGGATCGACAGTGGGCGTAGTACTGTCTCTCCTGAGGCCTTCAAGGCGGTATGTTGCAACCAAATGACTGGTCACTGGTGTCTTCCAGACTCAGGAGGTTGGTGCCAGAAGTCCCAACAACAAGACAATGCTTCTAATTCAAGCGCCCGTATCCGTACACCTTGACTTATTCCTGGAACAAAGGTCCGGAAAAAGAAACATAGTGTTATCAGTACCACGAGGTACTTAGCGACGACAACGATAAGCAATTAACCTATGAGGAGGCATAGATTAGCACTAGTTCGAAGCGACATGGGTGGCAACGCTTCCGAGAACGGGGGCGCATCTGACTCTTTTTCAAACTCTAGCCCCTTCAGTTGATCAGCCTCAGAAACTGGGGACCTGGGACTGCAAATCCGTCCTCTTTTCCTTGACACGACACGACTCAGCCTGGTCAAAGACCCATTCGGAGGATACAAGCCGGCTTCACGAAAGGACTACCCCGCATTCTCGATCTTGAGGCACAATATCAATTTCCACGATCGAGAGCCTTGTCTTCTCTTCTCTATGGACGATATACTATGTACACTTTAACAGAGCACGCCAGAGCCTCAACAAGTGCGCGTACAACTGTAACACAGCAGTTGGGGGCGGTACAAGGGAACAACAAAACTCCTACCCATAAACAAAGGTGCAAAAAACAATTAGTCAAAGGCCTATTTAGTTTACACTAAAATTACCCAAGCCTTTTTATCGCTCAGTTTAAAGAGGCCTCGAGTACATGGGCGGGAGACCCGTGAAGTGGTGTGCAAGGTCCGATCTGCGTCCTTTAGCGCCGTCCAGCCTTCCCGAGCATTTCGTCGAGTTCCGCCAAAAAATCATCCGGCTGACTCGAGGAGGGTGGATTGCTCGTCGGATTCATCATGGGATTGCCATTGCCCCTTGGCTGCTGATGCCCCATGGAACTAGGGAAATTTACCGTAGGCACGTTATTCTGATTCATCGCGGGATTGTTCCTTGCCCGAATGGCCGCCTCATGGGCACGGCGCTGAAGCTCATCTGCCGTCCGAGGCTTGGACTTGAAAGGGAGAGCCACGGGCAGGCCAGCCTCCGAAGGAGGACCGTAGTTATATTGTGCAGGCATGTTTGGTTGACTGCTTGTAGGTCCGGGTCCAGTTTGATGATTGCCCGATGTATAGTTGTAGCCACATGCCCCGGAAACGTTCATCGGATACATCGCGGGGTAGCGAACAGGCTGAAGGTTCCCCAAGGAAGGATCGTAACCGTGTTGTCTGCTCAAAGATGGATGTTCCGTGGTGACCACGGTTATAGGCGGATCCATATCTATCCAAGACTTTTGCGTCCGACGTCCTGGGCGTGATGGGATGTTCAGGTGAGGAAGAGGTTCCTCAGTCGAAGTGGGACTCTGGTTAGGAGAAGACATCAGACCAAGAGGACTACTTCCCATCGTCATCTGAACACCATGCTGCCGAGGTGCCACAGGGGGAGGCATAGGGGTATTCGCGTTGTGAGAAGATGCAAAGCCGCGAGGATCCATTCCCATCTGCGCCTGCTGATGAGCATACTCTTGCTGTTCTAAAGAAGCAATCATATAATTCAACTTTAGAATCATCCCAGAAGTAGTATCAGCAGAGGCAGGATTCGGGAAACGTTGAAGAAGGTGTTCATTTGGCATATTGACCTGGCATGGTAGTTGATTAGGTCTAAAAATATTTGGCGTAATGGGCCTATAACGAGGGGGCTTGGTCTCATTGGACTCCCCATGTTTCACCCTCTTAGCCGCGAGCCGTCCGTTTCTATTAGCAGGTAGTTCTGCTGCTTGAGGCAAGGAATTGGTTTCCCTGGGTCTCTTTACAGCTCTGGTCCTGGCCTGACGAATAGGTTTAACATCAGGTGTGGCACTCACGGCCGGAGTAGGTGAAGACTTGGGGATACTGGCTTTCGTCGCTATCGGGACCGTAGCCCGCTGTCTGTTCTGGACAATCGGCACTGCGCTCGTAGGCGCAGGGGCTTCAGTGACGGGGTTCTCAACTCTTATAGCCCCGTTCGCACGATCCTGGTCGTTGGAAATCCTAGGGACTGTTGGTGGAAAACCTTCAACAGCAGAGTCATCCCTTTCAGGATCACTGACTGTTTGATTGGTCGAAGCAGATACTTCTGTTTGGTCTTGGTCATCGTCGATGTTGGGGTACACAGGCAATTGATCATCTAAAACAGATAGGAAGGCGCTGGGGGCGAGTCGATTATTCGAAGATTGAGTCTCATCGGGTGCGGAGATGCTGGGTGGTGCCCCTTGACCTACAAGCTGTTGCACTTGAGGGGGGTTCTGCATGTTGGTAAAGATATTGCCCTGTTCAGCACCCGCATCATCGGCCCAGAATTGATTGATACCTTCCTGTAGGCCAGCTGTAGTTTCCTCACGACTGTACGTCAGTGGGTTGGTGAACACTGGCTGTTCAAAAAAAGGCAACGAGACGAAATTCCCATCTATGGAAATGTTCAGGGCTTTCTTGTCGTCGTCGTCGATGTAAGCAACCTCGTTACTTGATTGGCCCTTTTGGGCCGGAGACTCTGAGTTAACGTTGTTAGTTGTGGCCTGGAAGAATATAGATAGAAGAAGCATATACTTACTTCGTTCACTCATAGGCGCGGTCAATAGTGATACAAAATGCCACTTTTAATACCATGATATTGATGTGGATGTTGTGATATCGATGCATGTGCTGAAGCAGATGATGGTGGAATCATCAAAATGATGATGACGAGAGAAGAAAGGGGAACAGGAATTGTGACCAGGTGCATCTTTATAGCCCTTGCCCTGGTGTCGAAGTTACTGAGAGTCTCTCCTTAGCTCTTCACGTTGAACACAAGTTGATACTTCCCATTTAGAGTGTGAATGGAGCCACAACACCACAAACCTACCCAGTTACCGTGAAAAGGGGAAACTTCTCGGCCTATCATGTCTGTCAAAGAAAAACATACAAAAGTTAAACAACTCTTTGTGCGTGAGTGTATCCGTTTCCTTCACTCTCAGTCGAGGGTGCAGGCGACTGAGCGTCCACGGAACCCTCCGGATTCTGAATCAAGCTTTGCTGTTGCCTCTCGACGTGTCTTCTCCAAGGTTTATACACGAATATCGAGCCTAGACCCACGATGAGAAATACACCGCAGATACTCCCGCCGACAATGTCAAAGTGGTCGCCAATGGAAGAGACTCCATCCCAGAATCGCCCCTGAGGGTCGGCGACGTTCTGTATTAGGGAGAGAACTTGGACGATGCCGATGAATGCTGATACCACGACTGTGATCCCTGTGAGGACGATGGAGTAGTAAAGAATAGCGACTACATCTCTCGAGAATGCCTTGGATGTATACAGGGCCATCATGAGAGCCCCGTCTGTGGTGTCGAGCATGCACATGCCAGCTATCACGCGTGAATAAACGCCAACTCTAATGCAGATACATCGCCACTCACCTGTGAAGAGAATAGGAAAGATAAGAATCAACCAGATACTCGTCCCCTGTACAGCCTGAATGCTCGCAATCCCCAGTATAGCAATCTCTGAGCTTGTATCAAACCCAAGACCAAAGACTACACCGAGGGGGTACATTTTCCACGGTCGGTCAATAACACGAAATAGCCTTTTGAACACGCGCGTCAAGAAGCCTCCCCCCTCCAAAGCAAAATGATCCTGAATTTGTGTCTCCTCTTCCACAAATCCTTCAAGTCGGACTTGATTTCTTCGCTCTTGCAGGATTCCTTGCAAACGTTGAACGAGCTTATACAAAACCCAGCCATTTCCGATGCAGAGAATAATAAGGAACGCGGCACTGACACTAGTGCCAACTATGTTTCCAACGTGCTGAAAACCATCAAACCTTTCCCTCAACGCGCCGCTTGTGGCTGCGACCACGATGCATGTTACTATGACGATGGTGCTGTGACCTAATGAGAAGAATGTCCCTACTGTCGCAGGGCGTTGACCTGATGCTATGAGGCGACGTGTCATCAGGTCAATTGCTGCGATGTGGTCTGCGTCCAAAGCATGGCGAAGGCCAAGGACGTAGGATAGGGCAGCTGGCGAAATGAGGCGTGGATGGAAATGCAGAACAATGCCCGCAGCGATCCATACCAGGGCATTGACTGCGATGAGGGTCGCTATAGCGAAGATACTGTTGTTTGGTATGCCATTAAGAAATTTGGGTTTGCTGAGGGGTTGAAGTCGAGGTATGATGAAGCGGGGCATTGTGAAAGCCAGATGGTGAATAGCCAAGTGGTGATACAAACGATGGTGTTGAGCTCACCACGAAACAATCACTGATAAAGAATCACAGAAACAACAATGAGAGAGCACAAGTAAAGCACAAAGAAGAATATGTGAATAGAAGAAAAAGGGCTGATATTTTCTCAACCCCACAAACATTCTAGACCTTCACAAGTCGTCGTTCTACCATCATCAAAAGCCGTGGTGAAGCCGGCGGGCCGTAGTGTAGTAGTGCGGGGTGGGTCAGTCTTGGCCGCCGGCCGCCGATGGTTATCTCGGTGCGGGGGACTCTGCATTATCGCATTTTGATGAGTAATGACCAAAGAGTAAGTTGGTCTAATTGTCTATTGCATGCTCTATCACTTCCGTGTAAGTATGTTCTATGCTGATTGGCCAGACAAGTTGAAGCTCTTCTCAAATGTATCCTCATCTTCCTCTGCAACTTCGAAGTCGAAGCGTGTCACATCCTCGGCAAAGGGCCAGAGATATTGGCTTGTAACCCTATAACTCATCAGATCCTGTTATTTTCGCCTGCTGATAGATGGCTTACCTGTGATGTTCACTGCTCGCCTGATACGCCGCCAATGCAGCCCGATCATGATGAAAACTCAACAAACAAATCTGAAAGCCTTTACTCCTCGCAATCGGATCCGTAATAGACGGACCCCCCACTACAAGTCGCTCGTCTTTCACACATGGTAATGTCTTGAGGGTTTTGAGTTCTTTGACAAACGTCTCGCGATGTGACTCGTCGACGTCTGAGCGAAACTTGAAGAGGACTGAGGAGGGTAAGCAAGATATCGTGAGGGGGGAAGAAGATGTAGTGAGGGGAAAGAGGGGACGCACCAATATGAACGACTGTCATTGTAACTTGAGGGGTGATTTACCAATAGTTTGTTTCCGTGGCGGCGATACAGGTGAGTTTAAATGTGTTGCGGTTTGAACTTGGCTTGATTGACACCAACGGGTTTGCGCCGCTGAGGTGGGCGGAGAAACGGGGGAGAGCCGCATACGCAATTCGGCCGAGATCCAGAGACGCTTTCGGTGGTCAACTCGCCGAGAAGAGGAAGTTTACTTTATCTGATGAAATGAAAGATCGGTTGCTCTGGGTGATCAATTAACTCTCTGTTATTGCTAGCGGTAGGTGATGCAGCGAACTCACTAACGCGCAGAATTGTAGACCTTGAATCTGGCATCTTCAGATGTTGTACATATTTCCATTAGTACTCTCCTTGTTGAAAATTATGCTTTACGTATTCGATCCTGAGCCTCGTTGTTCCATCTTCATCCACGGCCTTCCTCTGTATTTAGCCAATGGCCCTGTTTTGACATTCACACCCTGCAGTTACTGGAGTACAACCAAAGAGACACGGAAGCTCTTTGACAACAAATGGACCGATACCAAGAAGCTAAACCAGCAAGATGTAGCTCACAAGTCCATCTTGTTGATCCTTTGTCTAAGCCAGAAAAGCCACTGGAAACCTCATGGTGTCTGTCTGTTTACATGACTCAACTACCCCTCACAAACGGTATCCTATGAACAGGGAATCACACGCCTCGCCTTGAGTAAGAAGGAGTTACTTCAAGCCTCAACGCGCACTTCACAAATGACAGACATACATCTCAGCTGATCAAAACAACTTCACCTAAACTCAGAAAATATACCCCCTCTAAACCCTCCCAGTAGAACTCGTTATCCCCCCATCAACCACAATCTTCTGCCCCGTGACATATCTCGCCTCATCAGCCGCCAAGAATACAACCGCACTCGCTACATCCCACGCATCCCCCATCCTCCCCATCGGAACCTGCTCCTCCCTCGTCTTGCAAAACTCCTCATACCCCTTTCCAAACCTCTCCGCCAAACTCCTCGTGTACGGCGTGTTCATCAACCCAGGTACAACCGCGTTTAAGCGTACGCCTTTGGCGGCGTAGATAATCGCCGTAGCTTTGACGAACTGCAGGATTGCTGCTTTGGCGGTGTTGTAGGCTACTTGGGGTTTGCCGATGTAGCGAAGGCCTGCTATGCTGGAGATGCAGATTACAGAACCGCTTTTCTGCGCTTCCATTATGGGTAAGACGTGGTGGCATGCGAGATAAACGCTCTTGAGGTTGATATCCATCTGAGAATCCCAAACTTCCTCACTCATAGAAGCAGGATCTCCAGGTTGAGATTGTCCAACGCTTGTCAAAAGGATATCAATACGTCCATGCTTATTCATACAAGCATCAACGAGTGCTTTCACAGATGCTGAGTCTGTAGCATCTGTAGCAACAATATCGCATGTTCCGCCTTCTGCTTCAATAGTCTTTTTAGTCTTTGTAGTTGAAGCGAGGGTTCTGTTGCCGCCGAAGATGATGGCTCCTTGTCGTGCCAAGGTTACGGCGCATGCTGCACCGATTCCCCAGCCCTCGGTGCCTGTTTGGCCGAGACCGATTATGAGGGCAACTTTATTTGAGAGATTGAGCATATTGAGATGATGGTCAAAGAGACAAGGTAAGGGATACTGAAAATGGGATTTTTACCCATGATACTGACGGCCTTTTATTATATCTATTTATTTACTTGAGTTGGTGTACAGCGGGATTCTCCCGTCCGTTGTGTAAGTGCTCCATCGGCCATATTGCGTGATAGCCGACGCGGGGTCACCCCGTCTTCATCTCCAACGGCGATATGTGATCATCGCCATGGGAGAGTAATACATAAACACTGATAGGCCAGTATTTAATCCCCAGAAACCACCTCTATCCAATATTCCCAGGTCAAATTTACTGGTTGAAGATACCCAAAATGTCAGACTCTAAGAAACCTGAGGTCAACCCAGACTACGACCTCGACCAACCCATCACATCGAAAGTCGGCCTACGTCAAGGCCTCGCCTCCTACGGCGATCCTCACTTCTCCCTCTTCCTCCGCAAAGTCTTCATTAAAGCCCTCGGCTACAGCGAAGATGCACTCTCACGCCCAATCATTGGAATCGTGAATACATACTCCAGCTTCAACCCCTGCCATGCCAACATTCCTCAGCTCATTGATGCTGTCAAGAGAGGCGTTCAGCTCAATGGCGGGTTGGCGATTGACTTTCCTACTATTAGTATCCATGAGAGCTTCTCATCGCCGACGAGTATGTATTTGAGGAATTTGATGAGCATGGATACCGAGGAGATGATTGCGGCGCAGCCTTGTGATGCTGTTGTGTTGATTGGTGGTATGTTGACCTTTTTGAGTATATTGAATGAAGTTGATGCTGACTGGGGTAGGATGTGATAAGACTACGCCTGCTCAATTGATGGGAGGTATCTCGGCAAACAAACCTATCCTCCATCTAGTTACTGGTCCAATGATGCCCGGTAGCCATCGCGGAGTGCGCATTGGAGCTTGTACTGACTGTCGTAACAACTGGGCCAAGTACAGAGCTGGAACTCTTGATATCGAAGATATTTCAGCTATCAACGATGAGCTAGCGCCAACTGTGAGTTTTAAACATTACAGCAAACGATATCAAGTCTGACAATGCCAGGGAGGAACTTGTGGAGTCATGGGCACAGCATCTACCATGGCTGCTATTCTCGTTGGTCTGGGAATGATGCCTTTTGCTGGCGCCACTGCCCCAGCTGTATCGGCGACAAGATTACGGATTGCAGAAGCCACAGGAGGACTAGCCGTTGCAGCATGCAAGGACGTTGAACGCCTGCGGCCACAAGTTTTACTGTCCCGGGAGTCATTCTTAAACGCCATCACTGTACTACAGGCAATTGGCGGCTCAACGAATGCTGTGGTCCACCTGATGGCTATCATCGGACGCCACCCCAAAGTTGCAGGTACAATAACATTGGAGACCATCGACGAAATTGGTCGCAAGACACCGTTGCTGGTTGATCTGAAACCAAGTGGTGATAACTATATGACAGACTTCCATAACTCAGGTATGTCATGCGTTCTGTTGTGAAGTCAACACTAACAAATTTAGGCGGTATGCTCGCTTTGTTCCATGAACTCAAGCCTCTGCTTCATCTCGATGCATTGACAGTCACTGGCCGAACGCTAGGAGAAGAAATTGCTCACAACTCTCTCATCCCCGTTCCTCGAGAACTAAGTGTCATTCAACCATTTGATAAGCCATTATATCCAGCATCTTCTCTGGTAGTGCTGAAAGGTAATCTAGCCCCAGGAGGTGCTGTCATGAAGGCCAGTGCTTCCAAGTACAGAAAACTACTACAGCACACCGGAAAAGCTGTCGTTTTCGCAAACTCTGCAGACATGGCAGAGAGGATAGATGATCCTGAACTGGACGTAACGCCCGATAGTGTCCTGGTCCTTCAGAACATTGGCCCAATTGGAAACCCTGGTATGCCAGAGGCAGGCATGATCCCTATCCCCAGAAAGATTGCCTCTCAGGGAGTGTTAGACATGCTGCGTCTATCAGACGGCCGCATGAGTGGAACAGCAGGTGGAACAATTGGTCTTCACATCTCCCCAGAATCAGCCGACCCCAAATCTCCGCTTGGCATCGTCAGGAATGGAGATCTTATCACACTGGATGTTGAAAAGAGGCAACTATCTGTTGATCTGTCTGATGAAGAAATATCACAGAGAATCCAGGAGAGACTCAAGACCTTCCAGCAAGCCGAGGGTGCTGCAACACCATGGGTGAAGAGAGAAGCAATGAGAGGTTACCGAGGGTTATACATGAGGAGCGTGAATCAGGCTCAGCTAGGCGCTGATTTTGACTTTTTGACTGCTGAGGGGCCGCAAAAGTCTAAAGACTGATATATAGGTTTAGATTGAGTCTGTTGGGATAAGGCCCTGGAATAGGTCGCGAACAATGTTATCGAGATTTGTCGACTCAGTTGGCTCGAAGTATTCCGCGAATGTCTCGTTAAGCAGGCCCTCGTAGAATTGGTTCTGCATGAAACCCATATCGTCGTCCATATTAATGTGTGATGAAGATCCCGAGATATTATTGAAGTCCTGCCCTAAACTCTCCCACGCATCTGCCGAGAGTGTGGGATCAATTACCTGTTCGTTGACTTGTGGTGCAGAACGGTCACGCAAACCCTCCGATCGCCTGTTCTTCTCTCGGATGTATCGAACAGTTGATTTTCCCAGGCTATCCAAAATGTCGCGACTGTGTTTGGCGCCAGACCAATGTTCGCCTGTAGCACCCAGAATGCTGAGGGATATACTCAGGTCAGACATGAAAGCGTCTACACCCGTAGAGCGGGCGATTTCTGACACTGACTGGATGCAGTACAACAGAGTTATAGAACTGAGAACAAGCCCATGAAAAGTAGTCCAGCTATGAACAAGCAGGTTTTTCTTGTACAACTGGTCAAATAGTTGTAGGTTTTCACGAGCACTTTGATGACACTTTATCAAGGCTTCTTTGGGGGGCTTAGGTATGGCAGGACTAGGTCTCAATAGGAGCATTCGTAGACCGTGATATCGAATCTGACAAGTCGTTCGCAGATACAACACATCAGGGTCATCAAGACCGGGTATCTTATTTGACCACTCGTCTAGTCGCTGCAGCATGGCGGTTTGCCAATCGTTGATGTTAGTCACTCTAGGATAAGCATATCTAGGCGTGTCTCTTATGATGCTTTGCGCGATGTATTTAATCTCCGAGTTGAGTTTGGCGGCTTCGAATAAGTGAACAGCAAAGGCCATTTCGCTGGATGCTCCAGTGGTTTGCTGTTGCCTCTGGCTAACAAGCTGCTCGTCGGACAGACCCAATGGCATCTTTCAAATTAGTTTGCACCATGATCCAGCGGTATGGGTAAACTTACTCGGAGCTCACATCCCTCATCACGTAGTCCAATGGGTCGACCCATCATAGTCGCAATGATGCGATCGAAGGAGTAAATGACCCAGAAGATCCTGGCTCGCATCTCCTGATTCAACAGACTGTACTCAGGTCCTATGCTGATATTTCTTTGGAGACCTTGATCGACCAAGGCAGCAATGCAGTGATAGTTGAGATACCAGACATTGAGGCGAACGCATGGGCTATGTATTGTAAAGATGAGAAGTAAGACAAGACACTGAATGCCTTTTAACGAGTTCTCGACATTGAGGTCATCGAGATATTGTAGTGCGGAGAGGCAGTATGATTCTGCTGGTATGCGAGCTCTGGTGCGAGCAGAAAGGACTGCAGATCCTATCGCCAGAACCATGAACACCTGGAAGTGGGCGACAGGGTCCTGGTTATCTTCGTCATAAGCCATATCCAGGTAGTCATAAAACTTATGTTGATGTAGAATGGGATACTGTAAGTTGATAGCGCTGAAGTATGCCTCACATAATTGTATTGCCGTGTCTCTTGGCGGGAGTGGGAGTGGCCCCTGGAGAGCTTCAACCAGCTTGATAGGGAACGGAGCATTGCGATTCGCGCGACCAACGCTATCGTCTGATTTCGAGGCTGAGTCCAGTAGGACTCGTGCTAGGAAGTAACCACTGGATGGGCCGATATACCTTGGATCTTGGTTCGTAGCAAGGGAAACCAGCCCAATCTCATGGGTCATGGCACTGGCTCCTGTGGGTTCTGAAGTAGACATCACTGGTTGGCTTGTTGGCTGAGTTGCCGGTGGTCCATTTTCAGGATCACGTAGAGTCTCAGAGCTCCTTTGTACAGGCTCTGGAGCTAGGAGTGTCGAACTGTCCGTAACTTCAGGGCTGGCGTCGTTCCATGCTTCTCCTATATAGACGGGCGGACCCTGAGATAAGTCGACGTCAGGACAATTCGATCGGACGATTGACTCTAGCCAATTAATCCGGTTCGTCAAAGACGTGATATATCTATGTCGTCAATTAGTAACCATGATGGAAGGCTCCGAGTGATCTTTAGTCACATACTGTCGAGGTGCCGCATCGACACGAAGTGATTTCCCATCGACACATTCAACGCCAGCGGTACGACAATTGCTACAGGCCGGCAATTCCAGATTACACTAAATATTGTTAGAAAATCGAGGTATCTAAAATTGGTGCCAGACGTACCTTTCTCTTCAGTCGTTGGCACCGGGAACAGGCCATGCGTGTCCTGGGAGCACTCCGATCTGGTAGGGAGGCTTGATTGGGTCGCTTCCCATTGGAGTTTCTGACCCCGGGCATTTTCGTAGTTCTGCCGGGAACGGATCGAGTTTCTCGGCGTGTAATGATGAGTATTGGGTATAAGGTATGTAGATGGGAGAATGGCAAAAATCCGTCGAGCGGGGAGATGCCGCTTTAACGCCATTGAGAAACGGGCCTTCCCCGCACGTATTTCCGGTGACATCTGAGTATTAAAAGAATGGAAAGAATTGCTTAACATCAGAATTAACAAGTATCAAGGCATCTCAGTGATCTTTCTAATACTGAATTTAGCTCATCTCGACTTATTCCTTCCATCATGGCTGAAAATCAAGACTCCCAAAAGATCCCAATCGCTGCCTCAGAAGCACGACGCTTCGTTGAAGACGTCCTCAAAGGCAACGGCATCCCCTCTGAGAATGCCTCCATCGTCGCCCGCTGCTTAGTCGCCGCCGATCTCCGCGGCGTCGATACCCACGGCATGAACCGCATCCCCTCTTACATGGAACGTCTCCGCCAAGGCGTCCTCAACGCCAGCGCCCAACCAATCCTCACCCAAGTCACACCCGCCGTAGCTCAAGTCGACGGCCAAAATGGCTTCGGCTTTGTAGCAGCTCACAAGGGTATGGCAGCTGCAATTGAGTCGGCAAAGGTGTTTGGTATTGGTATGGCGAGTATCAAGCACTCTAACCATTTTGGTATGAGTGCCTGGATTGTGCAGCAGGCTCTTGATGCGGATATGATGAGTCTGGTGTTTACAAACTCTAGTCCTGCGCTTCCTGCTTTTGGTGGAAAGAGTAAGCTTATGGGTGTTTCGCCTATTGCTTGTGGTGCGCCTGGTAAAGGGCCCATGGAGAACTTCATTCTTGATATGGCGCCGTCTGTGGCTGCTAGAGGAAAGATCTACAAGGCGAAGAGACGAGGGGAGAAGATTCCATTAGATTGGGCTCTTGATGCTGAGGGTCGTCCTACGGATGATCCTGAGGCTGCTCTCGGTGGTGTCATGTTACCAATGGGTGGTCCAAAGGGCTCTGCACTGTCAATCATGATGGACGTATTCTCAGGAGTTCTTTCAGGTTCAGCTTTCGCTGGCCATGTCACTGGTCCCTACGATCCTTCCAAGCCTGCAGACGTTGGTCACTTCTTGGTAGCTATCAAGCCTGACCTCTTCATGAGTCTGGATGAGTTTAGGGAGAGGATGCAGTATCTTTACGAGCGTGTTGTTGGTTCAGAAAAGGCTGCTGGGGTTGAGAGGATTTACTTCCCCGGTGAGATTGAGCAGCTGGCTCAGAAGGAGAGGGAGAAGACTGGCATTCCTCTGGTGCAAGCTGAGATTGACGCATTGAATGCTGAGGCGAAGAAGGTTGGCGCAGAGCCGCTGAAGTTTTAAGTATGTAATTATAGAATCTTGACAGCATTTTGAATATTGGAGACCATTTCTTTTGAGAGAGGAGCTCAAAGTGATGAATACTCGTGTATCACCCAACTTTCATCTACTTGGCATCGGTCCTCGAGTGAGGAGCCATGCTTTCTTGTAGCGGAAACGAATCAGTCTATTTGACGGCACTGAATTACTCTAACCCTCTATTGTTCGTTTCTCATGACGTCTTTGGCTGTGATCCCTTCACATACTTAGTATGCTGTCCAAGCGTAACCAACTTCAAGCCCCCATCCTTCTCAACCTTTGATATCCTAATCGACGTAAACGCCACACTCCCCCCAACTCTATCCGCCGTCGAAACAATCTCAACCGTATCCCCCAACTTCGCCGCACTCAAATAACTAATATGCATATCCACACTCGCCCCAGTCGTATCCCTCAAATCCCAACTCGCAATAGCCAAACCAGTCGTGAAGTCAATGATAGTAGCTGATACAGCACCGTGAAGATTTCCACTGCTGTTGAGATGGTTCTCGTTCAGAACGAGGCGTGTTGTTACGCTGCCCTGCGTTGCGCTGATGAGTTGAGCTGAGGACATTATGAAGTTGTAGATGGGGCTTTTGGCGCGGAGACGGTCCATTAGGGATTGGACGTGGGCGGTTCTTTGGACTTCTGATGAGTCGACATCTGGGGTTTGAACACGAGTTGAAGGTGGTTCAGACATTTTGAAGAATTTGTATTTTTGTTAAGATTGTTTATGAGTCTTGTTTCTGAATGGCTTGTCTAGCTGAGTTCTTAAGAGAAATTTCCTCATCGGGCAATTCCCGCCCCTCCTTTGATGAATATCCTCTCTTCTCGCATACAAACTCTCAAACCTTCTCAAAAACATCCTTCAGGTAGTCAAATGCACCCAATGGAACACCCTGTGTGCGCATGATACAATACGCACTTGTGAGGTGAAAATGGAAATTGGGGATTACATATTCGCTCACGTATCGCTGACCCGTGAAACGGAAGTTTCCCATCTTGGTCTCCATGAGAATCTCCTCATTCTCCTTGCCATTGATGACTTCTGGGTCTACACCCTCAAGAACTTCAATTGTGCGGGTGATACGTGCTTGGAGCTGTTCGAATGTTTGTTCGTCGTCTTCGAATGTAGGAATGTTTTGTGCGCCGAGGCGTGAGGCGAGGAATTTGGCTGTGTTGGAGCAGGATTGGACTTGGTAGGGAAGTCTGACGAGTGTTAGTCAGGATTTATATGGAATTTGAGCAGTTTACCCTCTCATATCGGAGATCAAGCGGTATGTTAGAAGATCTTCATGTTTCATTTCTTTGTCATCACAGAACTTGGCGCCCTTTTGAAGCATGAAAGAAAGATTCTTGAGGTACTTGACCAGCACGGGAATGCTCTGTTGGTAGAGTGTGGTCATTTTACTGGCTGGGACTTGATGTACTGGGATGCTTATTGAAGAAACGATTACATGGGCATAATGCCAGTATATATACCAACCTCGCGAACTTTTCGCTCTATTCGCCCTGAATAATCTCACATATTCGCTTCTAGATACTAGTGAGTCCGGAACGCTGACTGCAGCGTAGGATTTAGTGCTTATTGAATCAACTTTGACCACCCTTGAAACGTGTAAGACGATTTGATATGACGCTGGGATGTTTGATGCCCATTGCCCAACGCTACAGTTCTTTCTTACTAGACGGGATGATCGGCTGACGAAACTTAGGCGCCGTGTAAGCTGACAGACGATAGATAGAGCTCTCGCACTTATATCGAATTTGTCATCCATAGTGATTTCTCGGAAGATCGGCGCGTAGTTCACATCTTAGTTCGATGCCGGAGGTCAAAGAGGTGTTCTTTGACAGCAGTAGCCCTATGGTAGTCACTCGTAATGATACGCCGACGCTGAATTGATCACATAAGTGAACCTCTTCCATTGATTTTAACTAATATATAATTCAACTCGATCGGCCTGAAGTGCTTTGTCAAATGGTATCACACTGTCTTGCTCGGGAGGTCTGCCGAGGGCCCGATGACGCTTCGGCGCAGAAGCTCAAAGCATCGATATATGGAATTTATTTCAACACAGCTGAATTTAACCAAACAACTTACTTATTATTAAATTCAATATTTATATGTTAATAAATACCATGATGTTCATCACGGCTTCCAAGCCCGCGCTTATCATGCACCTCCTCCGAACCAACCCCGAACCCCCGCAGTGTCTTGATCAGTAACAACCTTAAACCAACACTCTCATCCATCACAAACACAAACAACCCATCAACGACTCAAAATGTCACTCCCGATTCTCGACCACTTCGCTATTCTGGTCTCCTACCAAACCCTCCAAACCGTAACCCAATCCCTCAAAGATTCCCTCGTCGTAATCGACGGAGGCGCCCACGCAGATGGTCTAACAGTCAACAAACTAATCCATCTCGCCGACGGCACATATCTCGAGTTCATTGCCTTCGTCGAAGACGTAGACCTTGAGAAACGCCGTGCTCACCGCTGGGGAAATCTCGAAGAGGGGAAAATCGCAGATTGGGCTCACACACTACCCAGTGCAGCTGATTACGCCAAGTTGCAGAAGAGAGTGGCTGATGCTGGGAATGGCGCTACGTATGGTGATCTTACTTCGCTGCAGAGACATAGGCCTGATGGCGTTTTAATGAAGTGTCTTGTTTCGGTGGCGTTGAATGCGGAGGGGAAGAGGATATTTCCTGGGACGGTGCCGTTTTGGTGTGTTGATGAGACGGAGAGGCATTTGCGATCGCCGTTCAAGGCGGATGGTGGTGATGGAGTGCATGAGTATACGAAACACCCTTCGCATGCGAGGGGTGTATCAAAGGTCACTGTTCTGCTTCCTGAGAAGGATATTGCGACATATAAGCCTGTTTACGATGCGATTCACAACCAGAACGCTACCTCCGAAGCGGATGGATACTCATGGCCATATGATCTTCCCGCTGGACCTAACTCAGGAAGCAACCAGGTCGTTCTATCGACACTCGAGGGTGGAAACGGCAAAGCCGAGATTAAGTTAACGCTCCTGGGCACAAAGGAGAGCCCCAAGTCCATCGAGCTTCTTCCCGGCTTAGTCGTCGACTTTGAACACACAGACTAGACAAATAAAACAGGTTCAATTCGGGTATCTAAAAAACAATTTCCTAGTCCAGATTCAATGCCATGACACGGTCCATTTCTCCGTTTTCCAAAACCTCAACGTCTCTCCAGTAGTCAATCGCCCGGGGACGGTTATCCCTGTAGAGCATGAGCTGGAACTTAAGCCCTGCAAAGTCCTCAGAGTGCCATCGTTTAGTTGAATTCCACATCAGACGGTCCGTGATCTCGTTGCAGATCCGCTGCAATGCATCTCCCAAAGGAATCTCTCTCACAAACTCTTCGAAGACATTTTGATTGTCTCCAAGGTGTATGCCCCAGTAATGGAGATTGGCCGTAGTACCGTAAGTGACTAGAGCCTCTCTGTCTGTGAGTTCCAGCGGGGGTATGAACATAGGGGCGAGACTTGCGACGGCAGAGATTACGTCCACGGCTAGACAGTTACCGCAGCTATGCAAAAGGACACCACCCTCTGAGAAGGTAGGGGGGATTGCGTAAACACCTTCCATGGTAGTTGGCATGAACTTACCGGTGTGAAAATGCAAACAGTCGCTATGAGAAGAGAACATGACACGGCAAGCAGGGCAAGCGATTTCTGGGATTTCTCCGACCTCCAAATCCTTGGTGGCTTCTTCGATCATGGTGTGAAGACACTTGTTTCCAAACATGTGACCGCAGGGTAAAATGCGAGCTCGGTGCGACATGGTTTTCTTTTCAGGGGTCAGACCCTCAGGACTGAAGGTATGTTCGTGGGGAAAGATGGACATATCAGCGAGACAGATTCCGCACTCAAGTTGAAGGTGGTTGAAGAGCTCTGGATCTTCGATGAGGGAGTCTCTGAGACGAGGCCAGAAGGGTGTGGTCCACTCAGGTCTGTTGTCTTGAGGTTCGTGGTGGATGATGTTGTTGATGGACATCATGTTGACGACGGTTGGGGAAGACATGATGAATGGTGTTTCTTGTTAGTTGAGCACAAGATGATAAGTTCAGAAGAAGAAGTATGTATATTTAGAGGAAGAAGTGTATTTATCGAAGGCTATTAATAACATTATATTTATTTAATCGTTTGATTCATTGATTCAATGTCCATGGCTGTTCTGCAGTGCCTGTCAGATGCTTCGTGAACATGGTCGTTGACAAAGACTTTCATTGTTCACTCCCTTTTGAGTATGCCGAACAATCTTTACAATCTGTTGTTCATTGCTGTGTCAGTGCCAATTTAGAATGAGACAAAAAACACTATTGAATACAATTTCCTTTCGCTGAGCATGCTTTGGTATCCTGAGACCCAAGGAACACCGATAATCAGGCGAGGTTATCGCTCCATAAGGTACGTCGAGCTTCATATCATTTTGAAGTTCGTCTTATCATCCTCAAATGCCAGTACCTTAAGTGTAGCCTATGATGGCACTGGTAGTTCCCGTTTTCATGCTAACTTTTCATATCAACTCTGGCAGTGATCGAGTTACAGCAGTGGCAGAAACGGTCATATCTGATGAACAGCACTCAAGGCTACGAAGTGAATGATAAGAGTTACAATATATAAACTAATGATATTCCTCGGTGACGAAGTGTAGTCTTTTTCTCCTTATCACAACTCCCCCATGGTTCTTGATCATCAATCATCTCAGTCATTCTACAAACACTCGTCTTTCATCATGCCCACCATGAATCCAGCCATGAATCCTGGATCCATCATCGAAGCCATCTGCAGTGATATCGAGCCCATCACCGACATCTACTGGCCAGCCTTCAAGAAGGCAGTCGAGAATGATCCTCAACAACTCCGTCCCATCAATTTGACCTGCACCATCTGTACAGAGCAGATGCCAACCCAAGGAGGCCCACGTGGTTCTATACATTGGATCCCGAAACCCGGCCGCCACATCTCCCATGATGCCCAGATCCTTCCTTGTGGCCATATGGTCGGTGCCAACTGTTTCATGAACTGGCTGAGCAGCATCTCTGAACGATTTCGAGGTAGAAAGTTTTACTCGTGTCCTGTCTGCAACACTGCGATCAAGTATCATCCTGAGTGTGGCCATGTATGCCACGGTCAACGAATCCCGGGCTTAATCGCCAACTACTCCCGCATCCCCCTTGTTCTGGGTGAGGGTGGTTTCATCCACGCACGCTGTGCGGGATGTGAAGTCAAGCACACCTTTACGGAGTTGACTAAATATGCCAGCATCTACAAATGGGAAGACCAAGTCGAGCACAATCACCAGTACATCACACTTGGCTTTCTCGACCAACGTCCCGGAGGCTTCCTGTATATGGATAGTTCTCATGACCACAAACGACCAATCTGTGAGCGCGTACGAAAACTCGAGACTCCAGACGAGTTGAAGGCTATCTGGGAAGCCTACAAGAACATCTGGGCACTGAAGTTCAAGACTTTTTGGATTTCACATGATTTTGCGGGGGTAAGTCTTTGCCTTTACTTGATGAAGGCCTCTAAGCCACTTCCTAAGACACCTAAGACACAGGGCATCTTTCGTCGGGTCTTCTCTCGAGGATCGTCTACCTGATAGCTTGACGAGTAGATAAGGAAGGGTGATGTTTTGGAGCTGAAAGATTGATCTGTGAGTTAAGCTGTTAAGGCTTCTTTGTTTAGGGTTGGCGTTTTGTATTTGAATTTGTGGTATTGGGATTGAGAATGATACAGGCTTGTCCTGGAATTTAGACAGACCTTAGACAATAAAACTGGATGTTAGACCAGAACTTGATTATGGTTCCACCATATATGACTTGTGATGATTATTATGAACTCCTAAAAGTCAAGTAAAATTACCTTAGTGGCTGTAGAAATACCAAATATCCGTCTAGGGACTTATTAAAATGCTCAAAATGAATAGCTCAATAAACCTCACTACCTCCTCAATATGCTCACTTGCCTTGCAAGCAAGGACAATGCAGGCCGAGCCGATTCTGCAATATTTATAGCTTATCCAGAAGGCTGTAATGTCGTTCTTCTGTCCTCTCTCACTCCCAAGGTGATCACCGAGCGTTATATTATTCTGGTTTGGCATATCGATAGGCGTGGTGTTTTAGTCAACGTGCCTACAATCACAAACACTCTCCAGCTAGCAATCACTCTTTCATCACCCGCCCACTTGCCTCTTCTGCCTTTTCTTTCACATAAATTTCTCTCTTTAAGTTCGATTCTCTTTCTCATATCTATTCGTGGCTAATCACATCTGATGTCGAAAGTGCCAGCGACACTGCTAGTTCAAGTTACACTTGCCAGTGGCAGCCCGTGATTCACCACCACCAAACTGTTTCATTCATCCTTTGTTTACTTCGTCTTTTTCTCCCGCCGATGCATGAATCATCTGTTAGACTTCATCATCTCACTTCCCTCTTCTCATCAGCAACTTCATACTACCAACTTATTCACCCTCCGCCCACGTAACCATGCATGAACCTACAATCCAAGTCACCACTCGCCCACCAGAGCTGCTGGATGCTGAGCCCGAACCTGAATCACAAGTCATCTGGCGCGATAAAAACGGAAAGATTTACTTTCGCAACAATCCAGCGCTTCCTATTCTACGATATCCCAACAGCAAGGTGGTAGACAAGCCTGATGATGCCCCAGACAAATGCAAAAGTTGCACTCGCGAGTGTCTCGTGGCTATACGTAGGTATCTCCTCTCTCATCGTTTTTCTTGTCTGAATAATTCGTCCAGGAAACGAGGAGATGGAGAAAGAGATCCAGGGACTGGAACTTGACACTGAGAAAGACTGTGACATTCCCAAAGTCGAGAAGCCCGAACCCGTGCCCGAGATTAAGAAGACCGAAACATCCAAGAAAAAGGCCAAGAAAGCCAAAAAGATGAACAACAGAAAGGCTGAAAAGTCCAAAGCCGAACTCGCCAAGGAGCGGGCCGACTTGGTGAAAGCGCTCAAAGTCAAAAAGGCGGAAAAGATCAGATCCGAAATGCCAGCCAACACAACAGCGAAAAGCATCGCAGACATGAAGAAACTCTCCGAGTTCATCAGCGTCAGAATCAAACGGTACAACGGACACGATGCGCCTCTGAGTGAGAAGATGGCGGCCGAGGACATCAAGTATACCATCGAGAAAATGTACAAGCACCTCCAGAACTCGTTCATCGACTGGGAATATGAAGAGGAACTAGACGTGTGTCGTGTTTTGGACTTACCTTGCCATGGTAAAAGTTTTGGTAAGGATATTGAGGATCATCTTTCCGGACAGGAGCACATGGTGAGTATTTTGCACAACCCCTGAATCTACTGTCTCTAATGCTGCCAGGCCTGGGATCGATCGATGAAGGGAAAGGTTCCGCTTTGTGTTCAGCACAACAGGGTGAAGCGTGAGATTGAGAACGGTCTTTCATACCAGGAAGGCTTGTTGGCGGAACTTGCTGTTGACCCTTATACTTATTAGGTCAGAAGCAGATGACAGAGGCAAGTGGACAGTCAAGACACGAGAATGCAATGGCTCAAAAGAGTCTATTTCTGTCCCCATTACCAAATCTCGCAAGTGACCGCAGATGGCAGTCGTGTAGATCCCATGTAGTGTTACAGTACAAATGTGCGCCCCTAAATAACCCAGGAAACAAAAGTAATAATGTTCGGTAGGCACCAATGATCCATATACCGCCAGTTTAATCTTCCCAACGCGTGATTCTTTAATCGGCACGCGATCCGCTGCTGTGACGGGCACGCTTTCGTCCGCTGCTTGTGGCAGGGTGCATCTTGTCGTTGCGCTCTCTCTTGAGCTTGTCATCCAAGACGCGGGCTGAACAACGTTAGCACAAAGGTCTCCTACCTTCGAGTCGGCGATCATACTGAGAACATCGTATCCGAACTGGGGGTGCTCCAAGCACAGAGCCTTGAACTCCTCTTCCGCCTCGGCACGCAGGGTATGTGAGCGCGTAGCCCAGAAGCTTGCGACGGGGGCGCGTATGGTAGTGTCATTGTTTCTGGTGTAGGCGTAGACATAACGAGCGTATGCGATCTCGCCCTTGGCGGTAGAGTTGACGCAGTGGATCTTGGAGCTCGAGAGGGTCTTGAGACCAGCGACGCCAAACTTCTCGGCAAGGGTGTAGATGCGGGCGTGCTTGAGTAGTTGGTCGCCGCTGTTGTCGACCGAGGGGACTGAGGGGTCAGACTCGAGGACTCGCTGGCCGGGCAGCTTCTTGGGGAAGTATTCGCCTGTGTAGAGGTATTCGAGGAAGCTGCCGACGGTATCGATGTCGTAGTCGGGGAGTTCAATCTGACGAGGCTGTGGGAAGGTTAGAAGGGGTTCACGGCCATAATCGCTGGCGCAAAGGTTCTGAAGTACTAACGCTGCCGTCCTCTACGAAACTGTCGCAAATGTCCTTGAAGTATGGGCTTTGTGTCAAAAGACCCTGATGCGCTGAGAGGATAGATTGGTCGCCAGATCCGATGAGCAGGGTGACGATTGGGCTCATAAGGTAATTGGCAAATGTGACTCTAGGCTCTGCGATCTCAGAGTCGGCGAAAGGAAGCTCGGTGTTGTCGGCATTCTCATTCTCCTCACCCTCTTGGGTAGCCTCTGGCGCAGTGTGCGTGTTCTGGGTCTCAGACATCTCAACATCGCCGGTCGGCTCGACTGAGTCCTCGTGCTGATCGGTAGGCATAATTGCGAATCCGAGTTAGAAACGGAGGCAGAAAAGAGCGATTGATTCAATTGTTTGAAACGAGCGACATTGGTACCGAAATCAGTGACTTAAAGATGGTTCAAATGATGGTTCCTGAGGGCGTGTAGGTTCGCGTAAACGTGAGATCCAGTCTTGGTGTTCTCAACTGCTCCAATGAACACTAATCCGTATGCAGAAGGGAGCTTGGTTGAGATTCATGCCTCGTGCGCAAGGCACCACCGCATGATTACCTTAGCTACCCTACACCAGTCAGGAACTGCCGACCTGCCGCTATCAGTGCCCCGCCCCCACTAACATTCGAGGCGTCTTCATTTGGCAATCGATAAAAAGTGACTCCAAAGCAAACACCTTTCCACCAACTAACACTTCCATTGTTCTCCTTCTTTGTCCTCAAGCCACCAATTTGTCGTGATACTTGAGAGTCAGCACTATAAGGATGTGTGCAGCACATGTAAGAACACCTCTCCATCGTAATCACCATCAATCAGCTTCACCGAGACTTCCGCAATGAACCATACTAAACTTCTACACCAGCTCGATATACGGCCAACTGCCGATGAAGCTCGAGCTGCCTTCAACCAAGAATGGACTTCAACGACTCAACCCACGCTTCTCCCCGTTTGCGCCTCTGCTCCTGCCGATCTATTGACACCTTCAGCTATCTATCTTAAGCTGTCATCGGGGTAAAGACTACAATGCTTCCACCGCCGAATCGTCCTCTGACTCACCACCTACAGCGCAACTGCCGAATACTCATTCCTCCTCGAGAGCGCGACTGGAAGCACAGAGACGGTTGGGCGATATAGTTTTATTGGCGCCAGTAAGCTTCTTTGAGACTCTTGTGCTAGACATCCTCTGAGTCTCTATTCTAGACCCTCGAAAAGTACTGGCCACTGGCGACGGCTACGAACATAATGGCGACCCTCTCAAGACCCTCGCAGCCGAACTCTCCAATGACCGAGTGCTGGATATTCCTTCGTTGACGCTTCCAAAGCTATCTGGTGGTGCTGTTGGATACGTCTCGTATGACTGCATCAAGTACTTCGAGCCCAAGACCGACCGGCCGCTCAAAGACAACCTCCAAATTCCCGAGGCTTTGTTCATGCTATTCGATACCATTGTTGCCCTGGACCATTTCCGCTCGACATTGACTATTGTCACACACATGAGGTTGCCAAAGAACCCCTCTGACGATCTTCAACCTGCATACGACGAGGCCTGCGAGACACTCCGAAAGACCCTCGACATCATCTACCAGCCCGAGACTCCTTTGCCTGCTCAAACTCTTGGTGCGCAGTCAGAATCAGAGCAGCAATATTCTTCCAACGTTGGTCGTAAGGGTTATGAGACATTCGTCAAGGAGCTCAAGAAGTATATCGTCAAAGGAGATATTATCCAGGCCGTGCCTTCACAACGGTTCCGCCGGAGCACCAAGCTTCACCCCTTTAACATTTACAGAACTCTCCGAACACTCAACCCCTCACCTTATGTGTTCTTCCTCTCATGCGCCGACTTTCACATCGTTGGTGCTTCGCCAGAGTGTCTGATGAAGACTGATGGATATGCGCCATTGCCCTCTGACTCACGGTTTGGCTACTCAGCTGCCGAAGCTCGATCAAGACCCCGTATCGTCAACCACGCTATTGCCGGTACAATTCACCGTGGAAAGAATGCTGCTGAGGATGATAGACTTGCAGCCGAGCTTTTGGCTTCCAAGAAGGATAGAGCTGAGCACGTCATGTTGGTGGATCTCGCTCGAAACGACGTGAACAGAGTCTGCCACCCCACGACCGTCAAGGTTGACCGACTCATGAGAATTGACCGCTTTTCTCATGTTCAGCACATCACCTCTGAGGTTTCGGGAGTTCTGCGTCCTGAGTGCACACGCTGGGATGCTCTACGATCCATTTTCCCCGCGGGAACAGTCTCTGGAGCCCCCAAGATCCGAGCTATGGAGCTCATCTACGACCTGGAGCAGGAGAAGCGGGGTATCTACGCTGGAGCTGCAGGATGGTTTGGATACGACATTGTGCGCGTGGACGACAGCAGCAACCCCGAGGACAAGGTTTTCGTCGACGAAGGACCCATGGATACATGCATTGCCATCCGGACCATGCTCGTCAAGGATGGTGTGGCGTATATGCAGGCCGGCGGTGGTATCGTCTACGACAGCGACCCTACGGATGAGTGGATGGAGACGATGAATAAATTGTCCGCCAACCTCCGCTGTGTGGAGCTGTCGGAAAGGTACTTTGGCGATGGGGTGAGCACTAAGACCGTGGAGGAGATTATTGCGATTGAGAGGAGGAAGGGAGAGGAGGAGGTGAAGGAGGCTGAAAAGTAGGTCATCTGCATAGAAACATGTCTGATGAAAGATAGATTCAATTGATACTCATTGGCGCGCTTATTGTGTTCGAAGTCGTTTATTTCCTCTTCATTGCCATAGGCTGCCAGGGTGGTGTTCCTGCGGCAGAGGTTGTTCGAACAAAGAAGGCTTCACTGTCTTAAGCCGAACAACTAGTGAAAGCCTCACAACACCACGAAAGTCATGGTTCTACCTCAACTCACAAGATCAGCCGTGAACGCTGAATGTGCTTGACTTCGGTGACTGCATCAAATGTGACTATATAATGAACTGATGCCTACTCTGTAGAAAATTCTTCTCCTCCTCATCACCAAACACATCCAGGTACATCTAACACCAAAAAACAGATCACAAACAACAGGTAAGTCTACACAACACCAACTACATCTCGCAAACAGCCTTAACGCTGCGTCTCTCGCTTTACCAGTCAGTCATCTCACTGGTAAGTATCCCTTTCTAAAATGTTTTCTCCTTTCAAACCTCTCCCCGAAGCCTTCTGGCCAACTATCAAAAAGGCCATCGACAAAGGCACAAACACCAATTCTAAAAATGAGGCTATCACTCCTCAATGCCCCATCTGCATGGAAAATCTCCCGGTGAAATCATTCCCTACCGAAGCTGAGATTGACGCTGAGGTCTTGCTCTGTGGTCATGTTCTCTGCCAGCCATGCCGTAAACAATATGAACAAAGCAACCCGAGAACCGAACGGTGCCCTGTGTGCCGCACGCCTCTCTACTGCCGTCGATGCGAAGCGATCGCTATCCCCATCACCATTCCCAAGAACGGCGAAGGTGAAGGATCCCGTCTTCCTATAATTCTTCCTGAGGGCACTCAGAGGGACTTATGTCCTGATTGTTTAGCTACTGTTGAGTTTCACAAGAACGTTGAGAAAGGTGAGTGGCCCGCTAATCTAGATGATCTGGAGCCTGGGTTTGTCAGCCTTTTCTACCATATAGTTGACGATATTGAGAAGAATGGCGATGTTGCTACGGAAGGGAGAGTCTCAGAGGCGATTGCCGACACCGTCTTACAGGAGTTTACGAATATGATGACAAGTCGTCGCTGTGTTACGCTTCAGCGTGGGAATGCGTTTCGACAGACGAATGGATGGTACGCTGAGAACAACGAAGATCAGGAAAACTCTCGTATGGGGGTTATTGAACGCCATCACAGCCCGGAACCACTCGCCCGGCAGCTCGAGCGGGAGCCCGTTGACATCCCTCCTGGTGTTCAATTCCGTCCTGCTGAGAGAATTGTTAGAGCTTCATTACAGAATGGACAATTTATTCCGATATTTCCCAGAACTGCAGCAACACACACTGATAATACCCGCCAGGACTCTGAATTGCAACAGTCTCCATTTCAACGGGTTGGCCTACCGGCCTATATGCATCAGAATCGGAATCTTGCAAATCCCGCGCAGCCTGGCATGGCCAATGGGCCATTTGATATCCAGGATAGCACTGCACGTCCAAGTGCAGCAACACAGACATCTGAAGCAGCTCAAGATCATGATATGCAGGGAGGAAACATGGAGGAACCGTTGGATGTAGAATTCTGGCAGGATGTTGTATCCCAGCAGAGGAGGAACACTATTGCGGCGACAGCTGGAATGGCTACACCAGCTGGACCGAACGATGTACGTCCCAGTGTAACTACAAATACAAGAGCAGCAAGAGCAGCTCGAGATCGTGATATGCATGGAGGAAACATGCAGGGACCGTGGGCTGGTGCAAGAGCTGCAATGCCTACACCACCTCGACGTCGTTTTGTACGTCCCAATGCAGTAACACAGACATCTAGGCCAGCTGGACCTGGTAGCTTGCAGGAAGCGATGGATTATGCGGATGCGCACGATGCTCTGGGAGATAGACGGGACTATCTGGTGAGAGCTTCAACGACTAGACGGGAGACGGGAGAGTCGTCCAGTCCGGCATTTGGTGCCTCACAGACCTTGAGCTCCATGGTTTTGGAGGATGGCGACGAGGAGATGTTGTCAACTGATCAGCCCGCTTCTGAGCGCTGAGGATCCCCTTCCTCATCCACTGTGAAGAGACGCGTGTAAGTCAAGGCATGATGATATTGAATGCGGGCCGTGGTTGAGTACGCGAAGACGCTCGGACCGAGATATGGATGGGACGGCACGGGAAACGGCATGAGTAGACTGGGAGTTGATTGTGAATTTGAATTTTGAATTTATTCGGTGAAACGGAGTTTTGGATCAGGGTCAACCAGGAATAAATTAGATTGATATTGAATCATTAGTCAGGTCTGTCATGATATGGTATGTTGGCGGAGAATAAACAAAAAGGTGTAAGAAATGTTTCAAGGGGTTCGGATGTGCCGTCAGAGCCGTTTGAGTTTATTGGTATCAGTCGATCTTCTTAGTGAATGATGATGATGATAAACCCGTGACATGGAATTAGGAAATAAAAGAGTAAGTCAAGGTAATGCCATGGCATCGTACGTCAGCTAGCTAACGTAGGTAGGCGTGTGGACTATTGTTTAAGGCTGCAAAGTAAGTATGCGGATAGTTCAGCCACGTAATGAGATAGAAAGTGAACACACGTATATTTCGGATATCGGCTCCAAGTGATATTCATCATGACTCGATGCGAAATATATATGCCGATAGTCGAAATATAAACGAAATACAGTGAGTATAGTATAGTATCAGTGAAGGAACATCAGTGAATACTGCAGAGAGGGAAGAGTGGGCAAATAGCATCATCTCACCGCGCCGTGCCGGTATCCGATCGCGCCCAATCGACCCCGGCAAGTCGGCACGTCGACATCCACCTTTTCTAAACGCCCAGTTTTTAGTCTGATATTGGTTTGCATGGTATTTACGAGGGAGCACATGAACAAGAGGCAGAGAACAGATATATACTTATGTGAATAACATGAAAGAATATGTGTAAGTATAGAGATGGAGATGGTGATATTTTACCGTCTGCAATAACATATCAGCCATATCTTGATATGTATACTCAGATATCTATCTAAATTAGATGCATGTCACTCAATTCGCTTCTCGGCACCACAAATTCCTCTTGAGGGGGCATTCCCAATCCTACCCTCCACTCAACCTCATCCGCTAGTGGACAAGCCCGTTACTGTCTCGGAAGTACGGCTTCATCTTTTTGCCTATTGAAAGTTGCCTGCTTTGAAACTCGGCGCCTCTTTTCGCTGGGCCCTTTTCCTCAGGTGCCGTCTCTTCCAGACTTTTGCTCTATTTCCCCCCTTGGCTTGCGACTAAAAATAATACGCCCCCCCCCCAGCCTGCGGCTTACTTACAAGCACATACATTTGTTGTTCCCCTGCCCTCTCTCTCTCGCTCTTTTTCGGTTCCTGCTTTCAGAGACCACCCCCTCTCGCTTCTTTCGTGTTGTGTTCCCCCATCTACAAAGTCTTGTAACTGAACTGGGGCTTGGCTCAAACTTCCATTTAAGCCAAACGGGGCCTAGAAGCCTCTGCCAAGAATTTCCATCCGGTCTACTTCAGGACCCTATAACATTTACATGACTTACATCTGCATTTGATTTGAGCCTCAAATCAATTCATTTCTCGACGACACAATTGATTACCTAACACTTCAGTATTGAATGATACCGCGATAGATGCCTTCCGCTCTGCAGGCCGACATGGACATGGATCCCGCCGTTGTCGGCCTCCCTACCACAACAGCCATCACAGGCCTTCTCGACGTCGGCGCAGCAGCCATCGACATCCTCAGCGATCTCAACATCTCACCACAGCACGACACCGCCATCCTCAACATTCTCCTCCGCGAGGTCAAGGAGTGTCGATCCTCCGTCCACGCTTTCTACAAGACCCTCAACCTCATCGAGAACAACCAGATCCCCTTCCCTGCCCGCGCAGCCTGGATCTCTCTCGACACCCTCGTCGCGACTCTCACAGACACCGTCCTCGCTTTCACCCGCCTCTCGTCGCTATGTTGTGCCCTGGACGAGGAGTCGAATAGGTCTGCGCCTGAAGATGCCGCTAAGCAATTTGAGAAGAGGATCAAGGCGCTATGTGCGAGGTTGAGATGGCATAATCTTTCGTATGCTATGATGATGACTATAGTGAACTGGTAAGTTAAGCGATAAAGACTCACGGACCGCTAGATGAACAAGTGCAATTTTGCTAACCGAGATAAAAAGTCCGGGAGAAAAGGACGCAAAGAACAGTCGCGACGAACTGGCGCATCGTGTTGCGAGACTCCTCACATTCAACGTCAACCTCTCTGCTCGATTACGACAGAGTCGCCCCGGATCCTCGGCTGCCAAGACAACGGGACCGGGAGCCCAGACCCCCGATAGCCCCGATATCACCCCCGCCAATGTGGGGCACAGACCCGCCCCCTACTCCGGAACGCTCTCCAAGCTCACCACCCCGAGGGCTTTATCCAAGGTCATCTTGCCTATTGAGCTGAGGGAGCTTCGTGATGATTTTGAGTACTACACCGAGATGATCCCCTCGCAGACTGGAAGCTGCGAGTTTCCAACTGGTGGTGTCTTGATGGGAACGCCATATGATCTCGCATCAGCACGATGAGACCCATCAATCAGTAACTATCTATCTATCCCTAGTGGATGATCATCTTAGTAGATGAATACTTGCAAAGTCGGTGTTTAGGTGGGAAATAGTGCGAGGCATTTCAAGCCATGTCTGGCTACAGGACCGGTTGGGGGGCTTAGACGGGCATTTTACCAAACGGTTATTACGTGTAATGATGTTTTTTGTTTCTTGCTTCTTTTCACTTGGAGTCGATTCAGCTAGCTAGGCATTTGCAATTTTAACGTAGAGATATCCATTCAAATTAATCAATCACCCATTACTCATTGTGCTATGCTATGCTATTCTTGCTACTCGATGCTTAAATGAAGAGCTTGCTACCGTGGTACTTGGTCTTGTCAGAGTAAGTCTGAACAGACGTTTCGATCTCTCGCTCGGGGAAACCCTTGAATGACTTGGCATATGTTGCAACGGAATGGGCGATGAGCTGTATTGTGTTAGTGTTACGGTTTCTGAACAAGACATTGGCTGAGTGCGACTTACCTTGGTGTTCACCTCCCACGCGGTGTAATTCACATTGGTCAGATCATCCCCGATCTGGTGATAGTTCTTATCATACCAGACGCCGGCTTCACCGCCAAACATCTCGACTTCGTCTTCTGTCTTGACTCCCTCGGCACCTGTGGCGATACCACCGGCGGGAATACCACCACGGATGAAACCATCGTAGTCACTGCGACCATCGAAGGGAATAAAGGTGTAGTTGAGACCCTGCTCCTCATACCAGTCTACATAGAGGTTGCGCAACTCCTCAGAGCCCTTGGGGTTCTCGGCGTTGGTGGCGTTGTAGATCTGGTAGGCAAAGTTGGGGCTGGCCATCATGTCGTAGTCCATGAAGAGACGAATCTTGCGGTTCTCATCCTCGGGAAGAACGGAGACGTAGTGGTCGGAACCAAGAAGACCTTCTTCCTCGGCGGCCCACCAGGCGAAGCGGACGCAGTTGTTGACGCGGTACTTGGTCAGTTGGACAGCGACCTCGAGCACAGAGATACTGCCGGATCCATCATCGTTGATACCAGGTCCCTCAGCAACACTGTCACTGTGACCACCGAGCATGACACAGTTGTCGGGATCACCACTACGAGTCTGGGCAATGATGTTGGTGGTGGAAATGGTCTTGACCTCAGCGTCGATGTAAGCAATAGCATCAACCTTTTCACCATCCTTGAGCTTCTTGGCAACAGCCTTACCCTCTTCACCGCCAAGTCCAAAGGTAGCAACATGATCAGGCGAAGGAGTACCGAGAGTTCCATGAACCTCATCCTTCTCGTAGTTATACACAACGGCAGCAACAGCACCTGCTTTACCAGCATTGCTGGACTTTGTACCAAAGGGGCATGTTCCACGAAGGATCAGAGCAATGTTGCCCTCGACAGACTCAGGATAATCGGACTCGTCGCATCCTTCGTTATCGACGAGGACAAGCGTTCCGTGGACGGGCTCCTTATCCTTAGTCGGAGGAGTCAGGCCCATGGGCGATGCCTGCTTGGGAACAGAATTGCCGATAACGAGACGCGACTCGAAGACATTGCCCGACACAGCGGGGAATTGCTGGTTCGAAACGGAGTAGTAACCGCCTAGCTTGGCGAGTTCAGCGTGGATGTACGATAGCGTACCGAGATGGCCTTTGGGGAATCAGTCATTACATTCATGATAACAGTCCGATTTCGGAGAAACTCACCTTCACTGCCGATGACACGAGTCGGATGTCCATACTCCTCCTCTCCATTCTTGGCAATCTCATAGAGGTCCTTTGCTCTAGCCTCAAGGTTCTCAGGCTTAATGCTCTTCTGCAATTCCTTGGTATCAACGAGCGGAAGATCATCGCCAAAGAGATTCCAAGAGAGCTTGGGGACTTGGAGGTTAAGAGGGATCTGAAGAGCTGATACGCCCTGGAGGGCAGCCGTGGCGGCAACTAAGCAAAGACCCTTTGTCGTCATTTTGGAGTTTGTTATGGTAAAGGAGAGAGGAAGAGGGATGGAAGAGGAGGGTTTTTGTTAAAACATGGACTGGACTGGACCGCAGGTGATACAAGCTTGTGACGTGATGATGCTGGGGGACCTGGCCGGGAGCTATGGAGGGTCTTAGCTCACTGTAGCTTAGCCTGGTTGCCCTGCCAGGAACCCGAGGCATTGCTTATCTTTGCCTCAGCCCCCGCGATTTGTCTCAGCTTTGTCTTGGCAATGATCGGCGATAGCTACCCTGGACTTTGATGGCACATTGAATCGAATCTTGAGTGAGGAACAAAGGCCATTGCAATCCAATACATTTGCTCCGGTAGATAGACATTTACTATTAAAAGTTTTTTGTCGGATGAATTGTCCGCTGTGATGTTTTTCTCTCGTCGGCACATCGAGAATATATCGAGGACGGATGGAGCTACCCGGCTCATGTTGGTTTCACAACGACCAATGACGGAAAATAAGGAGGAATATTGTGTAAGAGGCTCATGAGATTGTGCCATCCAAGTAGGCTCGAATTTTCCGGGACTTGAGTGAGTAAGTCATAATAGATACAAGCGCTTATTACTATAAGTATTGGACATTGCCTTCCATTCCATGGTATCGGGTATCCAATCTCATGCCTTGGTGTTTCTCTCACAATTTGGGTTCTGGCCGATATTCGATCAAACCGTTGGGTGGCTTAAACCCACGCCGACTTGGCGACGGGCGATATTAACACTTGTGAAAAACTGTGAAAGATAAATGCTGCTGCATGGAAAGCTCACTTTTAGTCAAGTGAATAGTAGGTTGGATTGCAAAAATCATCGTGATGTGTGAGGCGCAACAAGTCCGTCCATACTAGGCCGAATACCCTCCTTTTAACAAGTCCAGAACCGCCAAGCATACCTATACCTGCAACCCAAAAACCACAAGACGTAGCAATAAATATTATTTTAGGTCATCCGAGAACCACACATCGCAGCCCCCAACTCTGTACTTCCATCTCCATTGGTCTACAATGCTTACGCCCAGCCTTCATCCGGATGGACCATCAAGATACCGTCAGCTCACTCAGCGAGCAAGAATAGATAAAGTGCTTACACAGCCTAATATCGCTAACCTGCGCAGTTAAAGTGAACTCAAGCCTCGATCTCACTCTTCTCTTTCATCAAGTCACCTCCAGTTAAGACAAGAACTCAACATGCATCCTGCTTACACACTGTATATCGGGCTCGAAGCTCGTGTAACCGAATGGAAGAACGATATGTATGCGACTGTCAGTAAAAGGCTCAGTGCGCCCACTGATGCACAATACCAGGTCAGTTTAGCGATATTGTGATGAAGGAATGCTTCCTGATATTGAGATTGTAGGTTGATGAGAAGAAACTCATGATCACGGAGAAGCAAGTTGAAGAAGGACGAGGATCAGAGAAGGAATTGCTGGAACAGAAATATGCCAGTCAGACATGATCAAATGTCACATCTGGCCCGGAAGCGATGAAATCGAACTGCCAAGTTGTTTATCATGTCTCGCACAGTGTCAGCCGATCCCTCACGTTGAAGCTTTTATATATCCATTTCCCACCCCTATCTATCTACTCTTGAACAACCGCCTTTTATCCTCGTCTAGCCACCTTCTAAGGAATACTCATCTTAACATGATCCTGCTTCTTCGTAGCCCTCCCCCCAAATCCCCATCCAATCTGATGCGCAAGCTGAATCTCGACATCCAAATCATCAGCCCAAGCCCACACCAGTCCCGGATTCTTCTGAAACATCCTCCCCGCCGCAATAAGATCCAACTTGACATCATCGTCCTTTCCAGAGATGATCTCCTCCGCAAGTGTGCCTGTCTTGATACTGCCCACTGAACTAACAAGCATCTTGTCACCAACAACTTTCTTAATGTGCTTCGCAAACTTGGCTTGGTAGCCTGGTCCGCCTTGCACTTTCTGCTGGGGATGGTTTCCGCCGCTGGATACATCGATCACATCGACGCCGCGCTCGGCGAAGAGGGTAGCAAGTTTCGCGGCTTCGTCGACGGTCCAGCTCTCGCCGGTGTACTCGGGGTTAGTATCCAACCAATCCGTCGCACTGATCCTCACGAAGAGAGGCATAGTCTCAGGAATAACAGCACGGACTTCCTCAACGAGCTCAAGCGCAAGACGAGTTCTGTTCTCAAAACTTCCACCATACTGATCCGTTCGCTTGTTAACGCTCGGCGTAAGGAACGAACTAACGAGATAGCCATGAGCAAAGTGAAGTTCGATCACGTCGAAACCAGCGGTGACGGCGCGGTTGGCGGCTTTGACGAAATCTTTCTTGAGCTGGTTAATTTCCTGGATACTCATGCTACGCGGGGTGGGCATGTTTTCGTTGAAGGGCTCGTCGCTGGGACCCACGACATCGTCGGGCCAGCCGTTGACTTCTTCGGTGGCTGTTGCGCCGGCGCTGAGCCAGGGTGCTACACAGCTTGCTTTGCGACCTGCGTGGGCGAGTTGAATGGCAATGTTTGTGTTTTGGCCGTGTGCAAAGTCGACGTTCTTGCGGAGAGTGTCGACGTGGGCGTCGAGCCAGATACCAGCATCCCTTTGAGGATCAGCTAATGAACCACAACACCAAAGATTGAGAATATACTTACTCAGGTGTAATTCGACCATTGGCTTGAACGGCAGTTGCCTCAACCATCATAAGTCCCGGCTGGAAGATTAGCTTTGATCATCTCACTCAAGTGAACGCCACTTACACCACGCTGAGCCATACCGCCATAGTGCGTAATATGCCAAGGCGTCATGAACCCTTCATGGCAGGAGTACTGACACATAGGGCTGACCCAGATTCTATTCTGCATAGTGACATTTCGAATCTTGAGGGGTTGGAAAAGTCTAGGAACTGGTCTTCCATCGCTGGGCTGGATGGCCAAACCAGGCGGAGGATCCTGCTCGGGGGTGAAGAAGGGAACACCCTTTGCAGCTTTGTTGACAATGGGATGGCTGCATTTCTCAGTCTTTGCAGGGGCAGGAGTTTCGGGTCTCGAAACAGTAATGCCGTGGTGAGGATGGACGATGCGGTTGGTGAGATATGCAGCCATGGTGAAGAGTGTTGAGATAGAGTGTTATGCTTAATGCTCCTTCAGAACCTCATCTTGGGATTGGGAACAGGAATTTATATACAGAATCATTATGGGTCAATGACGTTGTGATTAGAAATCTTGGCCATTAAAATTTGGAAAGCACCAGATCTACAGTATGTAGGGCGCGAATCTTCACATCGGCGGCACGGGCGATGAGCATTGATTCTTTCGATGCATTGAAACATTTATAATAAATAACGTTGTCCAGATGGTGGGTCAGTTATCTAAACTAGGCCTCTTGGTCTAGCAATGCCGTTAAAATAAAACATACAATTATAAATCCCGCTCGCCTCAAAAAAAACACGCTCGGTCCGAATTATCTCCAACAGTTCTCCACGTATGTTCATCATGGGTCGAGGAACCTACTGTTCACTCGACGAAGCCTTCCGCTTCTTCGATGGCCTGAGTCTTGTTCTGTTGATGGACCCGTTCGCCCCATTAAGCCTGATGTGTTGTGTCGCTTCCGGCCCCGCTCGAGTTCTTCCGTTTCTTCTGTGTCTGTCTTGAGGTTTCCAAAACTCTTGCGACACCTCACTTTTCGTTCATCATCGGGATCCAAGAATCGATGGATGGTGCGATGATCCAGAATTCTCTCTTCTTTGTCATGCGGTCCGGCCTTGTCCGTCTTGGGCCAGATGTACCCGTAAAGCTTTGAGTGTCGTTCGCAGCGAGGGCATGAAGCTCGTGTAAAATATGCGTTCTGTTGTACAAAGTAACCGTCGCAGATGGTGCACTGGATCCAGGCCATCTCAGGTTCTGATAAAAGTAGCGGTGTAAGGAGGTAGTCTCCCGGCACTCGCACTCTAGATGGGGGCGTATCTTCTTTAAATACACGACGCTGATGCTTCTTTCGTTTTGGCTGATCCTCATCAGCCACCTGACTGTCTTCGACAGTTTCGATACTGGTTGCAATAGGCTCGGTTGGCGGAGGTACCACCGTTGCTTCCTGGAGCTTTTCGGGTTCAGGCTCACTTTCAACCTCGGATTCCAGAGGAGCGTTTAAAATGGCCTGGATAGTCATGCTCTCTAGTCCACTTCCACGGGCTCTCTGTCTCGTAGTTTCAGCCGTTTGCTGCGGTGATCGTGAACCTTCAGTGCTCTGCGGAGAAACTGGTGCTCCCTCTGTCTGTTGACTGCCCTTATTCGCTTTGCCTTTTAATGGTGTATGTCCTAGGGGCTCTGGAGTCTCCTTTTCTGGGGAAGTGACATCTGTCTCGACAACACCACTTGAAGACTCACTGGCACTGACAGATGTACTGCGCGACGAATCGTCAATAACAATTACAGTCTTCTCTGCCGAAACTTTTTGGCGCTTCGCTGGAGTCTTGGGCGGAGTTGCCAGAGTATCATGCTGTCGTTTGCGATTGTTGGCTTGCTCGGCAGTTGGAGACCTGGCTGATGATGAATCGCGGGCCAGCTTTGATCCCCTTGAAGCCGCTTTTGTAATCCGTGGTCGCATATCGGGAGTGACTGATGGTGTCCGTGAAGAGCCAGAGATACTGTCATCTCTTCGTCGTCGCCGTAATGAGTAACCGTCTGACTTTTCCTGCTCAATGCTAGTTTTCACTGGCACTGTGCCCTCTTCCGGTTCCCAAGCATTCCGCAAAAGATCCTCGCATGTCTTGCACAAACACTCGCAGTTGTTCTCGCCGAAATAGTTGTCTCCGTAAGTAACCGTAATCTCCTCTCCTGCTTCAATAGGTCTTGTTGCGATAATTTCGATTCCTGCGTGGCTCGTCCTCATAAGCTTGGCGTTCGCATCGCAATCGTGGTTCGCAAAGCGGGCAGGTCCCATAAACAGGCTAGTGCACTTGCTTCGTGAGCTGACAACAATGCTGAAGTCCTTCTTCTGAGATGAGATGGCCTTTTCCTCCTCTGGCGTGATAATGACTTGAACACCGGATAGATATTTGATGGCCTCGTTGCGTCGGATAGGTCGTCTGGCTGTTACGGCAGCCTCGTGAGTAACAATTGTGTATCGGTTTGTCGAGCTGACCTCCCACGGACAATCTGGAAGGTAGATTTGAACATATCGTCTGAGATGCCGTCGAAAGTCCTCCTTTTCCTTGTCGGTCTTCAATCCATTGTGAAACCTTTTAAGCCCATTTGTTGCCAGCAATCGCTTCTCAGCACTCTCCAGGTCCTTCTTGAGAACCACCTCCTCTTGCAAGATCTTAGTGATCTCCTCCTCCCTTACACCTCTGGATGGATGATATGATGTGCGGTTTTTGGGGACCGTTGTCCAGTAAAAGACCTGCCTGTGTTAGAGCCACATTGCCTCATGAGCGATGCTCAGCCGTAAACCACTCACATGATCGACCAGGGCGTCAGTCAAAATGTCATCATATGCTGACACTTGTGCCAACGTCATGCGCGGCTTTTTGGTAGCCGCATTTTGTGATGGAGGCATTTTGCCTAATCCGAATTCACTCCAAAGCCAGCCTGATGTGTAAAGCTGTTGTCCAAGGAATAAAGGAGCGTATGTGTCCCTCGAAACTAGCTGTAAAAGTCCGAGCGAGAAAAGAGCGGAGATGTCGATCCTTGGCTCAGTGTATGAGAGCCTTGCCAAACGATGCCACAATTGAAGCCTTTATAATCTTGCTGAGCAATGCGCAGAAGTTGAAAAGATGAAAGCCAAAGTTAAGCGTTGACGTTTGATTTCAGCTAACTCAGTGCCGCAACGTCATAGGTTCAGTCTCTCTAAATAAGGAGCGATAATCGATGGAACAAAGGCAGACGAGGCTGAGACTTGAGTGAGTAAAAGATCGTGGTGCGGGTGCCTTTCAAAGAATCGGGCTTGAAGGAGGGAAGTGATGTTCAAGGTGGAATGACATGGTTGTAGCTGGCTCGGGTGCTTTCGAGGTTAGGGGGGCTTGCTTTGTTCCTCTTCCCTGGATCGAGGCCGGTTTGGGGCATTGGCTAGGCGACGGGTGGGGCTGTGTAGGCCTAGGAAATCACTCTCAAACATTAAATCAGCTCAAGTTATCAAGTTATGGTACAATGATCAAAGGGCCTTTGTTTGGGGAGTGAGGTACAGTATACATGAGTATTAGAAAGATGTTATTATTGTATTATCTTAGCAAGGGCCAGTCATAGAGATACAATCTCGTGATAAGACGACACGATATCTCCAGATTTCTTTACCCCAGCTGAGATGGGTGCCGCTAGTCGGAACAACTGTGGCTTCAACTGTGGCTGTGAGCACGTGATGCTAGTCCAAAAATTCAACGACGAGTTGGGTGATTGACGATATCCCGAGTTAGACCGTGGTGAGAGTTGAGTATTGAACCTCCGCGCGCGGAACACAGCCAAGATGATTCAATTAAAGGTATCTCGACTCTAATCACCTCGTCGAACCCTTATTGACTATGGTAGACAATGCTTAACTGCATCGACAACTCGGGCGCTGCCCTTGTCGAATGCGTCTTGGTCGTCGGCCAAAAACGACATGCCCGAATCGGTACGATCCCCCCACGAAAACGAGCAACATCTCAATCGATCCTTTCGAAATAATTCAACACTTGGCTAACATACTTTAGGTGACCGTGTCGTCGTCGTCGTTCAGGAGCAGCGTGGTAGCTCCTCTGGTGGTATGGCCGGTATCTCTGCCGCCAATAAGGTCAAGCGAGGTGATATTCGTCACGCCGTCATCGTCCGAACCCGATACCCTACACAACGCCGAGACGGCTCAGTCGTCAAGTTCGACGATAACGCTTGTGTGTTGCTGAACAAGGCTGGAGATCCCGTGGGATCACGTATCAACGGTGCTGTTGGCGCGGAGCTGAAGCGCAAGAAGTGGAGCAAGATTCTGTCCATGGCGCCTATGCAGGCATAAAGAATTGACAAGGAGTTTAGGCGGATGAGGGGATGGAAGGTTATTTACAAAAGACAGGATAGATCAGGGGATTGGGTTGGCTGCATGCAGCCGTGTACGAGTGGAATACTGTACAATTACGAATATTACTACATTAGGCATTTGCGAGGCGTTGATACGAAAATACAGACACCTTTCAGCTCTCAACACTAAACATTAGACATCACTGTGGTTCTATAAATTGGAACATTTAATGTCAAAGAACTTATATTGCATGATTGCAAGACTGCAGATGCATCTTGATAATTTACCCCTCCTACAGAAGGTAGGTCAGAAAACATGAACCTCAATCCAACGACGAAAGAATTGGGGTAAGTTTGGGATGGATTTATGTGGCCCTCCTCCAAAATCTTATTCGCTGCTCTAAGCAGTCTTATACAGGATCATTGATAGAATACAATTTGCATTTCCCTCCTTATAACCTGGCGCCGGTGACATAACCATGTCACAACCCTTTCTAAAACGCCTTGCGAATTCAAATGATAATGCGAGTATCCTCCACAACTTGGGCATCGACGATTCGTCGCCCGGGTATCGATACAAGGTTTCGCTTAAGTGAAAATGTGACCACACTCGCAGCAGACGTAGAAGAGTTTCTATCGTGGCGTTAGTGAATTGGTCTCTGAAACGTACGTGTGAGAGCTCAACTTACCATGCCGGTTTCAGCGCTTCGCTGCTGAGACTGGAAAAACACAGCTTCGGTGTGCTGGCAACTAGGGCAGGTCTTTGTAGATCGCGGGAGCTGCAGCGCGCAAAAAAAAGAAATAAAGTCAGCCAGCAGTCTTTAAGCGATGACAAGCGGGTTCCAAAGAAGACGCGAGACACCCGGTGCTCCAACTGCTGTTTCCAACTTATACTTTGTCATGTGAACGGTCGGCCGCCAACTGCTCGCCGCCGAATAATGATGCCAGAAGCCCAGAGCATGTGCCAGTCAGCCCAAGATAGAATAATATAGTCGTGCCAGTCGTGTCGTGTCGTCAGTTACATAATCGTCGTGATACAGGATGGTTGTTGGAGATGCTCATGATTCACATTTCATGGATGAATCACAGTTCATCGAGATCTCTTCTAGAAATTCTTCGCTGGCGTCGGAGAGGAAGTCATCAGACTCGGTCTTGGTGTCATCGTAGTCCTCGTCCATCATCTCCTCGTCGTAGTCGGCGAAAGGATCCTCCCATGGCAAGGTGAACTGGCACATGCCCGTGATGGGCTGACTGACTTTCTCGTTGGAGACGACCATTTGGCAATCGGGCTGGCCGCAGGAGGTGCACAAGATGACTCCGCCACAGCCGTAACAGAGAACAGGTGGAAGATGACTAACCGTTGGATCGGAGCCAACATCCTGGGTGACACCGGCGGTCTCACCGGCCGAGGTGTTGAGGACGTTGCGGAAGACGCAGGTAGACTTGGCGTCCTCGGTGTACTGGCAAGTTCGGCAGGTAAACTGAAGCTTGTGAGCATCCTCGTCCTCCTTGGGATAAAGCATGTTTGAGCATTCAGAACAGAATCGGAAGGTGATCTGCTCGAGCTTCTTGTCGCCTTCGGCGCCCTCGTAAGAGGTGGTGGACTGGGGGGTAGCCATTTGGTCGGTTGGGTGGTGGTTGTATGAGTGGTTCAATTTGAAGAGAATGCTTGGTTGCTTATGAAGATGCAAGAAGCAAAAACAAATTTGAAAGCTGAAATATCTATTCGATATTTCAAGCTGTGAATGTGAGATGGCGATTGTCGCTCTGGAATAGAGGTCGTGCTGTTGTTGAAGAAGAAAGAAGGGGAGAAGTGATGGATGAAAGGCGACAGGGCTGGAAAATAGTTCAAGTGGGAGGGGCTTCTGGCTTCCGCTGGCTTCCTGTCCCACTTTTCTGTGCAAGTCCTTGAATTTGGTTGCTTGTGTTGGGTTTTTTTTGGGTTTGGTGCCTAGAGCTTGGGCTTGGGCTGTGTTGGGTTTATAACAGACAATTGGCAGCCAGCCACAAATTCAGAGGCTTTACAGCTGAGAAATTGGTAGTTATGCAGACGTGTAATTGACGGGCGTTGCTCAAAACTCGTAAATTCGTGAACATAGATGATAGTGAAATTACAGAGGAAGAGAAAAGAAGAACAAGGCTTCCGTGTTGGGGTCGGTCGAGTTTTGTACGGAATGCATAAGCTGCAAGTGACGAACAAACCAAGGCACAGCATAAACAGTGAGTGATTCAGCGCGTTATCCTTCAGTGGCCTCGTGTGGACTGTCACACGTGGGCCGTCTACAAACGAGACGAAAGCTATTCCCTCTGCCGCGCCTTGTTATTGCTGACTCGTTATCTCTATTTCACGGTCTTATGCTGCGAGTGGCAAGGCAAAAACACTGGGGACAATTCATTTCTTGACAGGGGTTGGTTATTTGCGGTGACTCACGTCTTCAACTTCAACTCTATATGAGGCGGTGATGCCTTAGAGTCATCTAATCATGAGGCAGCCAGAAATACTTGATACCTACGCGTGCATGAAACAACATCGCTGTGAATGTTTTGAAAAGGGCTCTTATTGGATGATGCTATCTATTCCAGCTGAACAGTTACGGAGGTTTGTCCGGAGGAACAAGGCTGGTGTCCGAATGTTCACATCATCACTGGTGCGTTAATCAGGCACAATGTAACATCCGTCACAACAAGGAGTAAACTAGAGTGACGTGCATGTAAGAAATATGCGTGAAAAATACACCTCTCAAATTAGGGACTAGACACAAGACGCAGGAACATGGTTTTCTGCCACTTCAAACAGCATTAACTGGGTAAGGTATTGACAAGTGATCAATAAGTGGCACATGGAGGGCTACGTGAGGTCCACGAGACCATCACGATCGTACCAAAGCGGAACTTGAGACACGATCAACACGAAAAAGGCCGCAGACACGTACACGTGTAGAAGGTACGTAGACTATGTGGAATTCGTAATTGGCCGAGAGCGAACGTATTGGTGAATAGGGAGTTGTTCCTAGGCTTATAGTAAATTGTCCGATCTGACGCTTGGAGGTCGGCGATTAACTAAGCAATTCGTGTAAAGCTCAGGATGGGGTGAATCATAAAACAGAAGATACTATTGCCTTGCGTGAACTAGGTAATCGCAATCTGATTGCGTTGGCCAACTCAACCCAGGCCGCCAATATCTTTGCAGTCAGCAAACAAATCACACTTCCAAGACCATACGTAGTAGCACACCTCCGCCTTTAACTCTTGTCATACCAGCTGCTTTGAAGGCAACCACCAACTTCCATAGGTAAAGCGTATTGGAAGTGATTTGAGAGCTTTGCGGCGACTTATCCCTTACTGAATTGGCGACCTAGCCATACATTTTCGAAAGATGATTACACGGTAGTAAATTCAATGCTCAACAGTGGGTTTCTACCGTCTTCAACTCTAAGGCATTAACGAGACGTAGATTGAAGGCTCCCAAAGCTCATCACTTCACGACTTGTCAATACTACTTTTAGATCCTTCAAAGACTCTTCTTTTTTATCAAATTGGTGTAAAGAGCATGCATTTATCGGAGCACTTTGCGTCTCTGTTTAGGGAGTAGCATTGTGATACACCACACAATCTGCGATGGTCCTGAAACTCCTAATTGATTGTACGATGAGATCGGGTGCATACTCCTAATTGAGAAGCTCAAGGCAATTATTCGTTTCCGCATCTGTTCTGTCGCAGTCATGCACATTCTCTATAGCCAGCAGACTGAATTTGTATGCCCATGATTTGAAATGGGGCATCTGGGTACCTCCAGGTGCGGCGGATGGTGTTGTAATATGGTCTCAATAGTAGCTTTCGCAACGTCTGCTTCCGTTCGTCTACACATCTAAACCCTAGTTCTAGTATTGATGAAGAACCCCAAAAAAATGGCATTGATTTAAGAATTATTTACAATTAACTTCCTAGAGTCCTTTATCGTAGTCTTCGTGTGAAGATGGTTACACTCAACTAGCCACTTAAACCTGTAGACTATCGATTTACCCTAGGCCCGGCTGGCATCTCCGTGTTATTCTATTCTACATCCAACTATCCGAACCAGGTCCAGGGTCAGTGACAACTGACAGATCTGCAGGTTATTCCGAATGGATGGAAGCGCACCTCCGCATTTTCCCTTTGGCGCTGGTGGTGTGAGGGAGGGATGGCGGAGAAGCTGGTACAGTTGAAAGGTTCCGATAGACGAAACCTCCGAAGTTCATCGTTGATACTACATCTTCACTCCTGTCAAACCTTGCGAATGCCGTCCCGAATTACCAGGCCTTTCAAGTTTACGCATCTTCAGAGCTTATTGGCTTACAAGGAACCCGGAGATGTGATGTGCCTTTAGCTCGACGATGCCGAGCGTCTGGTGACAAGTAACCCCTTCATTAAGCATGCACTAAGACTGATCCCATGATCTGAAGCCAGTGAGCATGGTTTATTACCAACCGAGTTGGGTACCTTAGGTATATCCCTCGTTAAGAGAGGTAAGGGTGTATTGAGGCGCTTGTTAGAGGTTGAGTCGCTGCAACGCTTCGAGCCTTTAAGCCTATCAGAGCTGCGGGTAACTCACCCACCCACTGAAAGAAGGAAGGGACACCCCGCGTCAAACCCCGCCCACCACAGCAACGCCGCATGGCAACCGCGGGGCCTGGTCGCTCCTTCTGTTGTACAGTACGGCACGTCATTGTTCCAGTTAGGTCGAGTCGAGAATCGACGGGAGGACCCAGCTCCATCAGCTCCAGCTTACCATACCTTAACTGGTAGCCCATCCATCTCATCACTCCCCATCGTAACACATCTCTCAAGCTGCAACTTTTGTTTCCCTCAAAGACGACATTTTTGACGATCGATACCCTCACGACGAGGCTGAACACAGCTCATTTTTGTTTTCGCTTATACCCGCTTCAAAGTCAACAACAAATATAAACATGGTAAGCAGCTCAACAGCAAGCCTCGACAACCGTCGCAGATCCTTCAAGACCTCTCGTCGCCCCCTCCCTTGGCTGCATTTATCAACTCACAGAACTCAATTCATCAACTAACATTTACACTACAGGCTGACACTGGTCTTCCTCCGGGCTGGGAGGTTCGACACTCCAACTCCAAGAACCTCCCCTATTACTTCAACTCTGCTGAAAAGCTCTCACGATGGGAACCTCCCTCCGGCACCGATACCGAGAAGCTTAAGCATTATATGGCTACTAACCACAGCGCTGGCTCTCGTCCCGGTGCCGTCGCTGGTGTCCCTGAGGGCAAGATTCGCGCTGCCCATCTACTAGTCAAGCATCGCGACAGTCGACGACCCAGCAGCTGGAGAGAGGTGCGCATACCCAACCACGATACCCGACAGTCGCATTGACAGCTGACTAACACAATTACTGCAGGCTGAGATCACGCGCACCAAGGAGGAGGCTCTTGAGATCATCCAGGACCACGAGCAAAAGATCAAGTCTGGTAGTGTCACACTTGGTGAGCTCGCTCTTAGTGAATCCGACTGCTCTTCTGCTCGTAAGCGAGGCGACCTTGGATACTTTGGCAAAGGAGACATGCAGAAGGAGTTCGAAGATGCTTCCTTTGGTCTCCAGCCTGGCCAGATGAGCGGAATTGTGGAGACAGCTAGCGGCCTTCACTTGATTGAGCGGTAAGTTTAATGCCTGTGGTTTGAGTTTATTACTGACTTTTCCCAGCCTGGAATAAACTGAAAAGTATATATAATTGACCAAATTTTGTAAATTGACAAAGCAGAGCGTATCGTTGACGTCCTCGCGCCATACCTCGCCGATCGCTTCTGTCGATATCCTTTGAATCGTGATATACATGTGGTTGACTTCGACACCATATTTTCAAACTTCAGTGAGACTGGGAGTCATTTAAATCTTGTTTATTCTACATTATTCTTCCATGTCTAAATATCTACAGTACCCAACCACAACTGGCTTCTACCAGACTTGCTTTTTGTCTTTCTATCCGTCTCCCCAGCAAGTATATAACTCTAAACACTAGGTCACGAACGCTACCACGTCTATCCTGTTGGAATTCTATCGCCATCTCTCTTCAGTTGGCCAGACCCAACACAGCACCTTTGAAAGGTTCGACAGTTGTGAAAACCACCGTCATGACACCGGATACTGTCATAGCAAGAGCAGCGTACGGGGCTGCGCGACTTCTAGTCTCGTACAGGTACGACACGCCCATGGCCGCGCCATTGATACCAACCGTGATACCTGCCGAGATTGTAAAGGGGTCATCGCCACTTGGCAAATCTTTTTGAGCTGTTCTCAGAAGAGGCTTCAGGCTCAGACGTGAGGCCCTGCCATCGGAATCGGAAATGTTGATGCTTGAACGGGAGACACCGCCTTCTCGTCTAACACCTAGTTTGTCGAGCACGAACGGGTAGCAAAGCTGACCGAGGATTCCGTTGCTTACCACGAGGGCAGCATTCACACCGAGATTTCCACCAAGTGCTTCCATGGCCGGTTTGGCAAGTGCCAAAGTTGTGCTCCGTGCAGCAAATGCCAATGCTGTGGGTGCGTTCAGACCGACAAGCCTCCCCCCAGGACCGACAGAAAGACGTTTCCAGCTGCAGCTGTCGTTGCTAGGATGATAGTGAGGAAACCGGCGAGACTGAAGAGCTGTCGTTGGCATTCGTATAGCTTAAAGCCCCATATCAGAATTCCGCATTCGAGGATAGAAAGTGCAGCGTCACCGGCGCCAAACCACGGGCTTCGTCCATCTGAAAGTGGTGTTCCAGTTGCCACAGAGGTCCAAAGCACATAAAGAGGCGTTTCTCCGCTGAAATCGCGCAGTACCTTGTCTATACTGCCGATGCCATATGCGCCCGCTTTGGCTCGGGTATATGCCGTCATGAAGAGGGTCGTGAACAGGACAGGATTCATAAGCGTGACGATCGTGTTCTTGAGCTTCGGCATGTCGGTGCAAAGTTGGGAGGCCTTGAGGGCTCGTTGGAGTCGCAGTGTCAGCACCCAGACGAACCAGAGAACGCAGCCATCGAGGATGCGATCATCGTTGGTGGCGGCGGCTACTGGAGCTCCGATCACAAAGACGGCGAGAGATGATGCGATCAGTGGAAAGTTGGACGTCCAAAAGTGCCAAACCTGTGACACCTGAACTGGATCCTTGGAAACAACGGATGATCGTTGGCTGACTGTCACTAAGGTTGCTTCGTCCCGCCCGGTTGTCGGAGGGTTTGCCACCTTTTCACGACGGCCAAAAATGCGCTGTTGTCCTTGGTCCAGAGTTGAGTCGGAAAGCCAGCTGGTTTCGATCCGGGGAGGAGTTTCTGTCATCGGTTGCGGAAGGCAAAAGTCGTCGGGCACTTGGCCAGTCATTCGCGCCACACAGCTCATAACGAGAAGCGAGAGGGCAAAGACCATGGCCCATGAAGCAAGGTTGGTTATTACTGGAGCGATGATGAGAAATTATTCGAGGAGTTTTTGCACTGGAACATACCAAAGTTGCCGATGACGCAGCCGATATCGCGACCGCTGAGAATGTCGCTCTGGTTGAGCATCACGAGAGGAATTGGAAAGCCCAAGCCAAGATGAACATTGATGAAGTCGACCTGCAACGAAAGTTAGTGCTATCGTTATGGAGAATCGCGTTCACTTTACCTTGGACTTGATGTGCCTTCGATACACACCATCAACATCAGCGAAACAGAAGTAGGCCGCAGCCATGAAGCAAAATGTCAGAGCCATGCCAAAAATAGAGGAGAAGAACTCGAGATGCACAGGAGCCAACGCCCTACTCAAACCCCATATGATCAGCTCGCTCATGAGATAGACGACGACGACCCAGCCAAACTCCAGCACATTGCTGGCGACAGTGATGAATCGCGTCCTCCAGAGATCTGATAGCGACATGTCTCGGGCTGCTTGAAACAGTGATTGTGGGGAGGTGATCCATGATGGCCTCGAGAGGAGCGGATTGCGAGCTTCATTTGAGGGTCTGAGACAGCGGAGGATTTCAGAAACGTTGTTTCTAATGGTAGTAGTCATGGTGGAACTGCAACCGCAACGTCTACGTGATGAGCACAGTCAGGTTGGGTTGGTAAGGGTGAAGAAGCACAAGGTCGGCGGTTTGGGAGGCGTTACACATGAAGATACACCCCTTTCGCAACTTGCGGAAGGGTGATGATTGTTTAAAAAGGGTTCAAGGGCCAAGCGAGATGTGTTGGAAGGGAAAAGAGGGATTGGGAAATGGGTGAATGGGGGGCAGAAGTGTTGACAGTGACAAAGCCAAGCCGGGGGGAGGTTTGCACTGGCAGAGTGTATTCTGCAGCTAATGGTCACATATTCACAGCTACAGGCCTGTTTGAAACGGATCATTGTTCTATCTGTTGACGTGTGCAGCTCTTTTTGGAAAGATGATGTAGGGACCCGACATATCTACAATCTAGATCGGCCTGTTACCGAGCATGTCTGGAGGAATTGGACCACCTCTGACCATGTCAGATTGGCTGCATATGATATCTTGTTTGCGTCGGTTTGACACATTAAACGGGAAGAACGGGAACGCGCCTTGAAGCCAGACCGTCTCGTTTGAAGGGTGTTCTCTGATCTTGTATTCTCTTCTCCCGTTACGAGGGTTGTTTGACAAAACGTCATGATGGATATGGCCAGAAATAGGTTGAAACACGATTAAATTCCCCGTGGGGACTTGATGTATAGATGAGCAATGGATATATGAGGTTGGAGGATTTGTTTTTTGATAGTGACGATTTCTTGGTCACAACAGGGAGGACGATGTTGGGGGACGTAGGACGGGAGGTTCAAACGGATGAGGAGGGGAATGTATCAGATATACAGATGACGAGTATGATGGATTTTGGGTGTTTGCTATTTTTCTTTTCTAAGCTGATCCTTGAGACTTGCATAAAAGTAGATTGTCAAACAATTCTGAAGATGGTGATGCTGTCGTGTCTTGTAATGGCAGTGTATCAACAGGACATCTCCCCTGAATTAAACAGCCTGAATGCATGCGCAACCGTTGCGATCTGAGAATATTTCTCTCTTCACGAATCATCGCCTCCTGTAAAGAGCATCAAGATGTCCATCCAAGCTCGCCTCATGCAAGATGCGTTGTAGATGCTGTGGCACGCTAGCCCCGCCTTCACTGGCCTTCAGGCTGTACCTCCACTGAAAAAAAAAGTGCCGCGCAAGGCTCAGGGGTTGTTTGACCGCCCGGGATCTTTGAGCCGAGATTTAACGTCTGGGCGTTTGTTTTGTTTGAATGTGAGGTTATCTTGAGCATCATCACGACGGTACGGCACAGCATTGACGTTTGAGTGAACTAATTCTGAAAGCCAATTGCTCGGATCTTTGGTTGTTGTTCTATTCTCAGATGGGACTCATTTGTTTCGGTGGACAAATTCACTTGAGGCTCATTCAGTACACCGTCTGACTGACCATCTTCCACAACACCTATCTCTATTCATGGTACTCAGCAACATCTTCATCTTCTCCAGCGACGACTTGTGTCATCAAAAACACCGCTACTCAATCAACCCTGGAAACAAACGCTAGCTGTATCACCCCATCACGGTTACTTCAAAAACGCCACCTCGCTATTCCACAGGTCCAAAATGGATCTCAGCTCCAAGCATCGCGCAGAAGCCCTGCTTCTCAAGGCAGCCCGCGCGTACGGCATCTCCGCCTCCAAAGAAGACGTGCAACACGCCCTATCAGACGCTTCATTCGTGGACTGGACGAATCTGCATCTTGCAAGCGATCATCTCCTCACGGGTGATGAGCTGGCACTGTGAGTCGTTACTCAGTGTATCTGTTTATGTCTATGTTGATGCTGATGTGTGGTTTTTTCGATAAGGTACACTGCACTTGATAAAAGTGGGCAGGTTGATCAGTTGGCGGATCTGTATGATTTGGGAGAGGTGCAGGCGGTGAATGAGGATGATGTTCGTGCGGCGATTGAAGAGCTGAATAGGTCGACTGCTACGATATCGAAGCAGACTGAGACGTTGAAGCAGCAGCGTGATGCGCTGGCGAGATTGGTTAAGAAGCGTGATGAGGCGGAGAGTCAGAGGAGGGACCTTGAAGAAGCGCGTCTTAACAAGACGAAACATGCGCTGAAGAAATTGGTGTTTGAGGTAACACAGAGTAAATGCCCTTTGAGATGAGAGGGAAGGTTACTAATGCGGTGTAGGTTGATGGTGAGGCACAGAGTTTGGAGTATCGTGTTGCAGATCTGGAGCAGATTGCTAAGGACTCGCGATCGAATCTTAAGAAGACGGTTGATACAGTATTTCAGTCTGATGATAAATTACTGTCGAGTTTACAGAAGCTTGGGTGGGAACTTGATCAGCAGGACCCGGAGGAGGAGAAGACTATTGAGAAGTTGAGGGAGACTTGTATGAGGTAAGTCATAACCCTCCGTTGACCTGTTTGGTGCTAACTTGTTAGGCTGATCAAGACTACTGTCGAGACTCTGAGGACAAGATTGGATAGGATATATCTTGAAGCTATCCTTGCGGCTGAGCGCTCGGGAGATGTCAAGGCTGCTACTCAAGACGATGTTAAAGCTCTTGAAGAAGAGCTCGAGTCGCTTTACTCGGAGATCTTGCCTGTTGCACAGATGTCTGCTGAGCAGCAGCATTTGGAACCAGCGCTGAAGTCAACAGATTCGCAGAGTGGACAGAGCATACATCGTTCAGCAGTAGCAGTTTCTTACGTACGTGTATTCTCCTGTCATGTTCTTCGTGTCGCTAATATTGTCTAGGTCAACGAGTGTCTTGACTATCTCGTAGAAAGGATAACACTCCTCACAGACCGTGTCGAAACTCTCAAATCTCACAATGCCGCAGCATCCTCCATCATTGCTACGGCAAAGGCAGAAGTATCTGCCTCACTATCGCCCGAGAAGAAGAAGTCTATCAGAGCCGCTATGCCAGCATCTCCCATTCGAAACCCCTCTCCGATTCGCATGCGCGCCAACACAGACGGTGCCCGGCGCGGCAACAACAACAGACGTCGCTCATCCGGTATTCTCGACGAACCTGCAATCGAAGCTCTCCTCCGTGATTTAGCGCTTTCACTACCAGACGCTGAAGAAACTTCCATTCAGGATCAAGTATCCGCTTTGAACAAAGCTTTTGCAGAAAGGTCTGGCAAAACTACAGATGTGGTGCGTAATGCACAGGATAGTTTTGAGACGAGCGTTACCTCTCGATTGGATGATGCTAGGTTGGCTATTCAGCTTTTGCGTGATAGTGTATTGGCTGAGAGTCCGTTTGGGGAGATTAAGATGGTTGATCCGGAGTTTGAAGGGTCGATTGATGTGTTGAGTCAAGAGGTGGATAAGGTTAAGGAGAAGTTGGACGGTGTTGTGGCGAAGAAGGCGTTGGCGAAGAGTGTGAAGAAGGATGAATTTGTGCAGAGATGGGCATCATAAGCCAAAGAAGACAATTCTGGTGAGATGCATAGCTGATCTATATTCAATTATCTAATACTCGTTACACATGCAACCACGCATGGTCGATAAACATAGGCTGCGAGAATATACTATCAAGTGAATATTGCTCCAACCCTTCATAAATATCTGCTGTCATTGAATCACCAAGCGAAGTCTGTCGTTGATCCGTTCGTCTTTCACCAACAGGGTGAACAAAAGTCGTTTGCACACTAACGGTTGTCTTGGAAGCATCGGATTGACCGCCTTGCGTTCCATCAGTCGTAGGCTGCGGTGCTACAGCGTCCATGATATCTGAGTCGATAAGCTGCCAGATCTTGGAAGGCTGAAAACTAATCATGTTGTTATCCTGGGCTTGACTCGACATTGTCTGTAACTGATGTAAAAGTTCTCGCTGTCATCGTTAGTGCATACTCCTAGCTGGGGGTGTATTTGACAAACCTTGTGTATGCTCCTCGGTGAAGGATCAGGCATCGACTCCAGAAACTCCACACATTTTCTATAATTCTCCTTCGATGTCTCTGAGACTTTTGCGTCCCTAGCATACTGAAAAAGCCACGGTATTGTCGCCGTCGCAGCAACGAGATCGCCTATTAACGGATCATACACCATTAATCCACGATCCATACACGTTTGGACTAAGCGCGCTACCCAAGCTGAGTGAAACATGGCTTGATCGACAGTTTGCTGAAGGAACAACCTTGGTTGAGAGGGTCGATTCGCTCTTCGGAGAGTAACAAGATGGATGAACGGGTGATTTAATAACGCTTGTGTTGCGTGTGCTGTGATTTGGAAGAGAAGCCATGGCGCCCAGTACTCTCGATGTCTTTCGAATTCTTCTGGTGTTCGCTCCGAAAAGCCCACGTTACGAACGAAGTGTATATGACCGAGCCTAGACTCAAGATCATACAGTGTATTCGTCAATTGGTAAAAGTTAGAATTCGTATCAGCAGGGTTATCAGCCTTTCCAATATGAAGCGCATGAAGATATGAGATAACATCGCCACAGAACGACACAGCGCGCACAGCATGTGATGTTATTCCAGGATCTGTCCTCAAGTCATCACGAATACTTTCCAGATCCGGTGCGTATTCTTCATCGCCTAGATACGCTGGCGGTGAAGGTTCTCTTGCGCTGCGGGGGTATTCTGGTTTGGTGTGTGTTTGGGAGAGTAGGGTGAAGCGAGGAGCGAAGCCTTTTTCGAGGATGAAGACACTCCAGTAGCACCTGAGGCTGGTGTCGCCTTGGGGATTGTGAGAGGATTCTGTGTAGCCTGCTCCGCGGACGAGTTCGAGTCTGCTGGCTGCTCCTATTGTCATCAGAGCCAGAGCTGGTCTTCCTTCTGTAGCCGAATTAGTACTGTGATACGAAAAGAAGGCGGAGTGGGTACCGAGGATGTCGCCTAGAGCAAGGAGGCATAAAGCTTGCGATATTTCTAACTGGGCTATTCCTCTCATGGCGAGTTCAAGTACCGTATCACGCGCTGATCTCGCATGAGAGTGAATCAAGTCAGCTTCCTTCGCACTGCTCGAATCATACGGTAAGTTTGATAGCGCAAGTGCGAGGAAGATCCATTGAAGAAACATGGGAAACCTCTCAATGCGATCTCTCAGCCCTTCTGGGTTGAAGAGAGGCAGTGGTTGGAAGTATAAACGCCTTCGGTACTCTTCTACAGCATGGTTAAGTGAATCTGGCGATGGCCTTGCCTCTGTTGCTGAAGGGAGCCTGGTAATTGTAAGTACATAGATGTGTCATACAGTACGAAAGGATAGCTTACCATGATGCTGAGACTTCATCGTTGATGCTCACTCTGTTCATCCGTCTTGAAGCACTTTCGACGAAAGATCCCGACCTGTTTGTGTGCCTTGGCAAGGAATCTGGGGTCAAGGCTGAGCCATTGCTCGATGAGGCAGCTTGAGGATGACTTCGCACCTGTTAGTTGCTGCACTGGCAGGTATTTCGCAGTACATCTTACTGAAGAAGATCATATATCTCTTCACCCCGGTTCTCAGCACTCGAAACGAGGTCTCTCGATCCCGGTTTCCTGGTCACTCATAAGACAAGTCATTTAGTCAAAGTTATGACTCACGCTCTAGAAGTCCTCCTCCTCCGTTTAACAGTCTCCCGATTCCTTGGTAAATATTCGCAAGGTTGATTCAACCTCTCACAAAAAGAGCACACAGGCCGTTCCCCAGTACATCTCGTCTTCTTCCGTCTGTTCCCGGATTAGAAAATTACCCTTGTAAATACATCGTACGACTCACCGACAGCTCTCGCACGCACGCCGGACGGATGATTCGGGATTACCTGTCATTATGAAATCGACAGTGGGGCAGCTGGACAAGCATTCAGAGGAAGCATATACAATATGTAGATGGGATGAAGAGGACGAGACACGGATTCTCCGTGCCCACCTTTAACCTGGGGAAATGTCCACGTGACTCAATTTGGAGAAGTTTACGGATGACTCCGAAATACTAGTTTTTTAGATATTAAAAAGATACCGAATTCCAGAGCTTTCCTCGCTCGTATCTCATGATTTGGGAAGTTGATCTAGTGATAGGGTTATTAGTGAGTCGTAGACCGGAGAATTGTCGTGGTAGTTTTCCGTGCCCGTTGGTGAAAAGACGGTGAAACACGATTGGTCAATGCCCTCTGGACACGGAGTTTTAAACCAAATTTCCGTCTTAGACATCGACTTATACAAGTCGCTTGTCTACTATAAGACCAGCTGATTGTTTCTTTCTTTCCATTCTTCAAATCATTACTTCTTCCTATCTCTAGTATTGTTATATCAGCCTCAACATGACTTCTAGAACGCCTGCATCAAAGAATGAGCCCATCGTCATCGTGGGCGCTGGTGTCTTTGGCCTTTCAACTGCCCTTGAACTCAAGAAGAGAGGTTATCAACATGTCACAGTGCTGGATCGCTATCTACCTCCTGTGATGGATGGAAGCAGCGTTGATATTTCACGTGTGATTCGTGTGGAATATGCTGATCCTTTCTACGGGAAGATGGCCACTGAAGCCGTCGAGGGCTGGACGGGTCAATATTCACAGCACTACCATCAATCAGGCTTTGTGATGCTCACTAATGCTTCGGGAAACTCTTTTGTGGAGCAGAGTAAGGAGTCTAACAAGACTCTTGGAGGAACGTTGGAGGAGTATGAGAATGCACATGATATTCGAAAGCAATTTCCTGCCGTTCAGTCTCAGCTTGATGGCAAGAAGGCGTACTTCAACAAGACTGGAGGCTGGGCGGATGCAGAATCTAGTATTCAACAATTGGCTACTGAGTGCTCTCTTGCAGGTGTGTCGTTCATCACAGGCTCAAGAGGCAGGGCTTTATCTCTACGTTACAGTGGGCAGAAAGTCACTGGCGTTAATGTCGCTGAGGGTGACACTATCCCAGCTGCACAAGTCATCATAGCCACTGGAGCGTGGTCGAACAGACTCCTCCCAATCAGCCACGCCTCATCTGGCTCCGGACAACCAGTCGGTTTCATCCGCCTCACCCCCGCCGAAGCAGAGAGACTCAAAGATATGCCCGTCATCATCAACCTCAGCACAGGAGTCTTTGTCTTCCCACCTACACCAAAGACACATATCCTCAAGATTGCTCGCCACGGCTATGGGTGGGCGACTGAAGTCGAAGTTAAAGATCCTCTTGGACAAACTCGAATGGTATCATCTCCCAAGCGAGACGGAAATAACGCTACTACCAATTATTTGCCCGATGATGCGCTACAAGCTCTTCGTGAGGGACTACAAGATCTTGTGCCTGAGGTCGCGGATCGGGAGTGGTTGAGAACACGGCTTTGTTGGTACTCTGATACGCCTGAGGGAGACTTTATCGTGGATCATCATCCTGTTCGTGAGGGTCTTTTCCTTGCTACGGGTGGTGCTGGACAGTGAGTTACTCTACAAGCTCTAACGTGGGTTATACTGACAATGATGTAGTGCTTTCAAGTTTCTCCCTGTTCTTGGAAGGTATGTTGTTGACTGCTTTGAGAATAAGGCTTCCGAGGAGCTTCGACATAAGTGGAGGCTACGAGCTCCAACTGGACAGGATATGGTGAAGCAGGGTGATGGTAGTCGAGGTGGCCCTCCATTGAGAAAGTTGACGAGGGCTGAGCAGGCCAAGCTGTGAAAAGCAAATAGATGTATTCATGTAAAATGATTGATTACTTGATATAGGGTTTTAGCTAAGATAAACAATGAATACCTGCCATACAATGGAAGGCCACCTACTCCGAGTTTGTGAGTATCGCGCCAGATTCTACGATCTTTGCGCTACGAGGAACAATGGCTCATGTCACAATAGTCATGCAGCATAAAGCAGTGCGCCTATCACGATAAGAGACGAGCCCATGGTCTTGGTCTCATACCACATCGTACACGTACGCCATACTTTTTCTTTTGAGCAGTAAGATATTCCAAGTGAGCATGGCAGCAGAGTCTTGATGCTTGTATACGAAGTACATGTCACGCCTACGTTTACGCATGGCCCCTACGATGGTGTTTTGGTGTTGTATTATGTGGGATATGGAGATATGTGTGACATGTGATATCCCAAAGCTTGGTGACTGGATTCAACTCCGTCACCGTTTGTGTCTGTCCACTCACCACATTTGTGACCATCTTAGCCAAGAGGGGCACAGGTGAAAGGGTTCTTGACAGTTCCGTGATCATACTGGTCGATCTGTAATGAGTGTTAGTCGATGTTGTGTACATGTTTGCGGAGGCTGACTTACAATATCGATGACAGCAGAGTAAGTTCCGGCAACTAAGAAGACAAGCCCCATTATGAAGATGATGGCATTGACAACGCTCGAAAGGATGTTCTTCTTGCTGTACCATTTTCCTTCCCTCAAAAGCATAAACCACATGACAGCGGGCCAGTACAGAGTAAAACCCGAGTTCAGCAAACTGGATGTGATGGCGATCAAGTCGCTGAAGAAGGGGATAGCCTCTGCGATGACGAAACCGATCCAGGTGAAGATGCTGATGAGAAGAAGCCAAGAGATCCAACCCTTGGGAGTGTTGATGTACTTGGCGATCGAATTCTCATAGATGCGACCGTGGATGTAGCGTACGGCGACAGTCGTGTTGATCGAGCCACTAATGAAAATGACCGGTAAGGCGACGCCAAAAGCAACCTTGGCAACGGTATGGCCTGCAGACAGAAGCGCTGGAGATTTAACATCCACACCAACGAAGGAGTAGATGAGAGCGCCGGTGAGGGTATAGATGACGATTTCGATACCACCGAGTGTCCAAATAGCCTTCATATAGTCGGTAGGCGTGTGCATTTCATCCATAAAGCTGAACTGCGAGATGGAGAAGCTGTACGCGAAGAAGATGTTGCACAGCGCAATAAAGGCCTGAGCAAAAGTGACATCAGGCTTTGGCCAGGCAGACCAATTGGCCGGTTCAGGCGCATCGGAAGATCGAATTCCAGTTGCGATGATGGTGACACCGATAGCTGCGATGATGGACGCGAAGTCGATATAGCCCAGAATAGCCACCTCTGCAAAACTAGGAGGCACAGCAAGAAGCAGCAGCAGGACAGCTGAGATGACGCCCCAGACAAGACCACAGATATTACTCTCGGTCAGAGTCGCAAACGCAATAGTCCCCGTCAAGCAATGCGACGCCGTGAGGAGCAACAACTGAAGCGTAACCATCACACCAAAAGCCTCAGCACCCCACCGTCCAAACATAAGTCCTCCCGCAGCAGGATAGTGCTCAACATGCGGATACCTGACCTTGACCTGCCCAACAATATACGACGTATAAATCGCAATAAGGCCAATGCCAATTGAGCAGATAACACCAGCGACCATACCCAGCGTTGCAAAAGCACCAGGGATGGAGAGGGAGCCGAGCGCGACAGCCTGGACGATGAGAACGATGGTGAGGCGCTTCCAGCCGAGACGGCTGAACTTGGCCTTTCCGTCGAGGATCTTGCGTTTCTCGAATTCGGTTACTTCGCCGATCATTTTCTCGCTGGTGGAATCGTCATCTTGGGCGATGGGGGAGGAGAGGATGTTGTTGTCTTGAGGGCCTTGGGGCTTGTCCTTGTTTTTGCTGGCGGTGGAGGCCGCGGGGGTGATGGAGGAGGTCATTGTTTTTTTTTGGTTGGATTGTAGCTTAGTCTCCCATTGTCACACAGACTGTTTACGTGGTGAACTCGTTAGAGGTTCAGAAAGGATGAGTATGGGGTGAGTGAAAGTTTGAGTGAAGAGGGACTGGGTTGTCTTTGTAGGGCCACAGTATATGACTCCCCTTTAGCCCGACGTCGGACGGGACGTGGAGACTCATATTAACCATCTGGATCCATGTGAGGAGAGGCGAGAATTAAGAAAAAGTTTGTCAGTCTATGGCATGCCATACGAAAAGCGTGCGTTTTGCCAGGACCGGGTCATTCCACGATCCATGATGGAGTAAGAGTGGATCATTCCGTGGTGTTTCTAGAAAGATTATCAAGTAAACCTTCTTTAGAACTATTCTAATTGGTTAAACTAATGGGGCTCAAATAATAGCCGAATCAGTTAACGTCGATAGCTCACAACATCAGATTTTTATAAGACTTTTCTTCACATTCTCAACCAATTCGACTTCAGTTACTCATGAAAAGATGACAATCACAGAATATTAATTAGCTACTCTCGTCCTTATTACTAAAAAGAATGAGTCCTTTTGCTGGGGAAGCTTGTAAAGGTCCCTGAGACGTGAAAAAAAGCTGATGGTCTTTTGTGGATTCTGTTACTCAAAAGTCGGTCCATTTTACCTAATCAACCTGGATTCAAGCGGAGGCACCGAGTCAGAAGATTGAACGAGATGGGCTGTCGCCCCCTTGAATTTGATACAGAGAAGACGCGGAGCCGAGCCGAGGGAAAGGAGAGATGCCGGCGGATGCGGAGGAGATTGAGAAGTCTAAACTTTATATGGTGAATGTTGCATGAAGTATCGCGACTTACAACTGTGGTGTTGAACTACAATGCGATCACAACGGTTATAGGCGGCACTATGTATGGCAGTTACAAGGAGAGTTATAGTCCGAAATAGAGCTTTCGCTCAGATCTTATCGGACATTATGCTGCAGCTCGACAAGCCTTTTACATGCTCGTATCAGAGCCGCGTCCCGTAGCCGCCGTACGTAATAAGATCCCATTTCATTTCGCATGCTTCATTTCCCCAAGTTTTCTCCAGATGATCTGCCAACTCAACCATATTCCCCCACGTTGAGTTCCTTCGCATGCATGACCCGCTACGTGTAACAGCTCATCTTAACGAGGCAGCTGTTGAAGCTAGACTCGCTCATTACGTACAGGGGATTTCCGTGGATATCTGGGAACTCCTCCACTTCTTGCGAGTAACTCGGAGTGTGTTGAATATTGCCCGTTTCGAGTAAGGCCGTTTTGTGGTGACATGATACTTGATAGACTATATATGGGTGAATCATGATATATGCCCTTGATCTTTGTATTCAGTGTCTCATTATCATAAAGGAAGCCTAAGCTTCAATGCAATCTTGTCTCTGCCGCGGTCACTTTTCTCTCTTCACTTCTCCAGCCTTGCATCTCCATCTTTAATAACCATGGCTCTTGATGATGTAAATCGTGGGAGCTTCCCTAAAAGCTTCTACCTTCATCTGTAGCATGGTATCCATTGCCATTGGTGAATCTCTCCTCCTGACTCACCACCGCCTTCGGAAGTCCGAACCCTACACCAAAGAACACAAAGATAGCCCACTTCCATCGGAACGGGTTAATAACAACACAGAAGAAGAACCACCAGATCAACTCCAAGTAAGTAAAGAAGTCAAAAGCGCCAGTCGGACTGGTGAGCTTAAGTGTCTTGGTCATGTCAATCCAGCGCTGCATCCAGAAAGGGCTGGGTCGAGAGAACGGATCCATGAGAAACATGAGGAGGATTCGAGTGTAGATTCCAATGTGCCAGTTTCCAACGGTGCCGATGGCGTTGACGTATGTGCAGTTGATGGCTGAGACGGAAGGGTGAGTGGGTGGGAAGGTCTGGAGATACCAGTTTGGCGGTGGGTAGGGTTCCTCGAAGCAATCCTTGGGGAGGAAAGATAGAGAAGGTCTCTTGAAGCCAGTGGCCATGACAACAATATCAGTATCGATGACCTCCTCATGACCAGGACCACCCTGCGGCACACCCTTGGCACGTCGATTCACGCGAATTCCGCTCTCAACGAACTCATCGATATCGCAGCGAACCCATTCAGCTTTGCCTTCGCGCAGCTTATCCATAACATCAGAGTTAACCATAGGTGTCTCCATGAACAAACCATGACTCTTGTCCGGAGCAATGTCCTCAAGATCTCTGTAAAAGAACTTGCGGAGGAAGAACTCTGGGATAAACGATAAAAATGTCTCATGGCCAAAGATGTTGAAGCTGAGAAGTGTATCGACGATCATGTTGCGAGGAATAATCCACTTGTCTGAGCGCGATAGAATAGTCGCTTTGGCAGCATCTTCTGTAAAGGCGAACTCAAGAGCTTCAACTGCTGAGGCGCCTCCGCCAATGATAGCCATCTTCTTACCCTTTACATCTTTTCTAATAACAAGTCAGCGGGCTGCATCGTGAGTTGAGAGGCCGAGCGACATACCCAGTTAGCTCACTAGAGTGGTAAATAGGACCTTTGAAGTCGTCCATGCCAGGGATCTTTGGCATCTTTGGTGCGCCACAAGTTCCAACCGCAGCAATGACACCGCCAAAGCGTCCGAGAGAAGGGTCGTTGACAATCCATCGTCCTTGCTCATCTTGGTACACTCGATCAATTTTTGTGTTGAAACGAGTCCTTTCTTTGAGGCCATAGCGCTCCCAGAGTTGTCGGACCTGACTGAGAATTTGCTGACGGTCGGGATATCCACGATTCCACTGAACAGAAGGATGGAAACGGTACATCAACGAATGAATCTGAAGACCAGACGTCTCATTGACTCTCTGTAAAACATTAGCTTTATGATATATATATATAGAACATCACAGCATAGTATCAACTTACACTCCAAATACCACCAACATTATCCTTGGAGCCAGCTTCAAAAATGACAACATCAAAGCCATGCCCAATACAATGAGCCGCACTCGTAACGCCCGTAATTCCCGCCCCAATGACCGCAATCTTAGGTCTATTACGCCCAAGCCTCGCGTTTTCACTCGGTGGCTTGGGCGAGAGGAGCTTATCGGTGAGCCATTGGAAGATCTGGAAGAGGAAGAGAAAAGGGTGGAAGAGGGGATTGACGAGGCCAGTGTCAGAAGCCATTGCAATTGATGGAGAATAATTTAATTAACAATTGACAATTCAGAGGTTGAGGTTTGTATTCTCATAAATATCGGGAGGTGTCTTTCATGTGAAAGCGAGACATGACGTCAATATTTCACATGCCAACATAGAACCTTGACAATGACGAGTCAATGATTTCAAGGTCAGTTCAGGCTGGGATAGCCTAGTTACCTGTTAGTGATGTGATAGTGAACCCACAGACAATGGCTGAAACAAGAATAAATCACTTCATTCCAACTTCTTCCCGCTGTTTTGTTTACTCCCGACCTTGTCTATATCAGTCAATTCCATTTCTCTCATAAAAGCATCTTAGCGCAATTAACTTGAAGCTCATCCACAATATCATCCACTCTGCAAGCTACTCACGTTCCTGAATTTGATCAATTGGACGATAACTACAAAAATGGAGCATCCAGGTAAGATGGCCCTCTACGATCGAATTACTACAGAGGCTCACCAAACACACCTAGTGAAAGAAATTGGCGGTGTTATCAAGTCGCTCACTCAAGGCAGCCCTGATGTCCAAGAGTCGACTTTGAGAGAATACTTCCTCCCCAATGCCTCATTCTCACATCCATACTGTCGTGTTCCCTCTATATCAAAAGGACAAATCCCTTTGGCAGGAGGTCTTGAGTCTATCCAGTTGATATTGGCCATCTATCGATGGTATCGTACTCTAAGTCCACACATTGACCTCAAGGTCGATTCAGCAGGTCAGTTGCCAATCGTCACATAGCTGATTGCAATTTCTAAAAATTCCCAGCATTCGATCAGAAGAGCGGTCTTCTATATGTCTCCATCCGTCAGACATTCGCGCTCTGGTTCATCCCTCTTTACAAAGCACCTGTCAAGCTTGTATCAGTTCTCCAGCTCACACAACTCTCACCAGAGTCATCATCAGAGGATGAAGGATCTGAGGATACTAAGCCGCGTCGACAAAATCCCCGCTACTACATCGCCAGCCAAGAAGATCTTTATCCAGTGAATGACTGCATTCAGTTCCTGTGTCCTGGCCTCGGTCCCTTCTTGTGGACAATTTGGCAGCTCTACAGTACGTGGTTGTGTGTAATGGGATCTTTCTTGTTTCTGCCTGTTTACTTTCTACTCAACGGCACGCCGTCGAAGACCAAGAAGAGCATGCCCAAGTTTTAGCTTGGAACTGCTAGGTTGAGAGAGAGAATTGGGAAATGGGGAGTTCATGAAATACGCCTTACGACATGATCAATGACAGCGTATTGAGGTATGATAATGTATTTGGATAATGAGGGAAACATGGCGTTTTTTGTTTAGATTCTTCTCTCAGGGACCAGTATAGCTCAAGAGCTACTGGACAGTAATGGAAACATTTGATTCAGCACAAAATCTACGATCTACTGTACCGTACGGTGATGTGTAACTCATTCGAGAGCAAGTAGCTGTTTGTCACATTTCTCAATGAGGGCCAATATCGGACTTCGAGTCTCTACAAGCTCACATGCATTTCACGTGAATCTTTAGGAAATGACCGCGATCCGAGTCTTCCGCAACACTTCGGTTGCCTGATCAAGCTGTCGTTGCTGTCTCAGACATACCGAGGCTGTTGGTGGTGAACACAAGTATTTCCATGGCAATCAAGGCAAACCCGGGTGCCATCAGCTTGACAAGGGAGTGATGGCAGTAAGAAAGTCTCAGGCACCCTCCAATGAATTGCGTGCGAGAAGAACATGGTATGTCAATGCACAGCACAACCAACAGCCTTGTCTACACATGGACCAACTTAAACACACATAAACAATTGGATGTTATTACACGTGCTGTTGTTGAAAGGTTGAGTTGTAAATCGCTATCTTTGATCGATCCTAAGTTCTTCTGAAGGATTCTTCCGCTAAGATCTAGTTTCTATGCTCTTGTGTGCCACATCGGCATCCGCATACTTGGGCAATGCCAACAGCCTGCTCTCTTTCGGGCTCGAACCAGCCGGCGCCTCCTGTTCTTGACACTGCTGAAAAGTGTCTATTACCTCCATGACGTCTCTCTCGTCGGACTCAGCCGACATCATACCATCCTTGGAGTTCTAACATGCTCTGCTGAGCGGCGCGGCGCTTATAAGATAGGAAATCCTTCACTTGACTTGGCCAGTAACCTTCCATTACTCTATGGGTCCGTAGGTAATGACTGTTTCCCGGGTGACTTGAATACCATTGACGCTCTGACTGCGCTTGGTTGAGAAACTGGCCAAAGCAGGCTTTGGCTTGGCGGCTACTGGAGGTACTTGGTCGGCTGAGCTGTCAAGGCTCTCGGTATCCATGGCTCCGTCTGACTCAAGAGCGGGATTGTGCTCTGGTATTGTAGGACAAAGACGTGCTTCATCTTCTTGAGGGTTCTCTTCGCCAAAGTCACGTCTATCGGGCATCTCATATGAATCATTGTCGAGAGTGTGACTCTTGCGCTTCTCTTGACTATGCGAGTTGGACTTCTTTGAGTTCTTCTCCTGCGAACGAAGACGAGGATGGATGAGGAAGGGAATGTATCGCACGCAAAAAGGCTTGAGGGCGGGGATAGAAACACAGACGATGCTGGTGTTGACTTCGATGAAACTCAAGACGAGTTGGCGTGGAAGAGCCCATGTGTAATCGGGTGCGTCCAAGATGGGAAGAGTGATTGTAGCCCTCCTGATTGTGACGATGATGATGAAGCCTCCAGTGGCGAAGAGAACAGCGAGTGAGACCTTTTGACGGGTAGGGATCTGTAGAGGCTGAACGATGCGGATCGGAAGAAGAAGAACGAAGGTGTCGATGACAACACTGCAGATTACCAGGAAGATAACAAGAACATCCATGTCAATACACTTTCCCTCGATGGCGAGGTCCCATCCTGAAGACACAGGCTGGCATCGGAACACGACCAGGCAGATGTAAACGAAAGTGTACGAGCAGACAAGTGCCATCAAGACATGGACGGCTCGACGGACGAATCTGTCGGGAGATATTCGAAGATAAAAGGTAAGGACAGATAGTTTGGCAAGACTAATGCTGGTGGCGTATGTGAGCGTAGCTCCGATGCTGGTCTGCCAGAACTTGGGAACGTATTCGGCCACTGGGATATCCCACATGTGGTTTCCAGCACCAAGGTTGAGAACTGTAACTGTTAGATTCGATGACATTGTAGAAAGGATAATACATACGTGTTAAGGAGATGCCGAGAAAGATGAAAGAGAAACAGAGACTAGCTATACACAAGTCTAGCAACTCAGTTAGTTCTGCTTCCAAGAGTGATGGTTGAATAAGACATACAGTCATCAGCACCCAACACACTCTTAACCACATATCTCCTCGTGAAAACCCTCAGAATAACAATAATCGAAGCAATGATCGTCGTCGTAACACCACAAGGAATAACTCCGCTCCCACTGCTCGGAGGATTCACAAGAGTTCTCGTCTGTCCCTCCGGCGGCTCCATGAGAAAACCCGAAGGGTCATGAGCAAGAGGCGCCATTTTATCTCAACACACAGTTATTAGAAGGGTAAAGAAGAGATTTATGTTGAAACTGAGCAGTCACTAGATGAGGAGATGACTCTGCAGAATACCGCCCTCTTCATGATGGGACATGCAGAGGAACTTATATCTTGAACAAGGAGCTGGGATGTAGAAAGACAAGATGACAAGGTTGCTCCACCACTACCGCAATACAACAGGAAATCTGATATTTTTCTTGGGATTTCAGTCTAGTTTTCGCAAATTTTGTATTCTTCTAGCAAACAAGCCGGGGGATCCCAAGTGAAAATCGTTCGACTTTAGGAAGGGAAAGTGACGACTCAACTCTACTAACAAAGTCGCATAATGGGAAAAAAGAAAAAAACAGAGGCAAAGTTTTTAGAGACGTCCTTTTTTTACTTTTGCTTATTCTCGCTCTTCATGCGGTTCTCATTCTAGCGCGTCTGATATACCCTGGCTCTCAGGAACCCGGAGTCCCCCCCTCCATCTTGGAAGACCCGCTCGTGGGGATAAGAGGCACTCTCGTAGAGGACCCTTGTCTCTTCTCGTCGTTGCCCGTATTGAATATTCCCTGTGGCTTCTGAAGGTAAAGAAAGAAAGCTATGAAGAAGATCAAGAGCCAACAGGTAATATTGGTGGTCTCATTGTCCGAGAGCCTTCACTGAGACGTTTGTCGTCTCACCGGTGAATACCGCATATGTACTCTGTAGTTCTTTCAACATTGAGGCCTGCAATCACTGTTGTACAGCATAATCGTCGACGTCTATTCTTGGTGTATCTCACGTGAGTACCGGTGTGTTAACCAGGGGCTCAAGTGTGGCAAGGGTTATCCTCATGACGCATTATACCAACCGTATCTATATACCGTTGTTGTGGAGGATGTAGGCTATATTCAACCGAGAAGCTTACTCAGAGGATACTAATACATGCCTGCCGGCGATACATTTTCTTTTTCGCTTGAAGGTGAGTTTCGCTGATCTTATCACTGATTGATATGTTTCCGTGTCTTCGCTCATGTTTCCTCTTTAGTGCTTTACCAATGATCTTGTCGTGATGAGCCCCCTGGAGTTTTGGATAACAAGAAAACACCCGAGCACAAGTACACCATACAGATTGCTGAGGATACAATGAGACATCATCAAAGTCACGACAATTTTAACATCCGTGCCTCTACGGTAACTAACAACCAGCATCAAATTCCGGGACCGATCGGGACGCTTCAAAAAGTCAAGACGAGAAGCCTCCGGGTTGGCTTGTCTTCTAGACTCTTTACCAACGATCTATAGTCCGCGGAAGAGCATCTTCACGAGAAATTCTCATCATCACTTGACATTTCGTCAGACCATAGATAGGATCCGCAATTTAGAAAAAAGTGACAGTTGGCGATATTGCTTTTTTGTAAATTCTCTGCGGGACCCCTGTTCTGGGGGCTAAGCATTGACACACTCGTCGTTGAATGGGTCTGGTTTGATCTCTTGAGATACCGTGCTTGTTTCTTGTTTAAACTAGACATCTAGAGAGTGCATGCGAGACATTGAGGTTTTGCGTATCCGTATGCAGGTCTGGAGTTGTTGCCGAGTTATCTCCACTTACACGGGGAAGATTCAGGAACGAGATGCAGCTTACATACGAGACTTGCCGCTAGGAATACTGAGGTACTTTACGTTTTCGTCAATATTACAGCTCAATTCTTCAGTGTATTGTTGCTTCTCTCGAGACAAACTCGAGACCCATCGTTCTTCACACGTCCTTGTCAAAGTGAGTTATCATACTCACAACCGGTCCGGTAACAATTCATTGTCAGAACCACAATGACTCCAAAAGATACAGGTCCCCCTTCGAGCGCGGTCCCGCCCGGATATGTCACAATTTTCTCTCATCTCCAAACGGGTACGCAAGCTGGCAAAAGGCTGAATGAGGAATCAGGCCATGAGGCTTGTGAGAAAAAGCAAATACGGCCATAGCCTACACCTCGGTTAGATTTATTGTAATGCAGGTACCAACGGTGGCTGACCTGCTATTCATGTGAATGTCTTAAAATGAAAAATCTGACTCTGAAAGGAGGATACAAATATTACTCTGTCCCAACCTTCTTTTCATTGAAGATTTTGAGGTCTGGTTTACTGAACAGGTCCACTTCAACTTGATGCTCTAGGCGGGACGAGCGTTGATGTAACAGCGGCCCGTCTACCCCTGCGACCGTTGAGAAAGTGGGCATAGCCTTGTAAATCCCACTCATTCTCCTCTCGTTCAAATCATCAACAATAGCTATACGTTATAATGGACCTTTTGTCGCCGAGGACTTAGCCCGATCTCATATACCCAACCCTCTCTAATCAACACGAAACCAGATCCTGCAGCAATGCAAGATCACAACTCAACTGCCGAATTACCTGTTTTACAAAATGCTGACCACCTTCGCCATAAAAGAAGCTACCAGTCACATTTCCACAGGGCCCCCTGCTTCACATGAATGTCTTACCCAGGAAACCCTTGCTATCGATGTCCGTAAATATCACATATCACCTACACTTACTTCCTGACCGAGTTCCATGCTGATACTACCCATCTGCGCGATCTTAAAGATCGGAGGCCCCCAAGATCGATGGGTTTTGGAAGACTTGATTGGAGTTGGAGCGAGGGTTGTCTTGGGCTTGAGTTGCGATTGGGGATTTTGCGAGGGTTGGCGATATATCATGTTTCAAGGTTGCCACTGAGAACGGTTCGCGGCTCTTGAAGACAGTTTTTCCGCGATATATATTACACGAGCAGGTGACTAGTTTAGCTTCTTTGATGACACGAACGCTTTGTAACCTTCTTCAGTAAAGATCTGACCGTTTGTAACCGATCAGAACGGGAGCAGTCCTAGTTGACAATAGTTCATGACTATCTAGATCCTGCAGACCTCACAGGAACTTCTGACAGCTCTGAAACTCAAACTTCTGAAATACAATCTCTTGATCTAAACGCCCTTACCGCTAAGGTTAACATTACATCCACTGCTAGTATACAGTTCTCATGATATATCCCATACCCAACTGATAACTTTCCACTAGAGTACAAGAAAAAGAGGATAACGGTCATAATGAAGACGCCTCTATTCTTTCTTGAAGCCCCTGGTCTACCAGAATACTCTCCCAAGTACCCGCATATAGTCGTAATGCATCATTCACCCGTCATTTACCACCAATCTCTATGTAGTTGGCGCCGGTCGTATAACGTGTCCCGATTAACGACTCCTCAATTCCCAAAAGCAATGCTCATCATCGTCTAAACCTCTTCCGTTCCAACGGCTTCGTAACCACCGCGTTCTCTGCGACCTGTCAACTGCATCAGACCAGGACTCTCGTACATGGCTGTGTAATCAACTCTCTCGCCACCAAGAACAGCAGCTCCGTTCTCTCTTTGGCCGAAAATAGGCGCAGGATCGCACCAAAAGTCCTTGCAGTTGGCAATGCAGCCTCGGCTGTAAGGGTTCTTCTTCTTTCGCTTGTTCTTTGTAGAAACGGCACCTCTGCCGGTAATGGTCTCGATAAAGGGGTCGACACCAAGGGTACGACTCAATGACTTGAGCATGCCGCCCTTGTGCTTATGATGGTGACCAGCAGGGGTTGCTGTTGCGGAAAGAGACGGGTGATTGGGGTCGAGAGGCGCGCCAGTAGATGTGAGAGCGGTAATAGCAGTTCCGTCCCTTACACCAAACATGTTCTCATACGTAGTCATAGCTCGAGCTACCTGAATGAACTGAGTAAACAAAAGCATGGTGACCCATAGGAGTTGAAGCGTAATCCAAACGGCCAAAATCGCAGTGTACGAATCGGCATTGATGAACTTGCAAAGGTTCGGGCTAAGGACATTGCAGCTATCTGAAGCGTTGCCGCTGATGGTGTCGAAATCTACAACATTGTCAGCCTGGGCCTAACGTCAGAGTAGAGGATCTTGAACTTACAGTAGTACAGCAAAAAGTCGTATGAGATGATACCAAAAGTCAGCGAAATGAGGTAGAAGAAGAAGTGTCGGTGGTTGTTGATGCCGACACAGTTGTAAACCCAAGGACAATGGTGATCATGCTTGGCAACACATCGTTGACATCGGCGGCAGTGCTTGCTTCGAAGAGGCGTCTGAATCATGCAAGTAACACAAAAGTTGGTCTCGTCGTACTTCCACTGCGACAAAAGTCCATCAATGACAGCCTTCTGCTCCGCAATTCCGTTCATCTTTGGTACAAACCCAGGGTCGTATCTCATGCTGGCAATGTAGAAGTACACGGTGAAGCCCAAGAAGATGCCGAAGAAGAGGTTGAGGAAGCTGTGGCCATGGCCTTCACTCGCGCCAAGTGTTGTGGCAAAGAGGACTGTCGTCAACCAGTTTACGCCTGTCAGGAAGAGCGTGGCCGCAAAGATACCGGTAAGCCAGGGAGTCTTGTGAAAGTGTCGCATATCAGGAGGCGCATATTCCAGTACTTGCTGAGCAACCCATTGAACGCCGTAAACCACAGCAAATCCAAGAGGAACGCCAATATAGACAGGCGCACTCGAAACAGCCATAAGCATGGCCCAAACCAAGACAAACGGCCAGATGAACAAAAACCTCGTGACAAAAGCTCTCTTGTCCTTCAAGAAATAGCTAGCACCAGGCCAAGGCGGAACCGCAGGATGACCGTCCTCGTTGAAACCACATTCTCGAAGCGCTCTGTGCCAGGCGCCCTCCGTGTTAAGCTCGTTGGCCGTCACAGCAGGAGTCTTACCCGTCTGTGTCTTTGCGAATCGATCGGCGCCATACTCGATAAGTTTGAGGATACACCCAGGGCTTCCCTTGACGAGCGCCCAGTGCAGCGCGGTGAAGCCTTGCTCGTCTGTCGCATGAACGCTTGCGCCCCAGCGAAGAAACAGATCAACGCATTGAGGGAAGCCCTTGTACGCAGCCCACATGAGCGCAGTGTGGCCGAACGTGTCGGTAACGTCAACGGGGATTCCCTGGTGAAGCAGGAGGACAATCAGGAGGACGTTGCCGTTGAAAGTCGAGATGTGAAGCGTGTTGTAACCTTGAGCGTCGGTGATGAGAGGGTCGGCGCCGTGCTGAAGGAGCAGATTTACGGTATAGTAATGGCATCGCTGGGCGGCCCATTGGAGAGCTGTTGCTACCGATTCTCCGCCCTTTCTATTGATTTCGGCGCCGTGTTCGATCAAGAATTTGCACATCGCATATTGATTGTTAATCGCAGCCCACTGTCCGCAATGTCAGCCGATGTCTTCTCTCATTCCAACACTTGTCGCATCACTGGAAACTCACATGTAAGGGCGTAATACCCTCATCGTCGTGGTAGGTCGCATCGTACTCCCCCGACTCGAAAAGCTTCTCCATGGCTGGCACGTCTCCTATCCTAGCGATCTGCATGATATCCTCCTCCTGGGCCTGCGTATCTCCCGGTAGACTGCCCATCTCGACCTCGTTATTCAGCTTTGGCGTAGCGGCATTCGATTTGCCCGTCATCTGGATGGGCGCGGTTTGGCCAGAGGTGGAACTGGTACTGGTGCTCCCCATGGTAGGCTGGTTGTAGCGCGGGGAGGAACAATTCGACTGGACGCGACACTAGGTATGACGAAAGATGATTGAGAAAGTCGACTATTCGTACATAAACATTATCTATCAGGCTTTTACACACGCGATAAGAAAAGAGAAGTAGTGAAGGATGGATGAAGGGGAAAAAGTGAATGGGCTTGGCTGAGTCTTGGCTGAATTTTGGAAGGCAGCGCGTGGAGTAGGCCTACGTATTACTTGAAGCCGTGATGCCGAGAGGCTGAGCTCAGACCCTCCCCTATGGGGAAAGCCGCCCGCAAGAAAGCTCAGGGCTGAAAGGTGAATTAGATTCTGTTTATCCTTATATTTAAAGTGTTACCACTACCATTCAGCTAATAAATACGAAGGTAAAATATCTAAGCTATCCTCTGATGCAATTCAAGATTTAAACATTGTACCGTAACGTCTGCTAGAGAAATGTAATTGACTTCTCTTCTCTCCTCGCGGGGAGAGCCCAAGTTTGGGGCTCCCCTAGACTCTGCACTAGGGAACCGGCACTCCCATTGCCTTTAATTAACAGGGTCTTTTTGTGGCTGATTACGTCCCATTTCCCCCTTATCCCCTTTCTGTTTTCAGTGGGATTTCGACATGTTCGCTCATTGGACACAACGTATTCATTGTCGTTCGTGGCTGTGGCTGGGGCTGATGACCGATGTGGGGACGCCGGTCTAGGAGGGCTGGCCAGATATCGTTTCTCACAGCTTTGTCAAACTAACAGCCAACTGTCTGAATAGCGTCATCCAACAGTCGCATTCGACGTCAACGAGGCTGTGGGAAACTCACCAAGAAGTCTGGAACGCCCTCCTTCTGTTCTATCATTGACAGCTACCGCGACGACTCAAGGCGCCAATTGGTGCCGCATATCACCCACCATGGCCAACTTCATCGCAACAGTCGAGGCCATCATGACACCCTCACTCGCCACAATCATTATTGGAGCTATCATCGTCATCGGCGCTCCTATAATTCTTCACCTCATCCTCTCCTCATCAAGGACATATACCGTGGCCCCTAGCGTCCTCCTTCTCGGTCCCGCCAACGCTGGCAAGACATCACTTCTCACACTCTTTGAGCGCGGCACTTCTGGTACCGAGACGCATACCTCCCAGGTGTCGCACGATGTCGAGCTCAACGCTTCTACCGATTCGGAGAACAAGCACTCTTACCGTAACCACGATACTCACGATGGTACATATACCAAGTTTTTACTCGTCGATACTCCTGGGCATGGAAAGCTGCGAAACGTGCCTATGGGCAAGCTGAACCGCACCGAGAAACTGAAGGCAGTTGTCTTTGTGGTGGATGCTGCTGCTATTGGAGAGCCCGAGGTTCTTGCGCCCACCGCTGCGTACCTCTACGATGTGCTGCTTTTCCTGCAGAAGCGCGCTACCAACGCCAAGGCCAAGGCTGCGATCCCTATTCTTATCGCCGCCAACAAGATGGATCTCTTCACCGCTTTGCCATCGACACTTGTCAAGTCTAACCTGGAAGCTGAGCTGACGAAAATTCGTGCTTCGCGAAGCAAGGGACTGCTGGACTCGGGCGTCGGATCTGATGACATTGGCTCGGAGGAGCAAGATTCTTGGCTGGGCGAGTATGGTTCCTCCAAGTTCAGTTTCAACCAGCTCCAAGAATTCGACATCGATGTTGATGTTCTCCCTGGAAACGTTACTGGCGATGGTCCTGGTGCAGACAAGTGGTGGTGGTGGATCGCTCAGCGGATATAAAACGTTAACGACCCATACATTACAACAGGGGGGAAACTGGATGACACAATTATATTAATGACATTTTTTAATTTACGCAGCTGATTCCCATCGCAAATGCCATGTAGATGTTGAGTCTACCGCCCAAAATTCAGTCTATCAAAAAAAAATCCCATCTTTTTCTCTAAGGTATCCTGGAACGCCAGACGTGAATGTCGTTGAAAACATGAGTACTCGTTCCCCCCTCCTCTCGCGAGGTTTCCTTCCTCTACAGCTTCTTGTTGATCATCCATGTAAGGAGATCAACCTTGGTAACAATAGCAATAGGCTTGGACAGTGACTTGGAGTCGTCAGTCTTCTCGGTGACGACGGCTGCACTGTTCCATTCAAAGAACTTGCTAAGTGTGGTGAGGGGTGTGTCCTTTGTGATCTCGACAAATTGTCTACGCTTGCCGGGGTTGATGGGGGAAGCGAATTCGCGAGGATCAGTGACGATCTCGTCGAGGCGCGCAAAGTCAAACATGACATCGGACACAGGGCTTTGGGCGGTAGCGCGACCGCGAGAGATGTAGCTTAGAAGGTTACCCAGTGTAACGAGACCGACAAGCTTGTTGCCGTTGGCGGAAAGGACGGGGAGTTGATCGAAGCCCTTGTCGCGCATGGTCTCAATGGCCTCGGAGCAGGATGAGTTAGCACCAACGGATGTGACAGGCTTGAGGCGCAGAGAGGCGATGGTGGCGCCCTCGTAAGGATCGGAGGTCTCCTTCTGGCTGTTGCCGTTAACAGTGGATTCAACACCGTTGACGGGGAGGAGGTCGTTGGCGGCGAGCCAGTCGTCGTCAGCAAACTTGGAGAGGTAGCTTCGGATGCTATCGGGCAAGACAACAACGACAACGTCTCCCTTCTTGAAGTTGTACTCCTTAACAGCGAGGAGCATGGCAGCCATGGCAGAACCGGAGCTGCCACCGACGAGAAGACCCTCCTCGGCGATCAGTCGTCGAGCAAGGTGGAAAGACTGTCGGTCGTCGGTCTTGTACCATTTATCAACGATCTGCTGGTCGAGCACATCGGGAATAAAGTCATATCCGATACCCTCCACCTTATAAGACTCGTTGGCATGCTCCTCGTTCAAAAGCTCAGGCAGAGCAAGGATACTACCGTGAGGATCCGCAGCAATGACCTTGATGTCCTGGTTATGCTTCTTAAGGCCACGAGCGAGACCAGTGATGGTACCACCAGTACCGGCACCAGCGACAATGGCGTTGATCTTGCCGCCAGTCTGCTCCCAGATCTCCTCAGCGGTGCCGAACTCGTGGGCGAGAGGGTTGTTCTCGTTGCTGTACTGGTCGAGAATATGGGCGTTGGGAAGCTCCTTCTCGAGACGGCGGGCAACACCGATGTGAGACTCGGGGGCATCCCAAGCAGCTTGTGTAGGGGTACGGATGATGGTGGCGCCGAGGGCACGGAGGACGGAGACCTTTTCGGCGGACATCTTCTCGGGAAGGGTGATGATAGTCTTGTAGCCCTTGATAGCTCCAACGAGAGCAAGACCGATACCACTATGAACAGTCAGCTGAGATCCGAGAGCTTCGAATGTGGTGATCTTACGTGTTTCCACTGGTAGGCTCGATAAGAGTGTCACCGGGCTTGATTCTTCCACTCTTCTCAGCCTCTTCAATCATGCGCAGAGCAATTCTATCCTTAACACTGCCTCCAGCGCTGAAGAGCTCAGGCTTGACGTAGACATCGCACTCGATGCCCAGCGACTGGGGAATCTTGTTAAGTCTGACAAGAGGAGTATTTCCGATGAGCTCTGTCGCTGAGAGGACAGTAGCAGCGCGAGGCGGAACGTGAGGGACCTGAGAAGCCATTTTGAATAATTATGTATTTTAGATTAGAGAAGAATAAAGAGAGGAAAGGGAAAAAGAGTTTCTCATACGAGAACCGACGACTTAAGCACGCCACGGACACAAACATTGTTAGCTAATGGAATAGGTGGCGGGGCGGGTATGACAGAAAACTTTAGATGTGCCCCGCCAATGCCGAGTGTATCCTCTTAAAACCGTTCTAGAACACGAGCTAGAAGGTTGAGAGGGCGGAATGGGGTAGGCGGTGAGCGTGTCAGGAGATCATGCTCGGGTTTGGGAGAACCGAAAGCCGTTGGGTTACCCGGTAGCATCGGCATCATGAAGTTTTGGGTGTAGTTAAGCTACGTATTAAGCTTAAATGCAGTCCAAGTCGATCTATTATAGTTTTTCTTAACCATCAATATGTTGGAAAAGATATTCTCATTTCCTCGTAGTAAATAACTGAAGCCTCTACTGTGTTTCTTTCGTACTCTGTTCATAAAACGTGTGTTTTATTCTGTGTCTGCCTCGAGCCATAACAGAAGCACATCAGCTTTCTGGGTATGACACCATAACTTCAGCCAAAATCTGAACGCTCACCATTTCATGTCATGATGCTGAGTAAACTTGCTCTATCAATTGACCCATCTCATCGATAAGACACCACAATCCTCGGCCTTTCATCCCCATCCATCACCAGTTCTTCATATCCAGTCTAGCTAAAGTAAGCATGCCAATTCACCCTCTTCAAAAGTCCTCAAACCTTTTACAATAGTTCCTCCGCCACTTGCTCGAACCTATCACCATCTTCCCGGACCTGGCTTCCACCCCGCACCTCCTTGTAGATCTTATCTCTGTCATGGTTGTTTATCGTTGGCGCCACGACATGGGTCGTGAGCACCAGTCGATGCCAAGACTTTGTATTGTTGCGACCTGCCATTTTCGCATCGTCTACCGATAGGTTCAACCGTCTGATTAGTTTCTGGTTGGGGTAAATGTGAGCTTCGTTAGACTGTGTTGCATTGAGGTTGTGTAGCTGTAGCTATACGGATGACAGCTGTGTTGGTATAAAAAGGAAGGGTCTGTCGCAATGTTTGGGGGTTTTCAGGTTGCATTCTTGTAGCGAAACGCACTGTTACTCAATTGCCAATTCTCTCCATGAAGTTTCTCAATGCTTTGCTCTGCGGAGCTCTCCTCTTCTCTGAGGTATCGGCTACTAAGAAGCTGACTCCCAGTCAAGTTGAAGGTGACATTAAAAAGTCAAAGTATGTCAGATACAACTCAATTAGCAAATCACCACTAACATAAACAGGCTTCGCAAGACTCTTGAGGACCTCAACTCAATCGCCAAGAAGAATGGCGGCAACCGAGCTTTTGGCTTCCCCGGCTACAAGGCTTCCGTCGACTACATCTCCAAGCAGCTCAAGGGCCAATACGGAAAGCATCTCGACACTTATATCCAGCCCTTCAACTACACCTTCGAGCAGACACGGGATATTTGGGTCCGAGGACCCGATGGCGAGGATGTCTATGTCATCACTCTCATTTACAACGTTGGCACACCTACTCCCGATGGTGTGACTGCTCCTCTTGTTCTCGTGCCAATTGACGATGAGCGCGGATCTGGATGCTTTGCAGACCAATGGGAGGGTGTCGATGCCAAGGATAAACTTGCTCTCGTGAAGCGCGGCTCGTGTGCGATCTCAGATAAGCTCAAGCTCGCAAAGAAAGCCGGCGCTCGCGGTGTTCTCCTCGTCAACAACCAACCTGGCGAGGGCATCACCAGTGCGACTCTCAGTGCTGAGAACCTTGAACTCATCGTCCCTGTTGGTGTTATTCCTCTTGAAGTTGGCACTGCTTGGAGAAAGCGCATTGAGGGAGGTGAGAAGCTTGAGGTCACTTTGCTGGTGGACTCGTTCCATGAGACTCGTGAGACTTGGAATATCATCGCGGAGACTAAGCAGGGTGATCCTAACAACGTTGTCATGATGGGCGCTCATCTTGACAGTGTTCAAGCTGGTCCTGGTATCAATGATGATGGTAGCGGAACTGCTGGTATTCTTGAGATTGCCAAGTCTTTTACCAAGTACACTGGTTACAAGAACAAGGTCCGATTCGCTTGGTGGGGTGCTGAAGAGTGAGTAAGACAATCCACGTCTCTCTACTGGCGACTGACTTGTGATACAGGAGCGGTCTTGCTGGATCCTACTACTATGGAGAGCAACTCACAGAGGAGGAAGCTGACAGAATCCGATTCTACTTCAACTACGACATGATCGGTTCTCCTAAGCCCAAGTACTGGGTCCAGGCTAGCAAGCCCGCCGACCGAGTTGGAGGAGATATCCTGGCTGCTTGGCTCCGTAAGAAGGGCAAGACAGTTGAGTGGGAGTAAGTGAAAACACCCACTACTCACAAGAACAATACTTACAATCTCAAAGAGAGTTCGGTGAATCATCTGACTATGCCGCCTTCATCGAACTCGGCATCCCTTCCTCTGGAATCTTCACCGGCGCCGATGCAGAGACCGATCCTTGCTATCACTTGGAATGCGACACCATTAACAACATCCACTGGGGAGCGCTGACTCTCAACACAAAGACTGCTGGCCGTGCTGCTGCCCAGTTCGCTCTCAGCCTCAAGGGCGTTCCTCCACGAGACAAGACCTCTACTAACCCTAAGAGTAAGAGAGCTGTTGCTGCGCGCTTTGAGCAGTGGCAGAAGAAGAAGACTCTTGCTAGCAATGCGCATAAGTGTAACCATAAGACAAAGGTTGTTGTCTAAGCATGACAGGAATTTGTTAGTGGGAAGGATGAGATTAGTGATGATGAGACGATGATGATAAATTGTAGTGTATATATTATATGAATGTGCTTGACTATGCGACGCTCATTATATTTTATTAGGTGTCGTAGATCATGAAGAAAATGCTCGCTCGCTCGCTCTCTGATCATGAATGCCTCCCATCTGATGCCTGACTGCAACACATCACAGTTCTCTTTCCCGTCATCATTCATTTCATTCGTCGTGTCCTTCATCTCACATTTCTCATAAATCATTCATGCCTCAAATCTTCTGCTGACGGGAAGGCAACGTCATCGCCAGTATGTCCTCGGAGGATTCTCTCCCCGTCTCGGGTTAGGAATAGGAATCGCCCTATAAGTCGGGAACTTTGGTCCCCCCGGAATCTGCTCCCTCTGCACAACCGGCGGCGGAAACTGGACAGGGACAGGTCTGGCAACGGGAATAGGCACAGGCCTCGTCCAGTTCTCATTCGGCATCCTGTCAGACCAACCATCTGAAGAATCCGCATAACTGCTTCGATAACTCCTCCTCTTCTTAGGCTGTCTCGGTCTTCGACAACAACATACCACAACAAAAGCGAGAACAAATACTCCAACAATAGATCCGATGATTGCTCCGATTTGTGCACTGCTTAGTCCATCACCGCTATGCTGAGACGTCACAACGGGACGGCCCGTGGCTGGAGCCGAAGCTATGCCTAGTGTAACTTGTGTGGTGTAAGTGGTCGTGGGGAGAGAAACAGTCTGAGTTATAACCTGCACCTCTTGGCGGGCATTTATGTGGGGAACTCCCATGATGAAACAAAAGGCAAAGTGAAGTTATTCACAAGTAGAAAGCGCAAAAAAGAAAAAAGCAAATTCGGGGGCCATGACACCCTTTTTGAAACATCCGTCCCGTCCCACAAGAGGCAACCATCACGGACGTCTGCTGATACACTTTTGTTTCACTTACCAACAGCCCTATGGTCCAACAGCCCCCATATGCTTTTTTATCTGCAGCGGAAACTGGTTAGGACGCGGGCTTCGATGTAACTGTATCTAGGTCAGTTGGTCGATGTTTGACCAATGGCGGGTGAGGTTTTGGATGAGGGGGTGTGGCGATGCAGGCTGGGCTAGGCTGCCATAGCTGATAAAGATGACTGCAGCGAATTTTTTCTTGCCTTTTGGTGTTGGCCATTGAGATTTTGGTTCGCATTCTGGTTCCGGCAGGCAAGGTGCTTGTTATGACTGTTCGGACAAGATGTATGTGGCGTTGATTTGGGAATAGCTCCAAGAAAGACGCAGCATTATTCGCCGACTACAGCTATGGCTTCATGCATGTTACTTGTATAAGTAAGGACTTATTCCACTTGGCTCTGATGCCTTGATAACATGCTGCCACTTTGATGCACGTTTTGACCTCGCAATGCTCTCCGTATTAGTGATCATATCTGCTATGGATATTACCACCGAAGTACACCCATGGTGATGTGCAGGATTATTATTCGAGGACTTTGTCAGGTAAGATGCATTTATCTTGTTTTATAGTGATAATGGCTTGACGTGAACTGTGTTCTTCTGCGTCCATCACGCCATGTGTAAATCAAGATCTCTCTTCTCGCACTTCAGCATCTTGTATCGATGTATTTTGAGGAGGGGACAAAGATCAGAGGGTCAGATTAGCGAGTTCGATAACTTGTATTTTATGATAGGCTAGAGATGACAGGAACTGAGCCACAAGGTTGCATACGGCATCTTAGCCGAACGTCCCGTCCTTGATGCGCATCGAGTTGCACCTAAGCAGAGCCCATTCATATCTTCCTTGACAGAGTGATAATGTTACGCTTACATGCTGGTCTTCCACGTATCTCATAAAGGCGCGCCTCGACGATGTCCACATCCCAGCCATCGACATGCAGCTCAGCTGGCCACTCGGCCTCCTTCGGATAGCTATATTCACTCCGAAAGTAATCTAACTCCTCTGGTTTAACATAATCTTCTGAATCATCAGCATCAAAATATGAAACATCATCAAGATCTGAATTATACTGACCAAAATCATCCCAATCATCGTATCTCTCCACCCGAATCTCGCGGAGATTAGGCATACCATCGAGAAGCAGTTTGTAAACGTCCTGGTTATACAGCTCACGTTCAAATTCGACCCAATCCTCTAACTCGTAAACTTTACCACAATGCAGATAAAGAGTCTCAATTGATTCCGGTAGAACCTCACTCAATCGTAAGAGCGGCTCACTCTCTCCGATTAATGCTTCTTTGCTGAGTTTGAGGTGTCGGAGGGACTTGAGCTCTCGGAGGGAACCAATTATTCCTTCAATTGGGCCTCGACATCGATAGTCTGTGCTATAGCTGTCATAAAAGAAAGTGTTGAAATTGAACTCTTCCAGGTTTTGACCAAATTTTCGAAGGACATCCCCAAAGTCATTGAAGTTGATGATGCAATCATCGCCCAGACTACCGTCGTCCCTGTCGTATTGTTTCAACAACTCCCTGTCCTCGTCGGGCAACCTTAACGCTATTCCCTTCAGGTTCGGACAGCGCGTGAGAATTGTCCTTAGTCCTTCGGCGTCAATGTATGTTTCCACAAGGTCTAAATACTCCAGGTTGTAGTTCTTGTGCGTAGACCACACAAAGTCGGAGAGTTCCACACCATACCAGGCGGTGCCGAATGTCGGTAGTATTTTGAGTGAAGGATTGAGAAGTAGAGACTCGATCACCCAAGCGCCCTGGATGCCATTTCCATCGTCCACCGCCTTAATACGAACCTCGGTGAGGTTTGGAAAACAATAGCTTGCAAATGTAGCCTTCGAAATGCTCTGGTATTCGTCTTGGTCTTCATTGTCTCCATCCTCATCTTCGTCATTAAAAAAGACACTTTGAGAAATATGAGAAAAGCCCATGGGCCTCCTCCTTATATCTAGGCTTTTACTCAACAGCCAAGAGAGTGGGGTTGATAGGCCTTCTGTAGTGCAATCGACAACCTGCACATGAGGCATATATGCTATGATAAGAGCAGCAAAGCCACAACGCGTAAGAAGTCCCTTCATATAACGCTTTAGGGAAGGTGGAAGGTCTAGATTTTGCATCGCTGACCGAATGATCTCTTTACTTGCATCTTCCCCCAATATATCCATTTGGGCTGAATGATCAATATTGTTCGTTAGAGAGACGGTGCGAACTTGCTCTCCGAGCTGCGGGTTCTCGACGAGCGCTCTAAGAAGAAGAGTCTCGATGTTTTTCGCGCCATCGCGACCTTCAATTATAACGGTTTGGTATAGCAAAGGTTGTGCAATACGTCGGAATTGGCGACAGACCAGGCAGAGGTTGCGTAGCGTGGCCGAGCCTTGATGGTCCAATTGATCTCCATACATCTGCCATTTTTCTAGAGGCAGTTGATCTTCTAATTCAGCAAATATTTGCTGCACTATCTCATCGGGAAAGGCTACCATGGTGAAATATCAGGAGAGGCGAGTGATCTATCTAGTCTTGTCGTCATCACGGGTTATGGAAAGGAGAGGACTAAAGACCGTTTGTCTATCCGAGGATGAGTTCAGGTAGTCAGCGCACTAACGTTGATACCTCCCTATCCCTGTAAAGTCGCGATACATAACCATGAAGAGTACCATGATGCTGGAAAACAGTGACTGCACCATTCGTATCGAACATATAATAAAACCCGTCTTCGGTTAACGTGCGAATCTGGTTATCATCTGGCCATTCTCACACTCTTGTGAATAACCGTACAGCATTATTCAGAATGCTCGCATTTATGATTAATATGATACTTAATCCGGGAAGACCGATGTGTATATTAATTCTCTGCCTCAGAGTCCTCTGTGGGTTCCGAATCAAAGCCATGAAGAACCTCGTATACACCATCGCATTTACACTTGAATAGCTCCACCAAGCAATCTTTCACCTCATCCAGTAAAAAAACATCGATATTCATCCCGTCCCTGCCATTAAGCTCATGACCTAGCATGTAGCATCTGACAATCAGTTGCCAGCAATGTTCGAGATAACGGTCTAGTTCCTGTCTGCATTGGGGATGTGATGGTTTCCCAGGGACAGGTAGACTTCCTCTCGGCGCGTAATCTGCATATTCAAGAATACAATCAGATAGCTCGACTGGTAGACCTTTCTGGCACAGAATCCATCGAACATGTGGTATATCTGATGGAACAGGTTGGAAATCCATTGGCTTTTCGAAGTTGAGGAAGTCTTCATAGGACATAAGGCCGTACGGATAGAACTCCAGCGTATGGAAGCGATTTCTAACCTCTTCGGGATCTTCCTCTTCAGAATCATCACTGGAATCATCTTCAGAGTCACCACCCGTGCTGGACTCTTTTTCCAGCTTGGTGCTAGCGTCGTCGCCAGACTTGACATCCGCCTCATCACCAGAGCCATCGAACCAGTATAAACCCCTTTGGTAACGTTCAAAGCCCCATTTGTCGAACGTCATAATATGCCTCCAACGAGGGACATCAAAAGGCTGAGGGTAACACCTAAACTGGTCCGTTTCAATGCCAAAAAAGTCCAGATGAGGGTATGTCGGAATCTCGCTTCTATGACCACATTCCGTACTCGATCGGATGGCCTGCTGGTATGCTTTCATGTTGCGATAATCGTCAATAGGGGATCCGTCGCTTTCCCACGTCTCTGGAAAACAGTACAAGATATTGAGTACAAAGTACATCTTGATTCCATATTCGTAAATCCTTCTCCATCCGAGAGTTGCTGAAGTACATTGGCATTCTCTATGCTCCCACCATTTCGCAAGCTGACACTCTTCGTATGCACATGACCGAAGTATGGGGTCCATTTCTCCGTGAAGAATCAAGGTCTTAACGACTTCAAGGTTATGAAATGATTCTTTGTATTTCATGAACTCATAACAGTCGTTCTGGATTTGCTGACGCTGGAACGCAGACATCCGGCGCTCTCTAAAAGCTAAGACACACCCGCACTCGGCGGATTCGTCCGTATGAGGGCATAACTTTCCAGTAGTAGGTTGCTTGAAAGTCTCGAGATCGCCATCCCCATCGGGCCAATATTCTTCTGGATGCCAACGACGAACTGCTGGTTCAATCCTGGCTGCTGCTTCGTTTGAAATGATGACTTCATTCTCATCGGGTGCCTCATATTTCTCGGGGTACTGTTTGCGTTGTTGGGCTGCATCTTCAGCTATTCTTCGCATGAATGTTTGAACAAATTTGGCAACTTCTGTTTGGCTGTCTCGTTGTGTTCCACGTGCGTGGAGGTTGTTAGCGCCATGTTGACAAGGATTGGTGCGTCTCAGCTCAAAAGCTGAGGCGAGGCCCTCCCAAGGTAATTTATCTGAATTATGAGCCATATTTTATGTTTTGTTATATTCGTTGATAGAGATGTTAGTTCATAAGGTGGAGGTATGGTGTCTTATACAATAGCCTGCCATGGCTGAGTCACTACGCCGCATGATTACTACAAGATAGGGTCAGCTTGAACATGAACACGGTATGAGCAGGCAGTAAAATAATTAATTTCTCGTATTGTATGATAATTGAAGATCGATATTGATTGACTCATATACTCGTATTTGAGTCATGACGTTGCGCCTCACGTCATATCTCCTCATTTTACGTGTTCTGTCCGTATCAACTGCAGGTGTTTACTCCAAGATTCTTATTGCTGTTTTAGTTATGCCTTTGCTCTCTGTTTTGGCAGGATTCGTGTATGAACGGCTGTCCGCATTCGTCTTCCTTGCAATCCTTTAGTCCCCGATATCTTTACTGGGACAAGACGATCATGAATTTCCCTGGGAATCAAGCTCATCCAATTATACTCATAGACAAGTAAAATGATCTTGACCTTTGTTTGTGATCCCTTGTGTGATCCCTTGTTGCTTAGCTCTTCCAACATCTCGTTCAGTTGGTAGATCAAGTTGACTTGACCAGATCCTTTCAAACCAGAGCTCACTGTTGCAAGATCAATGATGATATAAATCTGCCCTCCTAAGTCTTGCATGATTAGCTTAAAGAGTCCAAGCCAATCCTGACTAGTTTTAGCTTCCTCGAGTTGTGAATGTCGCAATGACATCTGCTTCTCTGTCGTTACTGTTCCCTCAATTTGCAAGGCTTGGTAAGTCAGGTACCTCACCAAATCGGCCGGGCTCAGCATCGCATTGGGGCTCGCCTTGTTCGCACTACCCAATACCCAAAGCGCTGGTATGTTCATCATGGTAACTGCTTGGATGATATCTATGGCGAAATCTTGGATCGCCCAGCGAGTCGTGAAGCTACCTCTGACGATAGTGAGGGAAGAGTGTGGACAAGAGGACCATTTGGCAAGCTTGGGCGACAACCAGAACTCGTTGGTAGATATTGTTGATCCTCTGCCTGAGGCCCTCCGGTTACGAAGGAATAGGTGGTGTTTATATAGGGACTTGGGATCTTCAAGACTCCGAGAGAAGGTTGCCAATGCTTGGGATAACTGCAGAGCCGAGAGCTTTTGGTTTGTGTCAAGTTGCGCACTTGTCTGAATGGAGTGAAAAGCTTGATGCGCGTTAGTAAACCAACTTGCACTCATTTTGGAATGTCCCATACTCTCAATCTTTGTCAACAAGTCGTTAATTGTCAACCCAGAAGCTTCTAGCCACTGCATGATCAAGTCGAGCTTCCTGTCATGATCTCGACTCGAAATCTCCAATCTCGAAATAGCGCAATTGAGACCGTCTATCTGTGCTTGCCTAGTCTTCTCACTGGTCTGTAAGCTCGTGATTATCTCATTCAACTTTGTCGATTGTGTGTTGTGCATAACCCGAAGCTCAGTTTGTGACCCCACGGTCGCCAGTTCGTTGATGTTGTCCGTGCAAGTTTCTATCCTCTGTAAGAGGTCGCTGTAGCGCAACTCATGTGGTCTTGTGAAGCTGTGATAAATGTGTCGGAACTTTGACTCATTGCACCATGAGTGAGCTATAAGTAAGAACTCCATGATACAAGAGTAGAGGCTTTCAATGGCTAGCTTCATGTTCTTGGTCGGATACAGGGTAGATAGATGTTCGATTCGTGGAAGACGCTGGGCCACCTCAAAAAGCGATTTTGACAGTAATTTGAGCGTCTCGCCGTGATTGACCACGCTCTAGTATACGATGGTGAGATATCAGGGTTCAGTGCGGAGACTAAGCCGACTTACGATAAACATCACCTTCATTAGTCCCCAGGCCAAGGAAACGTATTCGGGATGATGTTGAACAAAGACATCGAGTACTTGGCCATAATGGCATATTGATTCAGAAGCTTTCAGAAGCCATTTCCGTGTTTTGGAGGCTTCGCTCTTAGCTTCGTACTTTGCGAAAGCATCGCTAACTGCCCTTTCAACGTCCTGTAACGACGACTTCTTCCCCAGAAGAGCCCTCTCGTCACTGCTTAACGAGTTGCTCTGTTCGAAGTGTTTCTTAACCGACTTGAACGCCTCTTGCGCTATATCCGTTTTATCTGACAGAGTAAGCTTGTGAATGAAGTGTTTCATTGGCTAGTGATTGCTTACTTGCATTATCGCCCTTGTACCATGACTGAAAGACTTGGTCGACGGACATGGCGATGAAAGATATTGAATGAGTCTCGATAAGAAACTCCTTTTTCGGAAGCTATTTGACTCGATTATCAGAGGCCAACAACGGAAGAAGAGAGGAGGCGCTGAAGGCTGAGCAATCACGAGGCATAATCAAGATGACACCCTGCAGCTTCATGCATACACCCTTGTCAGGCGCTTCTGCGGCTGAGTTTCAACTCCTCAGCCTGATTTATTCTCACCTTAACACCTCCTCATTCCATCTTATCATCAGTATCTCTCAAAACAACTAACAAGCCATGGACTCACCAACAAGAAGCGTGTCGCCAGGCCCAAAGAACAGGAAGGATAAGGATGATGATAAGGACGATAGTGAGGAAGAAGACATCCATCAGCAGCTCAGCCGACTTCTGAGAAGAGAGGGGACGCTGTTCGCGAGGCCTTCCATGTTGGCGATACCTCGGAGACCTCGACCTGCCCCTTCAAATACTCGGATGAGGAATCCCCCACAGAAAGCCCCAAAAGGAAGAATACCTCCACCGCCTCCTCCCGTAGTCCTTCCTAGAACTCCACGTAACCACCCAGTTCAGGTGATGCCGCCACCTCCTCCTCCTCCCATGGAGCGCTCTCCACCACCGGCACATTACATGGACCCAACTTATTACGACAATCCTAATCCTCCACCTCCACCTCCACCTCAGGACTACACAAACTTACCCCCAGCACCTGCACGGTCACCTATGCCACCTGTTGTCAAGCCTGCTCAGACGCATTACACCATCTCTGAAGACGCTATAGGAGCTAGTAACAGAGATAAGCTTGCTGCTATTGACAATGTACCTATTATGCCAAATGGACCCAATGCCGGTATTAATGGTTTCAACAACAACTTCGCACCACCTATGCCACCAGCTCCTATATCACCATTCCAGTACAGAGCTCCTGGATCGACTCGAGGCTATCGCATCCCAACATTTACCAAGGCCAACAAAGATCAAGCAGAAGCACAGACAAAGCTTTCAGAGCCAAACGCCCTAAATTTGGGTGCCACTGGGCTTCAGCATGAACCTGAACCATCAACTGTGGGGAAGACAAATGAGGCTCATGGGCTTTCTCAAATACAGGAGGAGGAATCTCAAGACTCTTCCGGTGTCGCTGGAGAGGATATTTCTCCCCATCAGATTCTCGTCGATGAAAATATCTTGCAGGCGTTGATGCAACGGGTTGGGGAGTTGGAAGAAGAAAACACCACCCTTCGACAGGATGCGGACAACGCTTCGACTGTTACCGTGGAATTGCCTGCCAAAGTGCAGCTTTTCTACTGCCTAGAAAGAATCGAACTCGATGACGACAGCGTCGACGAAAGAAGCCGGACAGTCTATCTTTCTCCTCCTGAATGGGTAGTGTTTGGCGACGACGTCGACCTCAGGGGGCGATTCCCCATCACGGACCCCGGTGACTACGCTGAAGAACAGGGTGCATCACTCATTGTTTACAAGTATTACTCGGTGGACTACCAATACGACTCGGTGAATGCAGCCAAGAGAGCAAAGCAACCACTCCCCGAACCAGAACCGGCCAGTCAGGATGTGGTTCTAGTGACGGAAGAAATGGTTGAGGCAGTTGAGGCCTTATTTGACCTCTTCCCTTCTTTCAGCGATGACTTCCCATATGTCTACGAGATGGGGAGTTTGAAGGACCCTCATCTCTGGTGGTATCATTGCCGAACTAGCTTCAAGATGGAGGCCTTGTCAGAGAGACATGCTCAATTAGTTGGACTTCTCATTGAATGGATAGAAAGCAACTTTGCACCACTTTATGACCAAATCGACGATCAGTTCAAGAGAGGGAAAGTCTCAAGCGACTCTGTTGAGTTCTTGATACGTCCAGGAGACACACTCGTTGCAGACAAGAATGGCAGGTATAGTGGACGCGTTGCTACCACTCGACCAGCCCCTCACAAACAGAAAAAGAAGACGGACGATTCAGATAAGGACCAAGAGAAGCAGGGTTCACACACGTGGATAGTGGAAACGCGTTCCTACGGATACGCTGGGAAGTTCTTTGCAGTTGACAGGGAGCTCTTTATTGACTTTCCACCCAAGTACAGAGGTGGGGAGATTAACATCACGGATCTCAATGTGATACCGTTGTCATACGCAAAGCCCAAGGTGAAAGAGATATTGCGACAACGAGGCAAGAGGTTTTGGAAGTTGCGCGAGAAAACTCTCATCTCATATGAAGGCAGTGATTCTGATAGGATACAGGCGGTTAGGATCTCTCCCCGAGGATGACATATTGTACTAAAGGCTAGCAGGGACAACGGTTCATGGTGGACTTTGACACCTACAAGGAACTCCATCCAGGAAGCAGTTACATGAGACAAGAAGGTTATATATCAGGTCGAAAGCCTAACTTACCAAAGGATGGAAGTGAACCTGAGGAGCCTGAGATTTACCTGTTCCCGAAATTGATCCCAGGTTTTGACTTGCGGCGTAAGAAATGGGGTAAGGAGCTTTCTCGGAACCTTCCTTGAACTTGACATACTCATAGACATGCAGTTGATCTCGAGGTCGATCGGATTCGAGACGTCAGTTGGAATAAAGAAGCCTTCAAAAGTCTTGTCGCAGACGAAGCTATGAAGGAGCTTGTACTAGCTTTAGTAACCAACCAACTCGACGCCGAGAAGAACACAGACCTTATCGAAAGCAAAGGCAGTGGTCTCATCATGCTTCTTCATGGATCTCCAGGAACAGGCAAGACATTTACAGCTGAATCTGTGGCCGAAATCGCCAAGAAGCCTTTGTATCCAGTTACGTGCGGTGATATTGGCACTGAGCCTGCAGACGTGGAGAAGTATCTCGAATCTGTGTTCCATCTGGGAAAGGTTTGGGATTGCGTTGTGCTTCTTGATGAAGCAGAAGTCTTTCTTGAACAGCGCACTTTGCAAGATTTGAAGAGGAATGCTTTAGTGTCTGTGTTCCTCCGAGCTTTGGAGTACTACGAAGGCATCCTCATTTTGACAACCAATCGCGTGGGGACATTTGATGAAGCCTTTAAGTCTCGTATCCAACTGGCTCTACGGTACGAGAAGTTAAAGGACTACCAGCGATTGCAAATCTGGAAGAACTTCCTGGTGAGATTGAAGAGCCTGGGCGAGGAAGAGAGCATCGATTTTGATGATATTGAGTTGTATCTGGAAGAGTTGGCGAAGTATCCTATGAATGGACGACAAATTCGTAACTCGATCACGACGGGGCGACAGTTGGCTAAGTACAAGAGGAAGAAGATGACGTTTGCGCATTTGAAGAGGGCGATTGATGTTGCGGATAAGTTTGATAGGTATTTGGCTGATGTCCAGGAGGGTGATATGGAGGAGTTTAGTGGCAGGGGAGAGAATGGGCGGTATACGCCTGAGTATCTTGCGAGAGCTGATCAAATACGATGAGCACATGCAGGGGGAGAATGTGTTTTTGGAGGGGAATTGTAATGGTTTTGGGAGTCAGGCTTTTTGCTCTATGGTCACGATGGAGACTGGAGGCGAATGTGTCCCTATTCTACGAGCAGGCCGCAAGTGAAACTGACCGTATAGACCTCAGAATCTTTAATTGCATCTGTTCTGTTCACACCCTCACGAGATTGATCTTGGGGAAAGAAGGCAGACTCTGGTCATTTGGTGACATTAAGATTCGTGATGATTTGAAGTATATACAAGATAATAGGTCATAGTGCCCGTTGGAAAATAAAGAACCGAAACCAAACTTCCATCCTACTTGCTGAGACCATCTGATTCTGGTGGTCCCTTATACACATGTCTCGCGTGCACAACGTACCAAACCGCCGACATCGCCATGAAGCCGAAGAACACAACAACAGCGTAGTTCATCGTCACAGCATTGACAGGAATGGCAACAGGCATAGAGAAGAGAATCATCTCAAAGCAAATCCACGCCAGAGCGAAAACGTTGATAACCCAGCCAAATCGCTTGCCGAAAGTCCAGGGCGCGGTGTTGACTCCAGCTCGATTAGTGAGCATAGATAGTAGAATAGGAATACCGTAAGAGCTAGCGAGACCAATAACACCGACGGCGATAAAAGCGTTGAAGGCAGAGCTTGAGCCGAGGTAGATTAGACCAAGAAGCATCTCGATAATCGTTGTGAGGAGAAGAGCCATGATAGGTGTACCGTGTCGCTTGCTGACTTTTGACCAGACCCTTGAGAGGGGAATGGCTTGATCGCGTGCGAAAGCCCATGTTGTTCGCGAGGCGGCGACTGTGATGGAGATGGAGCAGAAGAGTGTGACGATGAGAACCAAGGCTGTCAGGGCGATTCCGCCGGCTTGAGTGCCCATGACGCGGTAGAAGATCATGGGGAGGACTTGGCCTAGTGGTGCTTCGAGGAGATCTTCTAGAGGGGGAAGGGTTGCGCAGATGGGGATGATCTAGTAATAGTTAGTGGATTGATGTGTAAGGAGGGTTCGGGGTGACTTACGAAGAATAAACCTGCGATGCAACCGACGGGGACGCAGAGAGCGAGGGCTCTTGGGAGCTTGACTGTAACGTCGCCGCATTCCTCAGCCATGGAGGTGATCATGCCGATGGCGGAGAACGTATAAGCAGATGGTAGAGCGCCAATCCAGAAGCCAAAGTTTCCCCAACCCGACAGATTGGGATCAAAGTTGCCCTTGGCTGGTTAGTAAACTTATAATCCATCAGGGACTTCCGTACTCACAAGTGTGTAACTTGCCGAATGCCTGCCCTCCTTCGCCTCAGTCGAAAGACAGACACAAACGATGAAGATAGTAATAGCAGTGAAAGCTGCACAGAATGTATCCACCGTAGGAAGGAATTTGTTGCCAAACGCGACAATGAAGAACGTCACAACGCAAAGTCCGTAAAAGATCAACACAAGCTTCCAGGGCTGCCAATCATACTCAGGCAAGAAGATACTAACACCGCCAGCAAGAAGTGAAGCAAAGCCAAAGTTGACGGATAACGTGATGGTCCAATTTCCAACAAGCCATGTCCAGCCTGTGATGAAAGACAGGACAGTTCTGTACTTTGGCGACGCGATCTGGAAAGACCAGTAATAGGGACCAGCGGACGTAGGCCACCGAGCAGCGAGTTCGCCTAGGGAGATAGCGATGCATTCATCGAGAAGACAGACGATGATCCAGCCGAGAAACATGGTTAGTTGACCACCGCCGTAGACGGAGTTGATAAGCGGTGCGCCGAAGCCATAGGGGATCTATCACCAATTAACAATTGAGACAAGGTAAAAGAGTGATGGGGGACTTACAGCAGCGATTGCTAAGGATTGGAAAAGAAGTGTGAACATTGACCGGTTACGCTTGAGTTCAGGCTTGTAACCAAGGGCCGTCAAGTCCGCAGCATCACCAGCATCACCAACGGCATGATCATAGTTCTTAGCCTGCTCATGATCACTTCCCTTCTCCGAAGCAACTTTCTCCGAGGCGTTTTTCATATTGACGTGTAACAATAACAATTAGGTATAATGAAACAGAAAGGGTTTCTAGGTTGAGTTCAAATGACATGTAACGTGCGGCGACAGCATTGTATATAAACCACACACACTCACTCACACACCCTTATCAGAAATTAAACCTTCTGTGACGCCTACACGGTGATATCACGAGCAACCCCCCTTCCCCAGATTCTAGCCGGGACATTTTTTCCTAGAATGTGTTAGTGTGGTGTAGCTATCATGGGAGGTGGCTTACCCCGCGCGCAGACCAATCCATTGGGTTTTACACGGTAACTCAACCCTGATAAGGAATGGTCTATGTTGGTGTCAAGATAAGAATGTCAGTATCTGTGAGGAGGAGTGTTTATTAGTGTAACTGTGTCTCTGATGGTGGGTGAGCTGAACGGAATGTGGCTGCCAAGACGGGAAGTTCAATTGACCATCACAGGGATCTTGGAGTGATGTGCCGGTGGTTGGGGAACATGATATGAGTCTGAGAGTAAGGAAGGGACTTGTTATTAGAATTGGGTATCGAACTAAGCAATTAAACATAGAACTACGTTTGGCCTCAAATCTAACCAAATACAGTCTCGTACTTTAAATCATCCATAACATCAAGCCAGTGAATCGACCCCGGCACTGTTTCACAGTCATAATACGACCACACAGCTTGTAGTAACTCCCGCAGTACAACAATAGGCCCTGCAGCTGGACCATTGCCAAATCCTTTAAGCCTCTCGATGATAAACTCACGCGCCAAGTTCACGTCAGTAAAATGGTTTTGGTTAGAGTCTTCAGTCAACAAGGACTCCTCGGAGGTGGCGTCTAGGAGTTCTAATTGCGGTGGCTTTTCCTCTGCGCGTACCGTCTTACACCGCAATCCTGAGCCGACTCCGAGACATAACAGGGGTTGCAGACATCGGATCGACTCGGCAGGGATGTTGGACAAAAGGCCTGTGATGTGAAGGGCGAGTGACGTGGGCCATGTAACTTGTGTTACACTGCCATTAATCCTCTCTGGAAGTCTTCTCGACACAAGATCTGGAAATGTTTGGTATAGCTGTAATAATGAGCAGAGTCGAAAGACCTCTGCAGCGTGGTGTAAATCCAGGTTAATTTGTCCCTTGTTTGTATAAGCATCTGCCGCGTCGCTGATAAGCTTCGGCACTTGAACTGATAAAAGCGTCTCTTCGAGGATTTGCGCTTCGTTAATGTCGATCATGGTCTGCCACATAACCTCATACGTCGGCGCAGTGCAATTTCGCCAAGTATCCCGTGATCTGCGACACAGCGACATGGACTTTCCGAACAAGGCAATTATTTTCGGCGGCACACCAGTCCAAGGATGAAGAACAAAGTCATGTGGTGGATATGTCGCTGGGGTCCATTCTGTAAGCGTGCTGATGTCGTCTTTGGTGCTTGTTACGATACTGCGGACGGATTCTTCGTAAATGAGGCATTCTTTGAAGAAACCGACTAGACTTTGATCTTGTTTGGAGAGGTGCTCGGATCGCATTTCGAGTAGGGCTAGTATTACGCGTACGTGTCGTAGGTATTGCAGACCGAGTTGTTTGTGATCCATCCAGCAAAGCGATGAGCTCAGACAAAAGAGTGATATGATAAGCGCGTGAGGTATCGTGGTGACACTATTCGGCGACGCGAAAAGATCTTTGAGTTCCTGAATTATAGCTTCGGTTGCTATTCGTGGGGCCGATGCCGCGATTTCTTGTATCTGAGGTTGTCGGCACGTAAGAGAAGCAGCAGCCATGCTCTGAAGCGAGTAGAACAGAGGCCGTGATGAGCCCCAGAGGGAGGATCCCAGCCGGCGGAATGGATTGGTTGGTGAGTCGTATGCTGCCCAAGAACCACAAACAGATTTGAACCAGAGCTCGATTAAGAATGTTGACGGTTCAGAGATGGTTGTTGGGCTGCCCATTGCTTTATAGCATGATGAGCGTCGTCTGTAGGTAGCGAGGGCTTGTTCTTCGGTTTCTTCGGGGGTCTTCGGCGTTGGGTCTTGGGGCATTAGTATGAGAGGCATGTCGTTTGAAGGCGCCGTATTGCCCGCGACGTTAGGTGGTATCAATGTTGAACGCCGTCGAGAATTGGTGCACGGCTGGCCACTATTGACAAGTGCAATGGCTGTGCACTCAAGGTTGTTGACTTCCTGGCATCCAAGACCCGTTTCAAGAGGTGTACATGTGGGAACCGATGGCAGCGTACCAGGACTTAAAGCTTGTTGCGAAGTGGTAGACGACCGTCTGCTCTGAGGTGGAGATACTGTCACATCAGAACCACGACGTTGAACAGACTCAGATGCAGCAAAGATGAGTTGATTGAAACCAGGAGGATCACTCGTCTTGTCCTTTCGCCGTTCATATTTGGTGGACCACTTGAGAGTTTGCTGATACCCCGGACAAGTAATCTTCCTAGCAATACAATTATTACAGCTAGGCTTGCTTTCGTCACACTTGAGCTACAAAATAGAGCATTAGCGAGAATAGGGTAAGCCGGTCCGGAAATACTTACCCTTTTGCTCTTACAAGCCCTGCAACCAGAGCGGGACTTTGCTTGACTTTTCATTTTGCTATTACATGAAGAAAGCTAAGATGAGAGCTCCACGAGGTGTTCCTAAACTTGCTACGTAAAAGAGCTGTTAACCAGCTCTCTTGGCGCGTACCCACCCCCGGATTTCACATCCTGGCATGTACCGAGGAACCAATAGGAGGGGAACCGTTGGCGATGAAGATCGGCGTAGCTCGTGAGAATGAAGCTATACCCAAATAAGATAAAAAGTCCCTGCTGCTATCTACGGGACGGGCGGGGTTGTCTATCTTGCTGATAGGAATGCATTGATCATGAGGACACTGAGATAGGACTTTGATAACTGATTATTACGCGTTAAGCTAGAATTGCTTGATTACGGCGTGTGGACATGCCTTGAATGGTAAAATTACCCTCTCCCTTCTTGGCTTTATATCATAGTGACCACGCTGTCGGATACCGGATGGGCTTATCTTGGCACACCCAATTTGCATGTCAACAGTCAACTAATGCAACTTAACAGCACGTGGTTGTTTCAAGGTTGATGACTTGCGCCACAAGAAATCAAGATTGGTTCTACCATATCTGGAAATGCAACACTTTGATCGTTTGGTAACAAGAAATATACATTACAATGATGACCGGTCCGTATACTCCAGTCTATTCTCAAACCCTCAGTATCGTATGAACCAAAACCACCACTCAAGAAAATATGTAAAAGATAATGTAGAGGTATTTACCAGCCTCAGTGCGTGCCCCGGCCTCCAACATCGTCACCATCCTTCTCATTTACACCCCTGGCAACTTCACGTGTCTTACCCCACTTGAAGTCATCAGAGTGAAACAGAGAATAAACCAAAATAATAATGTTCATAAAAGGTGATGTGAAAAGATGCATGACATAGCCTGCGAAATACTGCGCCCGCTCGAGGTTGTTTCGCGGAAGCCAGAAGCCAATGCAAAAAGAGTAAAGCTGCAAAAGCGTTAGCCAAGCTTTCTTGGCGTGAGATTTGCTGCAGGGGTAGACTTACATAGCGGAAGAATAATACGCAGATGAGACCGAGGAACACGGGGTCTTGCATCACTTCGCTGCCTCGTTTGGCGAAGACGATGAGGAGTTCGACGAACGCGGCGATGATGAATGGAGTGATTGCCCAGGTTATGACGGCGATGAGACTCTGGAGACGCTCAATGAGGATGATGCCTGGGCGGAAGATCATGACGAATTCATTGGAGATACTACCCAGGGCCCAACGCTTGCGCTGGGAGAGGAAGACTTTCCAGTCTTGGGGAACGATTGTCATGGCTTTTGCACGGAGGGCTTGGGCTGTTTGCTTGCCGGGGAAGAGGCTGAAGATGATGGAGGCGTGAATACTGTCTTCGGAGTAGTTACCCATGATATGCTGTGTCATGATGTCGTTGGGTTTAGGGCAGTATCCAAAGCGCTCGCGAAGAACAGCATCTCCAAAAGTAGCTTCATCAACACGAATGAGTTGACAACATCCAGGAAGACAGTTGACTTTTCCAGTGATGCGAGACTGGAACATTCGTCGAAGGCCTTGAGTTTGAGAATACTCAACGGATTGATACAGCGACCAATATCCCCAATTATGACCATCAAAGTCAACGCAGACATGGCCGCAAACACCAACGAGTTTTGGGTTCTTGCGAATCTCCTTGATCATCTCCCAAATACAGTTCTCTTCAAACACAGTATCGGCATCCATACCGCAAAGGTATGTGATGTCATCAAGACCAGCGTTGATGAAGTTGTTACCAATGTATTCGAAGAGCTCATTGTTAAACATGGTGACGATATTCTCGGAGCGTTGTTTGAAGTGGTAAATAAGAGAGCGCGCGAAGCAGAGACTGTCGCGTTTGCCTTGATTGTATCTCTTTCCGACGAAGACGTACGGAATGCCTTTGTAGAAGCCAGTTTGTGCCTTGACGGGCATGAATAAACCGTCTCGAGCACGGTATCCATTTTCGAAAGTTCGAGAGGGACCGGGCTCGAGGATATCCTGGAGGAGATAATCTTGCGTAGTCTTCTCCATGCCCGGCCCACGAACATTTCCATCAACAACGATGAAAATAACACGAGGATGATTGTCGATATTCTTCTGCGCAATAAGCGAATCAAGAGATCTCGTCAACTCCTGATATGTCTCATTATAACACGGCAGAAGCAACACCATCTTCTCCGGCTCAGCAGGAACATTCTGCTCCCTCTTCCACCAACACAAAAGAACATGCGTAATGAACCAATGCAGAATAATACAAACACACATAAACGACTGAAGAACAGTGTTCGAGCTCAAGAGGACCAGGAAGAAGTAATACACCTGGTAGTACTTCCAGCCAACGTAGATGAGAGCGCCGTTGATGGAAGCGAGACCGATGATGAGACTCCACTTTTGAAGACGGAGCATGCTCTTGGACATCTTTTTGAGCTCCTCGTCGGAGTCCCAGCGGAGCTTGGCTTCTTCTTGCATAATGGACGATGTGAAGGAGAGGTTCGATTCATTGCCGTTGTTGGTGAGCCAGGAGGCGTGGGTTATGCCTGACATTGGGGTTTGGGCGCCTGGGTGGAAACCACCGTTGATACCGCGAATAACAGACTAATACTTGTTAGAGTAGTTGGAATATGGGTGGCAATGGGTTGGCCTACCGAGTCTCTGGAGATTGTTCCGCTTGGCCTGAGTGGGATCTGACCGTGGGAGGTTGAGGGGCCAGATCCACCATAGGGCAGAGCCGGCATCTTTCCTTTGTGAAAAGAGATTGTGTTGCCTCTTTCCGAAGAGGATGATTCCCTGGTAGAACCTGGAGGTACGAGGCTGGCCATTCCGATTGTTGACTTGTAGCCGTTCGATCGGGAGCTACTCACCAGAGAGTTTAGCACATGAGTAAGATACGAGTACCAGAATACTTACACTACTAGTGAACAATATTCGAAAACCTGAAGCCGAGTTTGTAGACCGAAGCAACGAGAGTAACGAGAGACAGAAGCGAGTGACAAGGTCAAAGACCCGATGAAAGAACACCCTTCCAACAGAACCCAGAAGCGAATGATGAGTGTATCTCCTATCGAACATAAAAACACATCCAAATTCGGGGGATATTGAAGCTATAGAAAGATCTCTCCAGCACAAAAGCCCTAGTCACAAAAACAAATAATACAAAGGCCTCACACTACCGTCCAGCCTCACCGTTGGCCCTCACAAGCATAACACGACAGCACACGAGAGGGGTGCGGGCTCGCCGCTGACCAATTCTTCCATCACGGAAAGCAAGTTTTACAAAAATTAAAAAAGAATAGCCCTGAAATGGAGACCTTGCATACGCCTCTCTTCCCGTACTGTTAACACGGGTGAGGATCGACGGGTGATGCTTGTTCCGCGCAATCCTTGATATCAGCTGTGAATACTCGGCCCGTGGCTATTTTTGAAATAGTCTACTGAATGTGAAAAAGGATTTGCTTGGTTGCATGCAGCCAAGGCAGCGGGATAGTACCTGAGTGTTGGCATTTGAGTTTGTTGTGTCACCTTAAATCTCACCCGAACCGTATGGGGCGATTATTTCGGGGTGAGGCCTGTGAATCTCGGTTCGTGGATCTTTTACTTGTTGAGATGTTGGGATTCAATATCAGAGTGGCCTCGATGCATTGGCATGTCACTACAAGGAACATGGTATGTATATCTGGTATTTCGGGTCTTTGCAGTGATAATGGAGATCTAGATGTCAGAATACGAGGCTCTCAGCTTGACAGGATGCGTGACAACTCAAGTCTAGCAGTCTCCAGATGACTATGCTGCTCTAGGAATACTGTGAGATGGGGTTTTGTTCGTAAACTCAAGAGTTGCTCAGTACCATGACCACAACCCCCCAAGTTGAACACGCAGTATGCCTTAACACCATCCAGAACCTTCTCCCACAACACCTGCAGTGAGATATCAAGATCCCGCTTCAAGCTTAAACTTAAGCCCACGGCCCAACCCGAACAGACACGGCCGGACCTGCAGTAGCCCACTCATCCACACCATCAAACAAACAGATATACAAAAGCACCATTATATGCAGCCACACTTTTGCCAACAAACTCAGCACGCAATATGCAAGATTCACCGAGACGATCTACGCAACCCGATTGCCCAGGTATTCACCTACACATCCTAGTCCTTCACCTATACATCCCGGCCCTTCACCCCGGTATCTACAAACGTATCCCTACATATCCCAGTTTCTTCTCAACATCCCGGCCACTGAAAAGATATCCCCGTTGTGTAACCGTTTACGTCCAGTAGCATCCCGAGATGTTGTGTAACACTCGGGATGCGGAACCCCACGCCGATCACTTTGCGTTGGTTGGTCGTTTGCAAGTTAGGCTTATCCAGTCACCGTTGAGATCTGGTGTATGCAGGTGAAGTGATGCCATGACGCGTTTCTTGTGGTGATACAGCGGATATAGTCCTGAACTAGCTGCATGGGGCTTCTATTTGAGGAGGCTCTGGATATGTGTATGCACGTTTGATGTTGTGAGACATCAGACTCGTAATTTCAACAGGAGTGAGAATTTATCCGGAAAAGGTTCCATGCAGCTCATCCTCAGCTGAAAGCATGTAAGATAGATTAGCTCAACATGATTTATTGCAGAATTGCAGTCAATCAATACCAATTAAGTCTAAATACCAGCTAAAGAGGTCCACACGTGGACAATTAAAGATCCTGAAAGGATACAAGAAAGTAAACAAGAACATCCTGACAGCTTTCACTGTATCACCATCTCCGCAAGCCTCTCCCGTCTGAGTCACAACTCAACATCCTATTGATGGATAATCATACACATCAGTTACACTCTCCAAAGCCCCCCTGACAACCAGCTCCGCAGTGAGCAGCACTATTGCCGCTGTGTACATGTCAGTAAGATCTAATATCTTAGTCTAGGAGGTATACTTACCAGAACCCGTACTGAGAGCAGCAGGTCTTGTCACCGTAGTTTCCGCATGATGCCCTGACGCCAGGACCACAAAGGCCGTTGGTAGTGTCGTGAATGTCACCTCCGGAAGGCGTGCACGACCCAAAGTCGGTATCACAGCCTGTTCCACAGTAACTTTCACTCGATCCACTGAGATAATGTTAGCACACCTGGAATCTCTACGAATAGAGCCGGGGAAGACGTACCAGTAACCATACCAGGAACAGCAGCTTCCGAAGGCTGACCCCTGACAAGTGTATCCTGTGTTGCCACCACATTGTTGGTTTGGGGAGATTACAAGACCACCAGTAGCAGTAGCTGTGTTCGTTGTCACCGACACGTTGGTAGGAGGGACAGTTCGGGTAGTGGTAGCCGACTCAGTCGATGTGGCATCTCTGCCTCGGGAAACAGTTCGGTACCAGTTCTCCCGAGGGTCACCAAGACATTCCCCAACAGTAACAAGCCTGTATCCACGATCTTGGGCAGTATCGATCATGGAAGCAGTCAAATTGTGAACAGTCTGATCATGGACATCATGCGCCAGAACAATATACTGGTTGTTCTCCGAGTTAGACGAGACTCCAGAAGAATAACGATCTTTAGAGATTTGGATCAAAGCAGGGCTGTCATTCTCGTAGTCTTTAGTGTCAATGTTCTGGTCCACAACATGATAGCCAAGTTCGGACATCTCATCGAGGCAACCAGATGCGGCGTTGCACTCGAGGTATGGCGCCCGCATGTAGGTCGGAATCCAACCAAAGAGATTTCGGAAGGCCATCTCATTGTAGATCATCTCAGATCTTCGGATAGTGCTGTTGACCTCGTTGAGATTGCGATGAGTCCAAGTGTGGCTGGCGATGTGATGACCTGCAGAGTACATGCGTCTCATCACAGCGGGCCATGGTTTGGACGAGTCGTCAATATGTCCCTTGGCCCTGTTGTTTCCGGCCACAAAGAAAGTAGCCTGGATATCTCTGTCATCCAAAAGATCCAAAAGGTCATTGGTGTACTCAAGAGGGCCATCATCGAATGTCAGAGCAATCACACCGGGTGCAGTGCAAGTTGTGATGATAGTGCCTGTTTCTGTTGTAAGCATCTAATAGTGCACATGGCCATTAGAATTGATGCAAAGACATACCATACGGAACATTGCCAAGCCGTGGTCGAGAGATTCCTTCCGTGCTGCTTCCACGAGGCCCGAAACTGGTCTCTGTGTCAGCTTCATGTCCGTTACTGCAGTACGAGGACTTCGAAGATACAAGATCTTGTCTGTAATTCCCAAGCTTCAGAAAGCACTTACAAAGTATCACACGAATCGCTGTACTCGAGCTGGCAAGCAGAACCACCACAAAAGTCTCCGGTTGTTCCGCAGAAGCCACTCTCTGAACAACAGGATCCAGGATTGCACGAACCAATGCCAAGACCACATTCAGCACGTTTCCTCAACTTCGAATCGCGCAATGACAAAAGATCATCGGCTGCAAAGACTGGTCCAGACAGAACAGTCCCTGCATGGACCAACAGGGAAGTAAGGGTGGCGGAAAGGCTTGCTTTCATTTTGAGCGATCGTGATGAAACGGGAAGCAATATACTTGGAACAAAAGAATGTAAAATGACGAGTTGAACGAGTGACGATGCGAGCGGCCGATGGGTAGTTGTATGAAGCCTTGAGGGAGTTTATCTACGCGGGGCACGCGTAACTGCAGCTCCTGAGCCAGGTAAACATCCAACTTAAAATTAAGAGGGATTGAACGCCGAAATTCTGCACCTTGAACACGAGAGATACCATCAGCCGAGTTGAATGTACTGGCCCGGCATCCTAGGCCTCATACCAGGTCACCTAATGGTCAATGAGGATCCACGTTGAGATCAATATCAGCCATCCCCAACAACAAGCCAGCCATCATCAGGTGAGGCCACTGTCTCTGATTTATTGTTTTCTCTTCGGGCAATTGCATTGCATGTTGATGGTGCTCTGATTTGAAAATGTGAAGAATATTCGACTTGCAGATATTGATCCATTGATGCCACACCAAACAGGACGACTTGATTGCGTCTTCAGGTTTTAATATTCTCATCGACACGAATGTTGATGAGTTGGCCCTTGATTGTGATGATTGGGCGACAGGAACTGACAGTACTCCAGGATCAATACTATCAGCCTCAAGGCCATGGAGGAAACTTTCCCCAGAGACACCCAAAAACGCGGGTCACCTGTAGCTGTCCTTGCTTTTGCGGCGTCTTCCAGTCGGATTATCCGACTTTTTCTTGGCGCATACACTCGTATTCGTCCCATATAAATGCCTCTCATGTCGTTACACAAGGCCCAGAATAGTTCAGAAGGTTGGCTGCCGATTTGAAGACGTCTAGTTGTTCGCATCCTTGTCGTGATAAAAATATAGAACCGCCACCGAGACACGAAATAGGAACAGTGAGCTTAATGCCCGTCGGAAAGAAACTGACGTGTTCCGTCAGCTTGTGTAACATCACTCAGCTTGACTTCAGCAAGCCATGTCAACATCCCAGGCGAGATAGCCTTGCTAGGTTCAAGGCTGTTCCGTCTTCCGCTGCCGGGTCGATGAGGAGTTCTTGGCACCTCACTATGTAATGTGAAGATCTATTCTCAATATTGTACTTCACCGTGTCACAGTGAATGTCCTTCCAACATCTCATATGCAATCACCCTCAAACGATTGAGGTTGTCCCAGCAAATGGTTTAATAATCTCACGGATACCTGCGAGGCCGTCTTGGCATCGGAAACGATGCTGAACAGCCCGAACTCTTGGGTTGAGGCTCCCATTCCCAGGTGGTTTGATCATACTCTCGACGAAAAATTTCAGTGATCATGTAGTCAAGCCGATAAGAATTTGTACGATCAATTGAGCCAATAAAATGTTCAATCGCATCAATCGCGGCCCGGTAAGTTGACATATCTTTACTTGGAAATGTAATCGCAAAATAGGCTAATAATTGACTGATCTTCAACCTCGACATATCCTCGTCGTCCTGTACAACAGTTTGACCGAGCTAAGGTATTAGCTCAGGCACGTCAACTGAAATAGATGCAGTGTTTCCAGGCTAGTAGACTCCTGCATAGGATACAGGGGATTAACCAAGGCATTGGTGAGGCTGTATTGGTCCTCGCAAGTTTCCTCAAGTTTGAATTGCGGAGTGGCGGTTGCTAGTTTCAGTCTGTGACTTCACAGTCACAGCTTGGTTGACGCAAAGATCTTGCGTGGCCAGATGCATTCGTGCGGCAAGCTATTCAGGGGCAATATCCTGTCGTGGGCCAAGTTTCCACTCGAGGCTCGGAGTATCGTGTAAGAAAGTTCCGGTTACTGAGGCCTGACGCCGCACGGTATAGCCGTTGAATTGAGAACGGAAAGGGAAAAGTTCTCGATTGATCGGTCGCATTGTGAAGCCAGAAATGTAGATGGATCGCTCGATACGAGCCGATAGTCGTTCATTGATGATACATATGCTTACGTCGAGCCCCAATGACTTTTCTGAATCTTTGTTCACTTCACCCCATTCACTCGTTGATTGTCGATCGTTACCACCATGGCTCAAATTCTTGCCGAGAGCCTTCTTGTTCAGGGGCTTCCTTTTGTTAGTCATGAACCAGAAACCAAGTCGTGGAACGTTTCCAGTCGAGAATACTACGACATCACTCCTCCAAGTGAGATTTCAGAGGCAGCAGATGTCTTCAACGTGGTGTCCAAGCCCATTGATGCAGCTACTGAACCGCTTGTTGCTGTCATTGGGGTCGGCTATGTTGGCGAGCATCTAGTCGATGTTTTCTCAAAGAACCACGACGTACTTGGATACGATGTATCAGAAGCTCGAACTCAACAGTTGGCCCAGAAGCAACATGTCGGCAGTCGTGCCAGGTTCACATGCAAGCCTTCAGATCTCGCTGAAGTCACCCATTTTCTCATCTCAGTGCCGACTCTTCTGGTTGATCACAAAACCATCGATTCATCATACCTCCGGAGTGCTCTATCTGTTGTCAAGCTCTACGGTCGTCAGGGCGCTGCCGTCGTCGTGGAGAGTTCGGTGGCAGTGGGAATGACTCGCGCTCTTCTTGGCCCTCTCGCAAAAGAGCGTGGGTTCTTCGCGGGCATGTCTCCTGAACGCGTTGATCCTGGTCGCACCGAGCCATCAGCTCACTCCATCCCCAAGATCGTGTCTGGACTCGACGATATTGTCCCCGGTTCGCTTGATGCTATCATGAGACTCTACTCGAAGAGTTTCGATCACGTTGTGCCAGTGTCGAAGCCAGAAGTCGCCGAGATGATGAAGCTGTATGAGAACTGTCAGCGTATGGTCTGCATCGCCTACGCCAACGAGATGGCCGATGCTTGTGGCGCCCATGACATCGATCCGTATGAAGTTTGCCGCGCGGCTGCCACTAAACCATTTGGCTACCTCCCGTTCTCGCCAGGCCTTGGCGTCGGTGGCCATTGCATTCCCGTCAATCCATGGTATTTGCTCTCCAACAGTAAATTTCCTCTTCTACGGGCAGCATCTGAGAAGATGCGCGATCGTCCTTCCGAGATCGCACAACGGGCTGTGACGCGTCTCTACAGCGTTGACAGGAACGGCCTGCGACCACGCGTTCTTGTGGTTGGCATTGGCTTCAAGCGTGGGCAGTCACATCTTGCCAATTCCCCTGGTCTCGAACTTGCAAGGCGTTTGGTCGAAACAAGCAAGGTCGATGTTGCTTGGGCTGATCCTCTCGTGTCGCAAAACGCGGTTCCTCAGATTCCACGACTTGATGAGGGTGAATGGACTGTCGAGGCTCTAGAACGAGATTTTGACATGATTATTGTCGCTTTTCGTCAAAAAGGTCTCGATTTTGATGTGTTGGAACATGTTCAGGGAGTTGTTGTGGAACGTTGGTGTCCTTGAAAGGAGAAAACATGACCCTGCTCATTCCGGGCGGAGAGCTATTCAAAAGGAAACAAGCAACGTATACGACCCGCACAAACTGCTTGCTCTTCCTTCGTTATTGTTTCTCTAAATGGAAGGCATTTCCTATGTACCTACTTTTACCTCTGATAACCTTGGTTACGCAGGGTTCGGTCAATACGCAATAATATATTTCATATTCTGTAGGGTATCCTATCAAATTGCCCATGTTCCGCGCCGATTGTCACAAACTATCATGACTAGGAATATACCACGAGCGCTAAATCTTTGACTAAAATATGCTAAATAGATACCTTAACAGTGTAGGCTATTATTGTCATGCTGAGGCGCCACGATTAGCTCCTTCTGGAGACGAGAATGCCTGCTCGATCTCCCATCGTCAGTTGCTCCTTGCCTAGCACTTGACACATCCAGCAAGTGGAGGAAGGTACTTTTGTGTCATCCATCTTGAAGATAACCCAGCCTATTTGGACGATCTTCTTCTTCATAATCTTCACCATAATCACCACCATTCTTCTTTCATCACCATAAGCACAGTTCTACTTAATTAAACCATATACCCATCCTCGTGTCAACCATGAGTACTTCAGTTCCTATGCCAACAGCTCGCCAAGGTGCGTATCTGTTTTCGGGAGAAATCTGGGAGCTAACAGCAGTCAGCGGCGTTGCATGATCGGTTCAATCACTACCTCAGTCTCGAAAAAGATGGTCCTCCTCTCAAAGCATTGACCGCGGCCAAAGAGCTGGTCGAGGAGGAAGGTCTGAATCCTTACCATGCGGCGCACTTGCACATGAAACTGGCTGGAATCCCCGAAGTGGGAGTCTACCATGCCTCGGAGGCCGTCAAAATTTATACCAAGCTGAAGGAAAGCGATCCAAGCATCACAGACATGTGGCGCAGGGCATCGGAAGTCTTGCAAGAAAGAGAAAACGCTGAGAAGGACTGGAAGCAGTCTCAGAATGCTAGGTAAGAGATATATTGCCTCTGGATTTCTAACCACTATGACCTGTCGATTGAGGTAATTCGTACGGATGTCGCCTCGCCTCCCTCAATTGCAATATTTCTTCGCCAAGTCTAGTTGCTACTTGATGTGCCATTAAGTAAATGCCACTGACGGTTTGTTATAGGCTAAGGACAAACGGCGGAACGGAAAACGAGGAGGCGATTCGACGACAACGTTATAATGAATACTTTTCCAAGCTCGAACAGGAGCCACAGTCAAGCTCTGGCGGAATGGACATAGACGAACGGAATCCCTTGTTTCACTACCCGGCTAAAAAGGAGAGGACTGGCGATTTGGGTGGTGACGAGGAGGAAGAGTAGTCGAACAATTTGTATGAGGAGGAAAAGTCGTATTTGGTAATGCGGTGAGTTATATCTCATGTTAGGACTTGTTGTATTAGGTAAGGTATACTTAACCTTGGCTGTCACGGGTTATGGGAGAGACAGAACTTGAAAGAGTATGGCATAAACAAAGGTGAAGACCGCACCCAAATCCAATTTTGTTGTGCACATTGAACAAGAGGTTCCATGACTCAAAGTGCCTATTGAGAAGCCTGATAATGAGATAAGGCTTATGATGCAATGGAAAGATATTGCTTCAATGATGTCTTAGCAACTGCGTTTTCGTCGTGCCCATGTTATCTCCGGCCGAGATCCAGAATTGCCTGAATCGTGCTTGAGGCGTCAATTTGAGCCTTTTGATTGGTTAAGCTTTGGAGTCTAGACCACGTTGACCCTGGCTCGCATCCTTGTCAATGCCAGCAACGACGACGAGTCAAAAGTTGGGGACATGAGTTCAACTTCTTCGAGACGATATTCTGCCGCCATGTAAAGACTCAAATGACGAATGGAAATTGTCAATATATTGTTCGCTTGTTGTTCATAACGCATTTCTCTCAAGCACTAGCCATGTGCTCTTGGGCTGCAGTAATCACGAAATATCGGGCAAAATTTGGATCATGCAAATATCGTGGTCTCATTCGCTCATCTTTTCAAAGTACTCCTGGACATTTTAATTACCCCATTAAATACTCTTTAAACCTCTAGAACTTGGGCATATCATACAAGTCCTCAGGATCTGTCATTTGTTAGTGCTGGAACTTTAGTATGTGGGAATTTACTTACCTTTGCCCTCGTCCTGGATATACTTCTTCACCTCAGCAACTCTGCCGTCAATCTTCTTGAGTGTTTCGTCAAGCTTGGCCTTGATCTTATCGTTTGACTCAGCAGCACCCTTGAGCGCGCGCTTAGCAACGTCGAATCGGCTGACCCAGTTGAGAAGCATCATGTCGAATGGCGTGGTAGTGCTACCCTCCTCCTTGTATCCCTCAACAGTCATGCGGTGTAGGCCAGGACGTCCAAAGAGAAGACCTTGAAGCTCGGCAGCATATCCATGGTAGTTGAAACACACTGCCTTGTCTTCCGTGAACATATCAAGGAAGTCAGCGCGGCTGAGTGCGTGAGGGTGACGGGATTCGGCAGCCAACACCATGAGGTCGGTCACGTTGACGACTCGGACTCGAAGCTCAGGGATCCAGGCGCGAAGGATCTCAGCAGCCTTGACAACCTCAAAGGTAACTTCCACACCAATACCAGCGATCACAACATCGGGTTCCTTGCCTTTGTCAATTGAGGCAAACTCCCAGATGCTTGCGCCCTTTCGGCAATGCTCAGCTGCCTCCTCAGGAGACAAGAAGACACCAGTGGGCTGCTTTGAACCAATCATGAGGTTGACGTAATTCTTGGATTTCAGGCAGTGGTGGATGGTGCTAAGGAAGCAGTTGGCATCAGGAGGGAGATAAACGCGTGCCGCCTCAGCCTTCAGGTTGAGAACAGAGCCGATGAAGGATGGGTTCTGGTGAGAGAAGCCGTTGTGTTCTTGACGAGCCCAAGTACTAGTCTCGATATAGTTAATTGAGCTGAGATCGCCTCGCCAGTTGGTCTCGCGCGCGATCTTGTTGAACTTGGAGTACTGCACCATCATGGTATGAATGATGCCAAGGAAAGACTCGTAACTGGGGAAGAGAGCAGTTCGGCCGGTGAGTGTGTATCCCTAGTAAGTATTAGCGAGAATCGCTGACTCGAACAGTAAATACTTGCCTGCATCCATCCTTGGCAGCAATGCTCTGAGAGGATCTCAATGACTCTGCCGCCCTGGGCGCGAGAGAACTCATCCCATTGGAAGTTTCGGCCTGTGTTCTCGAAGACTGCACTGAGCTTGTTGCTCTCCAGTTCATCAGGAGAAAAGATACGGAAACTCTTGGGGTTCTCCTTGATGACCTGGTTCAGGAAATCGCCAGTCTGCTTCATGCAGCTGTTTTGGGAAGCTTTCTCTACTGCAAAAGTTTTCCAATCCGGAACCTTCAATTGCTGGTAAGGATCATATGTCTGCTTGAGTTGTCCAAGTCGCTTCTCATCTTTCTGGGGGATGATTTCTAAGATACTATCGGCAGGCTTTCCATCCTTGAGCAAGTGAGCTGTATCGTATGTCTTGAGCCAGTCTTGGAGGATCTTGAGGTGTTCCTCGTCCTTGCCGGCGTTGGGAACAGGGATCTGGTGAGAGTGGAAAGAGCCTTCAATGAATTCTCCATCAACCTTCTTGGGACCTGTCCAACCCTTGGGGGTTCGAAGAACAATCATGGGCCAGCGTGGCTTGACAATGGGCTTTCCATCTCGAGCTGCCTTTTGGATCTTCTTGATCTCACTGACGGCCCACTCCAAAGCACCCGAGAGCTCGCTGTCGATCTCTTCAAGAGTCTCCACGATGGTTGGCTGGTATCCATAGCCAGCGAACAAACTGGACAGCTCCTTGTTGTCCATGCATCCATAGATGGTTCTCTCACTGATCTTGAAGCCATTCACGTGGAGAATAGGAATGACGGCTCCAGATTCAGCGGGGTCAATGTACTTGATGGAGTGCCAAGCACTGAACAGTTAGCGACGTACCGAGTGAGTCGCGAATGACTTACCCTGCAGTGGGACCACTTTCGGCCTCACCATCTCCAACAAGACAAGTGACAATTAAGTCTGGGTTATCCATGATGGCGCCAAAGGAAACAGCCAGGGAGTAGCCTAGCTCACCACCCTCGTGGATGGAACCCGGAGTTTCGGAGTTGATGTGACTGAACTAGTTAGCTTGGTCTTATCTTAACGACCGACACATGTCTCACCTAGGGAAGCCTCCAGGAACTGAGAATCCGGTAATAAGGTTGCGCAAGCCGTCCTTGCTAACGCCATACTTCTGAGGAAAGAATCGCTCGAGAGATCCCTCCAACCATAGTGAGGCCAGAGCAGCAGGAGCACCATGGCCGGGTCCGATAACAAAGATCATTTCCAGATCATGATTGCGGATGAGGAGGTTGAGATGCGACCAGACTAGGATAATGCCCGGACATGTTCCCCAGTGGCCTTTGAAGCATTAGCTATGCCCCAAAGTAAGCGGTGTTTTACATACCCAACAAACGTGGCTTAATATCTTGTGCCTTCAAGTCTCTCTCAAGTAAAACGTTGTCTTTGAGGAAGATCATGGCTGTCTTGGCGTTAGCCACGTGCGCCGCACTAATTGACCTCACTTACACCCTGCAATGTAGCATGCCGCATGTTGGAAATCATTGAGCGATTGCGCAATCTTCTTGTCCAACTGCTTCTTTGGCGCCTTGAGTGCCAATTCCAGAGCTGCATCTGGAAGATGGCTATCCAATGGAGCCGGGTTCGGGCGATCGATCACTTCACCTGGCATCTTGCGTTTGATATTAAATCTGGAGTTGATGGTAAGCTAAACGGAGATTCACAGAACCGAGAAAGGGAAGAGAAATGTCGGTCACATAAGGCACACGAGATTAAAATCGGTTGAAGAATCGGCAGTTTTTTACTACATTGATTTCTTTCAAACTGTTTGATAGTGACGCGGTTTCAAGCAGGGAATGATGCTATATCGATGACGTAAATTGACGTCGCTTTGACAACTGCCCCACGTAAGAACTTGGATGTTTGTGAAGCAACATATCAGTGACGGATATGTCGGATATTGAAAGAAGATAAAAGTTGAAACAATTATAAACTTTAAATTACAAAATGAGGCATCTTGCTTGTATACACGGAAATATTGAAAATCGATCCGGCTATTTGGGATTGTCTTGCTTGTTGATAGTGTGCTGAAGATTAATATAACTGGTCTTCTCGAAGATCTGTAGAAAAACAACAATCCCTGCTAAATCCAGAATTGTACTGGTCATCGAGCCTCAAGATTCCACATCAATTCTCCATTACAAACCAACCTCGGCCATTTGTTGAGTTGTTTCAACGGCAGGCCAGGCAAGTGCGAGACAGATACGGAAAGTGGGGGACACAAAAACCGGACCTTTCTTTCCTGGTGTAACAGTAAAACCACCTCCTTCCCAAACACAGATCGCGATCGCATGAGAAATCGCATTCCATATTTCCTCGTTGGAAATTCTGAGCTTCTCATAGGTCAATCACGTTTGCTCCTGACGAAACATGACGACTTTTCTCAACAAGTCGTCCCATCGTACCTGCCAGTTTCCCCAGCTCGCGGGGAAAGATGAATCGACAAACGTGTGTATGACGTAAAGCCAACGTGCTCTGAGATTGAAGAAGTTTGGATCTGACACATTACAAAAGAGCTAAAATTCCTGAATCCTTCGAAAACAATCTTCAGTGAATTATTCTTTGTTTGCTCCAAGGATAACGACCACGATTCGACATGACCGAGCAAGTTACTGGAGCTATCAAACACGCAGTCATGGGACACGGAAACGACAAGATCGATCAGCTCAAGGCCAACATTGTTGAGCCGAGCGAGAGCACCAGAATCACTTCCGACTATGGCGTGAAGCAGAACAGTACCGATAACTGGCTCCGTGTCAACAGTGACGACCAGACGGGGGCCAGTCTTCTCGAGGACGCTTTCGGACGTGAGAAGGTATGTCACTCCATATACAGATCGTTCAGATTTTGTGCAACTTGGAATATTTGGATACTAATGGTGTATCAAGATTCATCGCTTTGACCACGAGCGTATTCCTGAGCGCGTTGTCCACGCTCGCGGCGCTGGCGCACATGGCACGTTCAAGCTTTTCGAATCCGCAGAAGATGTTACGAAGGCCGGCATATTTACCGACACCTCAAGAGAGACTCCTGTTTTTGTTCGATTCTCAACTGTTTTGGGAAGCCGCGGCTCCGCTGATACCGTTCGCGATGTCCGTGGGTTTGCGGTAAAATTCTACACACAAGAAGGTTTGTGAATACCCTCAACACCAAATCCCATGCATCTTCTGCGCAACAGAACATCCTTTTCTCCTTTTCTTTTGCGTGTTGTCTTGAAGGTCTGCGCGCACAACAACACCACAACACTATGAAACAGTATCACCAGATGATTTTAAATAACCCAAAAGCTAACAATGAGCATGCAATTTTGATATTGTCGGGAACAACATCCCTGTTTTCTTCATTCAAGATGCGATGAAGTTTCCAGATATGGTCCACGCCGGCAAGCCAGAACCGCACAACGAGGTCCCACAGGCGCAATCTGCACACAACAACTTCTGGGATTTCGTTTGGGGACACTCAGAGGCCACTCACATGTATATGTGGGCGATGTCTGACCGTACAATTCCTCGATCCTATCGCATGATGCAAGGTTTCGGCGTCAACACCTACACTCTTATCAACGACAAGGGCGAGCGCCGATTTGTCAAGTTTCACTTTACTCCTGAGCTGGGAGTTCACTCTCTGGTTTGGGATGAAGCTCTTAAGCTTGCTGGCCAGGATCCCGACTTCCACCGCAAGGACCTTCAGGAGGCCATCGAAAACGGCGCCTATCCCAAGTGGAAGTTTGGTATCCAGGTGTTGGAGGAGTCTCAAGAGCATGACTTCGACTTCGACATCCTCGACGCTACGAAGGTCTGGCCAGAAGACCTGATCCCTGTCCGCTACATTGGCGAACTAGAGCTTAACCGAGTTGTCGATGAGTACTTTACAGAGACCGAGCAGGTCGCTTTCTGCACCAGCCATCTTGTTCCTGGCATCGGGCCATCAGACGATCCTCTTCTTCAGGGTCGAAACTTCTCTTACCAGGATACTCAACTAAGTCGACTGGGCATTAACTGGGAGGAGCTGCCTATCAATAAGCCCGTTTGCCCAGTTATGAACTTCAACCGCGATGGTGCCATGCGGCACACTATTTCCAAGGGCAAAGTCAACTACTGGCCTAACCGATACGGTCATCAGCCCGCTGCGACTGTCCAGGAGGGCGCCTACGTTGACTACCAGCAAAAGATTGCCGGTATCAAGCAGCGTGCTCTTAGCAAAAAGTTCAAGGACCACTTCTCCCAGGCTCAGCTCTTCTACAATTCTCTTTCCGAGATCGAGAAGGCTCACGTCCAGGCCGCCTTCTCCTTCGAGTTAGACCACTGTGACGAAGCTATCGTCTACGAGCGCCTGACTGAACGTTTGGGTGTAGTCGATGGAGAGCTTGCCAACACTATTGCAGACATGGTCGGCGGCAAGAAGCCCATTGATGCCAAGCCCAACCCCGGAAAGAAGGCCAAGAACCTGAGCCAGCTTGACTTCCTCCCCAAGACTCCCACCATCAAGTCTCGACGTATCGCAATCATCATCGCTGACGGTTACGACCCCATTGCGTTCAACGCTCTCTACGGCGCAATCAAGGCCCAGAGCGCCCTCCCCTTCGTCATCGGACCCCGACGCTCCGCCATCTTCTCCGCCAATGAGGACTCCTCCTCGTCCAAGGGCATCGTTCCCGACCATCACCTCGAAGGCCAGCGAAGCACCATGTTCGACGCCATCTTTGTTCCTGGCGGTGAGAAGTCTATTCAGACTCTTTCCAAGAATGGCCGAGCTCTTCACTACATCCGCGAGGCTTTCGGTCACTTGAAGACGATTGGTGGTACTGGTGAGGCCGTTGACCTGATCAACAAGGCAATCCAGCTTCCTGAGGTCTCACTCTCTGAGACAGACGGCAGCGGCGTTGTTGACAGCTATGGTGTGGTGACTCTGAAGAATGCTTCACCTGACAGCCTTAAGGAGATCGTCACCGTGGCTTCCGATGCCAAGGGCTTCCTGGAGAAGTTCGTGTACAACATCAGCCAGCACCGTAACTGGCAGCGAGAGCTGGATGGATTGAGCACCATGGTGGCATACTAATGATTTATTGAAAGATACCAATTTATGTAATGAACCAATTTGAATCTTCAACCAATACATTAATCACATAAACTCCTACTTCTTTTTGACTGGAAGAAATAAATGTACGTGACTATAGAGTGAGCCCTGGCGTTCCTTATGACACCTAATCCATGCCCGGTGTCCTTTTTACCTGGACAGTGAACATACTAAGTTTATGTGAATTTAAGCTTGCATGGCATATATTACGATAAGTTTATGATGAATTTTGTTAAATTCTGATGAGTTATGATGAGTTATGATGAGTTGTGATGAGTTGTGATGAGACAAGATGGGCTTGTGCCTCCCATGCCATGTCTCATGTCAGCTCATCTTGTAAATTAAAACTTGTCGTAATTCTAGCTCACTGTTTTGGCTATCTAAGCTGACCTCTTTCCATGAAGTTTCTTCTTCAACTTCTGGATAGCTCGCGCCCCCTTCTTCAATACAAAAGTGGCATACTCCCCATGTCCTTCCATATCCCTTGAGGCTCGCTTCTTGATGTCCATGTACTCAACCCGGTCCTCCTCCCTCTCACCAATGGGGACGACAATGCCAGCATAGCGGAAAAGAATTGCGTTCAGGATCATGCGGCACATGCGTCCATTGCCGTCTCGGAAAGGATGGATCTCAACAAATCTGAGCGAATACTTGGAAGAAAGAGAGAATGGGTCCAGCGAGTTTTGAGCTTCCCCCTCTTCAATATCTTTCTTCATGTTGGCGCACATCTCTCTCATCTTGTCTGGGACAAACTTTGGCGTCACGAACATTGTGTTTCCAGCGCCCACGGCGACATTGCGATACTTTCCAGCGTACTCCTCGTAGTGGACTTCGGGATATTCTGGGTCGATGATCGAAACTCCTTTGCAGAGGATTGCGTGCGTTTCTTTGATGAGATCCTCTGTCATGTCCTCTTCAAGGACAACAAAATGATGAATGATGTGCTGGAATGCTCGCATATGCTGAACGATCTCTCGGCGTCCGCGAAGGACGTACTGGCGAGGTCGGCCTTTCAGTGTCTTGTCGTGGTTGTACAGCTCTAGAAGCTTTGATTCGTAGTCCGGGTCACGCTCGTCGATCTCAGGGACAGGCTCTCCTCGCAGAATCTTGCGACAAAGATGGAGGGTAACGTCAAAACCTAGACCAGCACCCTCAATCCTGTTGCTACCAAAGATTGCGTGGATGATGGACTCATGAATCTCCTTGATGAGGATCTCTTGTTGCTCTGGCGTGCGCTCAACACCTCTCATGGAGCCCAGGTATCGAGTTGCTTTCTCAAAAAGGACTTTCGGGTCTTGATCGGCAGCGTAGGTGCGATAGCTACTGTCGGCGCGGATAGTCATAGGGACCTGGGTAGAAGGTTGTCGCATGGTAGGCCAGTTCTGGCGAACGGAGCGTTGAAGGTCTGAAAGCATCTTGGTACGCTTGACAGGGCTCGAAGGGGGCTTCTTAGAGGCAGAAGAATCATGATTAAAGAGATTACCGATAGGCTTTCGCTTGTGAGTTGGGCTGGAAGGGAACTCCATTGTGATAGGATGATGTGGTAGTGTTTAACAGATAGAATTTGACGGCGAAAAACAAGAGGTCTAATTGAAGAATGATGAAAAGAAGAAGAAAAAGAATCAAGTGAAGGAGGACCAAAGGGGGGTATTTATACCCAGGAGAGGGAGGGCAGGAATCACTGACCCAGGACCGTGAATAAACAGAAATAGTGAGCTAGATGTGTTATTTGCAGTTGAGACCTGTGGCTGAGAGCTTATAATCACCACACAGAACTTAGTGAATAAACAGACCTCGAGGTCGTGACTCCTCTCTTCACGTTCACAGGTTGATGCCTACATTAAGGCTGAGGCGAACATTATGATCACGGGTATGATTCACTGAATATGATGAAGCTCTTTCAAGGTGAAACTTAAGAAGAATTGCAGAAGGAATACTTTAGGCAGCTAGATATCAAGGTCATGGTTCTAAAGGCTTACTGAGCTTATACAGGTTGGAATAAACAATAAAGCTTGATAACTTAAAGACAAGGTTAACTAATTGGGATGGCCAAACGGTGAAGGTTCCAACCATACAATGTATGTGATAAAGCTTCAGGCATGCAAACATGGCAGTCGGCTGTGAAATTAAAGCAATGTCAAGGTTTTGCGCACAAAGATAAAAGAAGGAGAGTGGATGTTAAAGCACCCTCTGATAGAGCTATTGGAGATTATGAGTCATGTTATCATCAATAAAGTTTATTAATGTATGTTCATGAGTAAAATTTGATGTAGGAGCCCATGGGAAGCTTTGGTGGACGTGTTCTGCTCATATTGATGAGCTTACATGAGGTTAATGAAAACTTAACTCAAAGTTAATAAAATTAACAAATTAACTAATACTGAATTCTTTGTCAAGTTTATATTTGCCTTTTTGTTAAGGAAAATTGACCATACCTGGTCGAGGAAAGTTTATACTGGATGAAATCTTCAGCAATTTGATGAACTTGGACTGGATAAACCTAAAGTTTATAAAGAGCGTAGATGAGAATTTCTGTAGTAGACCCTAAGACTATGATAATTCTTGGAATGCGCCCAGCCACTAGATGAACCAAGTTTTCTATCTAAGTGGTTGCTTTTCGCCTTATGATCAGCACTGACCTTCAGCCAGTCTTCAACACAATGCAAGTGGTGTACTAAATTTCCAGAAGTCATTCAAGTACGATGTGACCCTTGATACGATGCTCTTGGCGGTATTTTGCATATCGATACTTGGTCTGTGTCCTGCAAGGGTCGGCACTGGATTGGAGATAGAGGCGGAAGTATTCGGATACTGTGCTATATTACGATCGCTTTGCTTCCTTCAAATATCGCTTTCTAGGCAGAAAGATATGTGATTAGTTATCTAAGTTTGTTCAGGGGAGTTGAATAAGTTTGTGGCCAAGATATGTGTACAAGTGTATTTACTCCATCACCTTCGGCGACTTCCTCCTCATAGAGCAGTGTAGTTCCCAAACTGCTCAATGAGATCATCTCAAAGGATAATCCTGCAAAATTAAATGGCTTGAAATGCGACAGCTTGTATATTTCGTCAGCGTACAGACATCGCCAAAGTCGGCGCACACCATCGGGTTGTGGCTCATCTCGGGTCGCGACTGCCGGCAACATCAAAACTGTTTGCTTCCAATTTGCGTCTTGTACAACTCTTATAAGACGGAAGGAACATCAGCCTCGGGAGCGATCTCCGAGATGGGCCAATAGAGTATCAGCGGCATCCCGCGTGCGACCTTCTTCAAGATCTTCATCCTAGAACCGTTTAACATCTTAGCACCATCTTTATCGCTACATATAATATGCCGTTTTCTTCCCCTGCGAAGAATTTCTCACGTTTCAGAGGCATCCTTCTTTCTACCAATCTTCTATTCACCATGGGCAACGGTCAAAGCATCTCCATCCGCGACTGTCTGGATGCTGTCTGTGCAAACCGCAGCTCCTGCGTCACGTACCCGAGTGATCCGCTCTTCGCTTAGTGGGCGAAGCCGTTCAATCTCGAGTTCCCAGTGATTCCAGCCGCTGTCATTCGTCCCCAGAATGTCATCGAAGTCTCCGAGACAGTCAAGTGTGCCAAACAGAGTGGTCTCAAAGTGCAGGCAAAGTCCGGAGGCCACTCCTACGGGTAAGCTCCCGTCAAATATCTTCAAATCACAGCTGACTAGGTAGCAACTACGGCCTGGGTGGAAATAATGGTGCCGTGTCGATCGACCTAGTCAACCTCAAGGACTTCGAGATGGACAATGAAATTTGGTACGCATCGTTTGGAGCAGGCACCAATCTTGGCGAACTAGACAAGAATCTTCACACATTCGGAAGGCGAGCCATCGCCCATGGAACTTGTCCAAGTGTTGGTACAGGGGGCCACTTGACAGTAGTAAGTCTCCCTAGGCACATATCTGGCTACTGTTAACAATACCAAGGGCGGCCTTGGACCTATATCTCGAATGTGGGGAAATGCTCTGGATCACGTCGTCGAAATGGAGGTCGTGACAGCAGACGGCACGATTTATCTAGCCAGTCAAAACAGAACACCCGATCTCTTCTGGGCGATGCGCGGTGCAGGGGCAAGCTTTGGTATCGTAACGAGGTTTGTGGTCAAGACTCACCCAGAGCCCGGCAATATTGTTCAATACAGCTACAGCCTTACTCTTGGCTCACAAACTGAGACGGCCGATTTATACAAGGAATGGCAGGCATTAGTTGGGGATCCAACTATGGATCGACGATTCGCCAGTCTTTTCGTCGTTCAGCCCCTTGGAGCCCTCATCACAGGAACTTTCTTCGGTTCAGAGGCTGAATATCAGGCATCGGGGATCCCTGCTCGCCTTCCTGGTGCCAGCAAGGGTGCAGTGTGGCTTACAAACTGGATGGGTCATTTGCTTCATGAGGCTGAAGCCGCTGGTTGCACCTTGGCCAGCATTCCGACCGCGTTCTATTCCAAGTCCTTGTCGATCAACGAACAAGATCTGCTGAATGACACGGCCATCACGGATTTGTTTCAATACCTCGAAGATTCTCACAGCCAATCGACACCATTCACGATCATTTTCAACACCGAAGGCGGCGCCATGATGGATACGCCCGTCAATGCAACGGCATACCCACACCGGGACAGTGTCATTATGTATCAATCCTACGGCATCGGAGTTGGCAAAGTATCGGCAGCGACACGGAAGCTCTTGGACGGGATTCACCACCGGATCCAACGGTCGGGTCCGGGCGCACGCTCCACTTATGCCGGGTACGTCGATGCGTGGCTCGACCGAAAAGCGGCGCAGGAGCTCTACTGGGCGGACAATCTTCCACGGCTTCAGGACATAAAGAAGAGGTGGGATCCGGACCAGGTGTTCAGAAATCCGCAGAGCGTTGAGCCGGCTGACTAGAGCGGAATTGTCTTCAAGATTAAGGAACTGTCACGGGGCGACTTGTCCAACGAATGAGGAATGAGATTGTGAGGCACCGGCTCCGAGCCTCCGAGCCTCCGATGGATGCCGTAGAGGGGCCGATAGAGGTCGGGTATTGGTTACCAGATTGGTTTATTGTACGACAGACTGACAGATAGGATAGGTGAATTGATTGCTTCACCGATGTTTCCACTTCTTGTAGTCTAGAGTTGTTCGATCACGTTGGAGTTCTTGTTAATGAGATTGACCCGCTTCAGCTTTCTAGTGCATCATTTCCCCGCGTATCTAGATCTTCTGGCGTAAACTAGTGGGGAGCTTCACCTCAAAATCTGGGGTAACATCCCATTCAACACAAATACAATTAGTTCCCAACTGTCCATCAAAGTCGTGAGTGGTCCAGCTTTCTCTACTGCATAGAGCAGAAGCCCAACCCTTATCTATAATCTTTATCATGTCAAAGTCCCCTATACCAACATGTCATTCCTTCCCTGATAAAAACCCTTGTCAAAAACGCCCTATTTCCACAGTTATCCCTCTAGCTTCCCCCCTCCCTAACCCCGCATTATCTTGTCACCGTAACACACCTGCCGCGTGAGCACAACGGATACGGCCAGACACGGCATTTGTGTAGACCCGCTTGGACACAACAAAGGGCGTTACGATACTTTGACAACAAAACCCGGGCTGTTTCTGTTTTGTGTTTGTTACAACTACAAGTTTCTTACAGCAACCATTTCGTATACAGCCTCATATCTGATTGGCGCTGATCATTAACTGGGATACTGAAGTAAGTATGGAGATAGTGAGTGAGGTCGGTGTTTGTTTATGCTTTGGGGGTGGCACTTACACCGCCAACATGCATGATTGAGCCTCATCATCACTTCGTGCATACACATTCAGATGCTAACCTGACCAAAGAACACAATTCATCATGGTTTTGCTTCAACGCTCCAGATTAGCCGCTCAAAGCCTCTCAAAATGTCGTCAAGCACAGCTTCAATCCTCAGTGAGGAGATACAATACTGCAGTGATCTCATCACTTTCTCAAAGAGATGGAAAAAGCCCCTCTCTGTCTCTATCTGCCAGCCACTCAAAAGCATCAACAGCTCTTCACACACCTTCACCCACAGCAGTTATGACTCGTCCTTACTCAACAGCAAGTGAGGATATGTATACCGCATCTTTTGCTTTCTTCGAGGCTATCTGGGATGCTGGTATCACCCATTGTTTTGTGAACTTGGGTACTGATCATCCAAGTATCATCGAGGCTATGGTCAAGGGACAACGGGAGAAGAAGGGCAAATTCCCCAAGATCATCACATGTCCCAATGAGGTACGCCTAAATTCATTGAACTTTCCTAGGTAAAGCTGACAGATTCAGATGGTGGCCATGTCAATGGCTGATGGCTATGCCCGACTAACAGGCAAGCCTCAATGTGTGATTGTCCACGTCGATGTTGGTACTCAAGGCCTCGGAGCAGCTGTCCACAACGCTTCCACGGGACGAGCCCCCGTGTTAGTATTCGCCGGTCTATCACCTTTCACACAAGAAGGCGAACACCGCGGAAGTCGCACAGAGTACATCCACTGGATCCAAGATGTACCAGACCAAAAACAGATCATTTCTCAGTACTGCCGATACACGGGCGAGATCAAGACAGGAGCTAACGTCAAGCAAATGGTTAACCGTGCTCTGCAATTCGCTACATCAGATCCTCAAGGTCCTGTGTATCTTTGCAGTGCACGAGAGATTCTCGAGGCTGATCTGAAGCCTTATTCTCTGAAGCAGGAACATTGGGAGTCGGTTGAGCTTGGTGGTCTTCCTACAAGTGCTGTTGATAAGATCGCTGAGGCTTTGGCTGGTGCAAAGGCTCCCTTGTTGGTAACTGGGTATAGTGGACGAAACCACAAGGTACCGGCTGCGCTTGTCGAATTGGCGGATAAGGTTAAGGGATTGAGAGTCTTGGACACCGGCGGCTGTGATATGTGCTTCCCTGCTGACCATCCTGCCTGGATCGGATTGAAGTTTGGTGTTGACGACGCTGTTGAGTCTGCTGATACTATTGTCGTCCTGGACTGCGACGTACCTTGGGTCCAGACACGCTGCAAGCCTCGCGAGGATGCAAAGATCTTCCACATCGATGTTGATCCCCTGAAGCAGCAGATGCCAACTCACTACATCCAAGCAGATGCACGCTACAAGGCCGATGGTCTGACAGCCGTCCAACAAATCACCGAAGCTCTTAACAAGAAAGAATTCGCCAGCAAACTCGAGGTTAACGCCGCGGAGACAGAGAAGCAGCGTGCTGAAGTCCATGAGAACAAATTAGCTACCATCGCTAAGGCCGCTGAGCCTCTCGCAGACGATACTTTCGGCACTGGCCATCTTAGCAAGAAGCTCCGTGATCTTTGCCCCGAAGATACAATCTGGGCTATTGAAGCTGTTACCAACACTGGTTTCGTGCACGACAACATCCAGCCCACGATTCCTGGATCTTGGATTAACTGTGGAGGCGGTGGTCTTGGCTGGTCTGGTGGCGGTGCTCTGGGTATCAAGCTTGCGACAGATGCTGAGAACGGTGGCACAAACAAGGGCAAGTTTGTTGTGCAGATTGTGGGAGATGGAACATATCTCTTCACAGTACCTGGTAGTGTGTACTGGATCTCAAGACGATACAAGATCCCCGTTTTGACTATTGTCCTCAACAACAAGGGTAAGCCATCTCACCTATCAGAATACCAATATACTAACTAGACACAGGATGGAACGCTCCTCGCAGATCTCTACTCTTGGTTCACCCCGACGGCCTCGGTTCAAAGGCCACAAACGAAGAGATCAACATTTCCTTCGACCCAGTACCAGACTACGCTGGTATCGCTAAGGCTGCTGCAGGTGGAGATATTCACGCTGCTAGAGTTGACAAGGCTTCGGATCTGGAGAGTGTGTTGAAGGAGGCTATTGCTAAGGTGCAGGCTGGACAAACTGCGGTGGTTGACTGCAAGGTTGCGTCGGATTGCTAAAGACTTATGAATAACGAGAAGATAATGTGGAGGGTTTGTTCTGGACTTAGATCTAGGGGCTGGAATGCCGGGATTTGTTTAGACTGGTAGCATTGATAGGTGCATTAAGAGCATTGTTTCTATGACCGGGCTGATGAATAGTTCTTTTTCTTCCAGTGATCTCCTTTTGTTCTTAGTCGAGGGGATGTGATGTCTTATGAGAGCCTGATCCCTCTCGCGAATGATGACTGTGTTCCCTGCCAATCGATCAGCATAGCTTCTGCAAGATTGCTATGGCTGGACATACTCCTTTTGCAAAGTATGAACATCTACCTGGCACTTCCCTTTCTTGACGTGTTCTAAAGGCCTCTCTTCAGGATCTATAACGAGTATTACGATTCTCCTATGGATTCAGGCAGATCTCCCGAATCGTTCCTCGAAGAAGTGTTGCAGAAGTGGGTGGCCAGCACAATAATTATCGACGTGGAGTGTTTCCAGTGGAGGTACACATGCAACAATTATTGAATGAGGTTGAAAAATGCTGTGGATGGATTCACATCAGGCTTGAATAACTTCCTCGTCTACAACGATATGTTGTCAGTGGCGTACTCCTGTTGCCGTATTATGCAGAGCTGGAGAATTATCTGACCGTTGAATGTCAGGCATGCGACTATAGTGAGGGATCATCCGGACTGAACATGAGGCTCTGTTGGTGTTGTAAACGTCGTCTATTGCCGAGCCTGATTCTGATGTGACAATCTCCTATTATTTTGGATGCCCCGGAAAATATCTGTATTCCTCCCTAGAAGTGTAAATTGCCATTAGTCAAAGTCGCTTCACTATTTCTCCCTCCGGATATAGGCAAAGTATATTTTCCCGCCCTCCTTATGAACCTTTCTGAATAGGAGGTCTTAGCAAGAATCATGGGCCCAGAAAACGAGAATCGGTCCAACAAGGCACCCGGTATAGCCAGCCTGACCAGCGCACTCAGCCCTGGAAGGCTTTCTTGCCCAAACAGATGTTTGAAAAGGAAGAAGTCGAAGATCTTGATGCTGGAAGCATGGGGAAAGATGGCCTCGTCAGACTCAAGGTCGAAGCTGACTCCAAGTCACTCGGTGGTTGAAGTTTGTTGTTAGGATATGAACGGGCTGAGAAACTTAGGCCTCTAAGATTGTGGTTGAATATATTCTTGCTACATCGAGACACTTACTGAATACACCCACTCATCTCATTTCCTCGTTTCACTATTCTTTATTATTGAAAACAAGAGTACGAACTTCAATGCTCTCTCGGGGAGGCGCTTCAGGATCCGCTAGATAATCCATGAAAGAGCCAAGTGGTGGGCATGCTGGGATATCGTCAGCTTCACTTCGCTTTTCGATTATGTCAATCACATATCCTACCTAGCTCATCTTCACTCAGTGAATCCCATTTCACTAACAGAACTGGCCGGTCTCGCGTCTGTTTTGGCCACCAGTACCACTTCCGATTCAGATTGTAGTGCAAATATGTTCCTTCACCTACGTAGCTGGGCAGGATCTTGTCGCACGCTTGGATGTCGTTTGCAGACACAGATCGTCTGTCGCAAAGCGCCAAGGGTGCATCTTGTATGCGCTCCACGATGGGACGCCAAATGCTATAGGAGTCAATCAGGCATGTTTCTTGGAGTTAGGTATCATGCAGTACCTACTTGATGATTCGTAGGTACCTCCTGGCGACTAACAATCCTCCTTTTGCAGACTCATCTGTGAATGCCAGTCAATTCATGGCTTCTTTGACATGAATATTGGCGAATGACCTTGATGAACCACTCTTGCTGGTGGAATGAAGTTATACCTGTTATCTTCCGGATTGTCATTGACGGCATCACCGGCTTGCGTCTGTATTGCGGTATTGTTTTTGCGCAACTGTACGAAGAAAACTGTTCAACGGCTATTCACAACCTCATTCACTTCGGGAACCATACTCGCCAATCAAAGCATATAGCCTTCTCAGCTTGAGTGTGTTGCTTGACCAGCTCGATAGTCTCGTTCAAATATGGTAAAATGGCTTCGCGTCCACAAGCTTCTATCCCGGAGCCAGTGATGGCAAGCTGCGAGGTGTCGTGTTGAATGAACTCAAACCCGCCAGTACCAAGAGTGAATTCGTCACTGCGATCTCTTACATCTTCTTTCGGTGTTTCGTGCTGTTCAACGAAGACACAGTTTGTTCGGGGAATTGGGTCGTCTGTTGGCATCCATACTTCATAGGGCTTTTCATGGTCGTACAGGTCTTCTTGGGAGAGGAATGGCAGGGATGCTGAGCGATTCATGTCGTCTTCTTCTTGTATGGTCAAATGATTAGTTCCCATCTCGCTTCGTTTGCTAAAGTCCAGGGAGGGAATCGCAGCAATCTTTCTTTCAAAATTATTCTGGACAAGGCTTGCAGGGCACATTCGCAGCCTGATTTCGATAGAGAAACGTATAGTGCTGCAATCAACAGCGGTGGCAGGCCATACAACTTGATTTACCATTAACCCCCCCTCGAGCCCTGAAGAGGTATCTCCCTGGTGTTCCGTGAATTGTCAGCGGCTTTGCATGCCTGTGTTGGGCCAATTGGTGGCGGATGCGACATGGCTATACCACACTGATTTGCGAAGTGTCAGAGCCTGCCTACAGGCAAGGCAACCTTGAGAAGCAACGTACATTGCTCCGGCCTCCGGAAAGATGGTTTTGCATTAAAGAGTAGGTGTCATCAATACAAGGCGCGGTAGGCTCGAAGGGGAAGTACTTGCACCATACCTCGACCATCTTCCAACTTGTGTCAAGAGCATGGTGAACAATGTGGCTTCCAAGCACGAATACAGCAAGTCAACATGGGAGAAAGCGCTAAAGATTTGCAAACAGAGTCTCAATGGCGACGACTACGACCACATTCAACAGCTCCAAAGCTACGATGCCATGGTCCAAAGCCTAGAAACACTTCAAAAGCAGAACAACAGACGCGATCTTCCATCGTCTCAAGCATTGACTTGGCAGAAAAGAAAATTGAAGACGCACTGTGAGTTCCTTGCCTTATGCTCAAGCGGTTTTCAGCTAACTATTGTAGCCAACGACTACGCAAAATACTCGAGATGTGCGAAGTTGCAGAACTAACACCAGGAACCCAGGGGCAAATTACACGGACGTCATGGAAGCTTGGTAATTTGTTGCTTGATCTTGATCCAGACAGTGATGGAGGAAAGACTTCGAGAGCGAGGGCTGAAGACATAAGGAAACAAATGCAGGGAAACCGGTACAAGGATCTGCCAGCTGAAAACCGCAGTTACGACATGCCCTTAGTTCATTACTTCCGATAAGGCATGAACATGATCAAATGGTTAGAAGAGAAACAGGAGCCATGAGGCAGTCCTTGATAACCCGTGAGCTCTTATCTTTGGGACGCCCAGGTCTTCGATACACACCATACATGCCATTTGAATCAAAACTCACAAACAATGTCCCTTCATAAGTCCACTGATCGCCAGGGTAATGCCAACGATGAGACGCATTGTGCACCAAATAGTAGACTTTGCCAACATATTCACTTCCCACGCGGTCAACGGCAACAATGTCTGTTTCGGGATTCGATTATCCTCAACCGGCCCTCGAATGAGTCGCCAAAGGCTATTCCTGAAGCCAGCAGACAACACGATGTATTTGTTCCACGTACTTGACAATTCTGAACCGATGATCATGTTTTGGGTACATTTCCCATAGTTTCTTTGGTAAATGTTTCTTGATCTGACGCCAACCACCATCTAGAGTTTGATCTTGAGCGCTATTAGTTCGGTCATCAACCCCTTCTATTTTATGAGAGTAATGCATCAATGTGAGGTATCCTGGCGGGTTCATCTGGAGCAAGGGAACTGCCACACGGCTCTATGTTTCTTGAGGTTTGTTGCCCTCCTTTTCTGAACTTTTTAAAGATAGTATCAGTCGAATTGTTCATGAATTTCAAGCAGGTTTCGATCTAGTATACCCGATAGTCATAACATTGGCAGTATTCAGCTCCAAATATGCCCTTCACCACCAATATCGCCTCTGTTTGAAGACTTGTAAAGGCGGCATCACTAGTCAAACTTGCAATCGGGTCGATTTGAGTAAGTGGAACGAATTGAAGCATATGTTTCTCGATTTTAAACTGAGATGTGTATCCACGAATGTTCTTCACTGTGACATTTTGTTCGTCGTGAGCGGTGTTTGTACGAAGATGCTCCTATCAGGAACCAAGGGTAATGAGCAATAATATGGTTTCTCATGTTGGTATCGTGGATCTTGACGCAAATATGCCAAAGTACCTGTGGCAGAGCTGTTTATTCCATCAAGTCCTGGCCAAGAGCACAAGGCTGCCTTTGACATCGAGATGGGGTAAAATGAGAGTGTAGGGTATGTGTAATGGCATGCATCTCTTATATTTAACGTGTACTAGAGCCTTATGATGTGAACATCTTACGATTGGATATGGATATATGTAGAAAGTCTGTTAAATGGTCTTGTCAATGCTATTGCTCAATTCTGTTCTCTTTATAAGGGTTCCGTTACATGCAAACAAGGCATGCAAGGACGGTTCTTGTTGCGTTTTCTTTGGCCAAAATAGGTAAGTGATTCGTAGGCTCGCCACCAAAACTGTTCAGACTGATACCCATTATTCGTCGTTGATTATGTGATTTGAAAGAGAAAAGAGAAATCGTGGCAATGGCGCGTAACTGAAACGAATATATGTGAATGGTGTTTTCTGATATTTCTCCTCATGCAGATGGGTCAGCAGGTTTAGCCTAGATCCGGGGTGGCCGTGTTTAGACGTCGGGGAAAACATCAGACGACGCCAAAATGGTGCCTTGGCAGGGAAGATCACCATCTCTTGCGGCTCTTTTCCTCTGCTGGTCATGCAGTAGTTTAACCAAAGACCCTTTGGTCTAGATCCTCAGCGAGTGGATTGTATATCCGCATGCGTAAACATACCCCGTATTTACTGTAATGTTGCCAGGATAACACGATAAATATGCTGCTTTCATATCCGGAGTCTACCGTGGAATAACACCATTCATTTATTCATCCATCACGGAGGCTAAATCTGAGTAAATGTCCTGGCCTGGACCTAATTTGATAAAATTGGGACCGTTGCATTCCACTTTCAGGACTAGAAGGCAATTAGTTTTCGATACTAGGGAAAAGAAGAGCGAAAAATATGGGAATTGATCACGATAGGCATTTGCTGATCAGTCAAATCTCATCTTATTTCTCCCCCGCACCACGTGCTCGTGACATGAAAAAAGAAGCTCGGGAGGAAGGTGCGGCTAGTTGCTGCTGGCAGGTGCAGGCGGGTGCAAGTGCGGGCAAGTCCCTTCTTGGATTGGGCAGCCGCCGACAGATACATACATACATACAATACCAGTCGAGCCACTCATTCATTACAAAAACAAACAAATCACTTCATTAATAGCCTCTTTTTAATCTCGCAACCTCTCTTTTGACCCTTGATCTGATTTCTTTAGAGTTCTTCACAGCAGGCTCTTCCTGGCGAGTCCGAGTCTCACGACCGCGACTCATCTCGGACACTTCATCTCATTTCATTGCTTCATCTTGTCCTTCATTTGACCTAAAACAACGCCACGCTAAAGTAGTCGGTCCGGCTCTTGTATCATCAGGCTTCGCTCGCTCTCTTCCTCTCGACCGTTACGATCTCATACCTCCCGTATCTGAATTCGATAAACTATAAAGTCTCTAGTAGACCCTCACGCACTGCACCTACTCCTCCAGGGTCCCACGTCGAGATCTTAGGCCCCGCCACTCCACTTCGGTATTCTCGTCCCACTACAGGTCGCAACTTTGCGCTGGTATTGGATTGGATTGGTATTATTTACCTACGCCCGACTCGACCCAAAGCAACAACAAAAACAGGCCTAGCCTGTGATACGAAAACTTCCTCCAAATTGTCTTTACTCTCCTCCACTACGTCTCGATTAACGTGAGATCATGAAAGGCGTCGAGCCGGATCTTGCGCAGCGCCTTAAGAGATTGAGACGCGTCAATAGCTCTGTGTCTTGACCACCGACCAAGCTTTTACAACCATTTTGCTTATTTCAGCCATGTCTTATCAAACGGCTGTTACTACCGAGGCTCAGGCCGGTACAATTCCTCTGCGACATCCCGATACCACGACTGATCGACCGCCGCCTCCTCCCCCGGTGCCCTCTTCTGATCCTCATTTGATCGCCGACGACCCCTCCGCACCAAAAACCTCTGCCGATCATGGCCTCTTCGAGATGTCACCATCTGAAGCACTCGCTCTGCTGAGCGCTGGCGTCGAGCTTCTTGTCAGAATAACGGGCGATGTACCTCCGACACCACCGCCAAAATCCCCTACCGTGCCGCATATGAGTGGTATGCAAGCCGAGAAGGAAAACATTGTGCGATCATACTCGGATAAGAATCTGGCGAAATTGAGGAAACAGGCTGAGCTTGAGGCTAAGAGATTGGCTGCCAAAGATAAGCCCGAGCCTGTGCATGATAATCAACCAGAGTCGGGGGACATTGATGGTGTGCGACTGAAGCCTCACCCAGGTCTCATGTCGCCGCCACCTCAATCAGAGCCTTACGTTGTCGTCGGAGCTGATTCTCAGCCTGTCAATTTGCAGCACAGCGCCATAACACGCAAATTCTACAGCAAGAATGAGCCTCCGATCACTATCAACCAATATCTTCAGCGACTACACCAATTCTGTCCCATGAGTACCGCAGTATACCTCGCGACATCACTATATATACACCGATTAGCCGTTGAGGAGCGAGCTATTCCTGTCACCCGGCGCAACGCACATCGTTTAGTCCTGGCTGGTCTAAGAGTTGCCATGAAAGCTCTTGAAGATCTATCTTATCCTCATGCCAAGATGGCTAAAGTGGGTGGCGTCAGTGAAGCAGAACTGGCTAGATTGGAGATAAGCTTCTGTTTCCTGGTTGGATTTGAACTGGTTGTTGGTGAGAGTCGACTACGGAAACACTACGAGCGATTGAGAGATCGCACGTCACATCATGGCTTCGATAATGCGGATGTCCCTATACTAAACCTCAAGCCTCGGCCACGCGGCGGAGCTCAGCCAGCAGCATAGACACGACTGGTCCACCTACTACTCTACTTACCTATATTTCACGCATCATGGTTTGGGACATTTGAGAGCACGGAATTTGCATGTCATTTTGTCTTTTGTTTCTGGGGACCGTACTTTATGGTATTTGGCACGAGCATTGTACATGGTTTTTCCTTTGCACATAGTCTAGGCGTGGCATTATGGGATGAGAGGTATATATGATGGAGTGCATGATGAATTTATACCCAGACTTTTCAGCATATTCTCGTCCATGACATTCATCATTCCCACGTGTTCTTGCAATGCGGCTGTGATGATCTACGAAGCCAAGGGAACTACTTGACTCGTAATCAGGGTCTTCATTCTTCACGAGGGGTCCACCAAGACCCGCTGCGTGATGGACCCATCATGGCTTTTCGATTTGGAATGTTCTTTGAATCCACATAACTCTGTATAGCCGCCGTGTAAATGGCACGTAGTATTCGAGCGAGTCAGGAAACAATACTCTGATGGGTCCACTGAGCATCGTTTATCGTTTATACTGACCAGGTCTCTACAGCTTCATGATAGACTTCATCAATAGCACACCGATACTGTGTCTGAAGGATTCACTGCTAGCATGCTTGTCCTATCATTGTGAAGCTAGCGACCCTCATGGTCCATGTGCTGCATTTCCATATTCGTTTCTGCCGCAGATAACCGCTTACCCCATCTCATAACACCACATCATTGTCATCTCACCTCGCTTCAGTCACTCATCAACAAAACTCTGGGATTTGAAGCAGCGTTCATGTCGAAATGGGCGCCAAGACATCTGAAGACGATCACTCTGGAGGAAATGGTACATCTCATAGCCCTTCATATACCTAGTACATCACTTACACATGCCAGGTCAAGGACCACTCTCGTCCAAACCATCCTCTGCAGGCGGAGAGCCACGCGGTGCTCATCTCTCCCGCGACGGAGACGGTAGTCTGGGAGGCGAAGGGGGCGACGACGACGATGATGATGATAACAACGCTCCCGCCGGACCGCTAATTGACGGCGCTGGTAAGAAGAAGAAAAAGAGAAAGCCAAAGAAGAAGAAGAAGGCTCCCACACAGCAATCTTCACCTCCCAGAGTCCCGCTCAGTGATCTCTTCAAAGAGTTCCCCGTCGGTGAAATTCAGGAATACAACACCGCTCGTACTACAGCTAAGGAACTTCGCTTCCTGGGTCGTCGACAACTCGAAGATCCAGAGTTTCTGAACGATTATAGAAAGGCTGCTGAAGTTCATCGTCAAGTACGACAGTGGACGCAGGAGAACGTCAAGCCGGGTGATAAACTCATCGATATCGCTAATGGTATTGAAGATGGCGTGCGTGCACTTTTGGGTAATCAGGGCATTGAACCTGGTGATAACCTCAAGTCCGGAATGGGGTTTCCGACGGGTCTTTGTCTCAACCATGAAACTGCGCATTATACGCCTAACCCTGGACAGAAGGACGTTGTTCTCAAGTATGAGGATGTCATGAAGGTTGATTTTGGCGTGCAGATCAATGGGTGGATCGTTGATAGTGCATTCACCATGTCATTCGATCCTACGTACGATAATCTTTTGAATGCTGTCAAAGATGCTACCAACAGCGGTATCAAGGTAAATATCTCACTCACTCACAGATAACAGTCCTGACATGTGTAGGCCTCTGGTATCGACGTTCGTATCTGCGACGTCAGCGCCGCAATCCAAGAAGCAATGGAGAGCTACGAAGTTGAAATCAACGGAAAGACATACCCCGTCAAACCCGTCCGCAACATCTCAGCGCATAACATCAAGCACTACCAAATCCACGGTGGAAAGTCGATTCCGTTTATTAAGAACAACGATCAGACTAAGATGGAGGAAGGTGAGGTGTTTGCCATTGAGACGTTTGGTACAACTGGTACGGGACGACTTTACGACGATGTAAGTGTGCATGTTCGCGAGTGAGTTGGTTGTTGCTGATGAGAATAGGCGGGCATTTACGGCTATGGGTTACAGCATGATGCGCCGAGACATGTTAATCTGCCATTTGCGTCGGCGAATAGACTTTATAAAGTCATTCGAGAGCAGTTTGGTACTATTGTCTTTTGTCGACGGTATCTTGAGCGTTTGGGCCAAGAGCGATATCTCGCTGGTGTAAGTGTTATAGCCGTATGTAAGGGGGAAGACTACTGACGAGTTGTGAAGCTGAACTCTTTGGTCTCGAATGGTATTCTTGAAGCGTATGAACCGCTTGCTGATATCAAGGGTTCTTACTCAGCGCAGTTCGAGCATGTAAGTTTGATGTGTGTTTGTGAAGTTATGGGATGGATGCTAATTGTTATAGACGATCCTGCTTCGAGAGTCGAACAAGGAGGTTATTAGTCGAGGAAGTGACTACTAAATTGAGAATAACTCGACTTTTGTGAATTGGGGGATGGAAACGGTTCAACATGGTATCGGAATGGTTTCAACACCATTTCCTCCGGCTGAGCAGTAGCCTCAACATTACTGCATATAGCTACGGTCTGGCTTCAACATGCCTGCCTGAGTTTTCATTCGTATGATAGTCTAGTCTGTCATTATCTTTATCAAATCTATTTGCACTCACATAGTACCACCGGGACATGACTTATCGGCAGATGCTGAACTCTTGGCGTCTTCGGTGATTTCCCAAAACTTACTCTATCAAACATGCTATCATCTCGCGATAGATCAACAGTGAGTCACTGGAGACTATCCCAGACATACAGGTACATCAATCAGAAATGTGACTTAACCCCACCATATGCCTGCACCAGAGCGAACTATAATGGGTGCCTTGAGAAACAGGGTGTCATGAGGCCCTATCGGCTAATGTCTCGATCGGCACATCATGAGCGGGGTTAAGAACTACAGTACATACATCCCTCTAGTGTAGGACGTTTTTAGGCAGACAAGGCAATCGAACAATGGAGAGATTCCAATTCAAATGCTACTGATTGCGGCAAACAACCCCTCCGAGCACTTACAAACCCTTGTTCTCATCTATTTCCTTCCCTACCTATACCAAAACAACAATTCATGCTATACCTCCGGGCATAACCTAAGATCCAAAATACGCCCCCAACTCGCATTCTAACTAACCTCATCTACAAAAAACATCTTGATTCCACGGCCTCAGAATTGAAGCTTCACCAAAGTCCCAAAACGACCCCATCTTTCGATTCTTGGTGTTTTTCGGTGGTCTCCACTCCACCCACCAGGGGCAAAAAGAACTTTGGTTGTACATCCTTGTTCTGATTCACGATGTATGCATACGCGATCCTTCGGTGTTTTGAGGTTCCCTTTTTTTTTTTACACTTTGATGCCGAGGGAGGATTTTCAGATATCGTGATGGTTTGGATATGGTTATTGTGGGTTTGAATGGGAGAGATCGTGATGTCTTGGTGTGCAGCCTACTTACACCGAGCTCACACACCCTCAGTCCTGGAGTCATGAGACAGACAGGTTTTTCTATTCTTGCACATTTGATGTGGAATGTCTTGTACCTGCTTTAGTGTCTCACCCCATCCAAGCCATTGAGCCTCTCTATCCCCATCTCAACCGTTCAAGCCATCTCCAACATTCACAGTCATGCAAGTAGGGACCAAAGTATTCAAAAACAAAACCCAATCTGAGTTCTTTTTTTTTCTTCTGTTTTGTGTCTTGTATCTAAATAAGTGTTCTGTAATCCTTAAATCGGCTCATTGCCTCGCTCGCTGGTATCTAATTCCAATATCAAACTCCCTAAAACGTACACAGATAATTCCCAATCCCAAGTCTAATATATCCCAAATCGCTAAATATCATTGCTTCAAAACTCCATGTAAAACAGATCAAAGTGATACAAGACCAAATCCTTCAACTAAATCGTTTACTCATATCGGTACACGCCTGGCTCGTACATCTCAGAGGGCCGTCTGCTGCCAGCGCCAATTGTAAGGCGTCGCTTAGGCTGCATGCGCTCACGGAGACGCTCGCGTTGAGCCTCCTCCTCCTTCTTCTCCTCGCGACGAGCAAGGCGGCGTGCCTTGTCCTCACGGCGCTCCTCTTCAAAGCTCAAGCGGCGAAGCTCTTCAGTGAGAACTGCCTGGCTGTCGATGACTTCGACGGAGGGGCGCTTGTAAGTAGCGGAGCGCTTGGGAGGGGCTGGAGCTGGGGCAACAGGTCTGCTGGCAATCTTTGCATTGGCCTCTGCGATGCGAGTGCGGAGACGGAGCTCAGCTTCCTCTCGGCGCTTCTCCTCGCGACGGCGTTGGCGACGCTCTTCCTCTTGGTCGGAGTTTCTGGAGCCGCTTGAAGAGTGGCGGTGGTGCTTGGAGCGGTGGTGGTTGTCAACGACTTCAATTTGGACACGGCGCTGGTCAGGCTGAAGAGTTCGCTCATCAACGATGACAGGACGGCGCTTGTTAGGGTCCCGTGAAGAGTCAACGATGTATGTGTTTGAGATGGGTGATGCGGGGGCAGTGTGAGGGGCATTCCATTGCTGGGGAGGAGTGCGTGGTGTAGGGGGGCTATCGACCAAGACAATTCTCTCCTGGTGACGAGAGCTTGGTCGACGCTCACGACGGTTCAGATCAAGAACCTTCTGACCGTTGATGTAGACTCCAGATGATCGCTTCTTCTTGCTAGAGTTGCTGGTGTACGAGCGGTCTGATTCATCTCCAGAGCGGTATGAGCCCGACGGTGTAGAGGGAGCAGGGCTATACTGAGGCGTAGGAGGGAGTTGAGTAGCATAAGGGTAAGAAGAAGCATCGTAGGGAGCGGTAACGTATTGGACTGGGTGCTCAAAGAGAAAGTTGCTAGCGCAGACCTGTCCATGGCGAGAGTTTGCGCAGAGCGTCGGTTGAGACCACTGCTCGCGCCGTCCATCGGGGTGGACGTATGTGTAGATGTTTGTGGTGCACATCGTGTCGGTGTTGTGATGTTCTAAGCGGCTATTGCGCTGAGGGGGATCCTCTTGGATGATGACCGGAGGCAGACGATGTGTTCTTGTTATAGTCTGCTCAGGTGGTGAAGAAGTGCTGCTTCGACGACGATGGTTGTGGACGATGTTCTCAATAATAAGAGGTGATGATTGAGAAGACAGTTTGAAGAGATAAAAGTCAAGCTCTTATAGTAATGTTTGTGTAAGATGAATTGAGTGTTTTGTTTGGTTGTTGTGAGAGTGGCAGATGGTGGTGGGTTATATAGAAATGAGGAAGGGTAGTTTGAAAGCTGTGTAAGCTAGTAGAGTACCGAGTGACTTTCTAGTTATTGGATGCCTGGGGACTAGACTTTACGGCTTGTAAAGTAAGTGTAAAATATGGGGTGTTGGTGCCTGGGGTTGGTTTGTGAGAGTGTGTGCAGTAGTGTAGTGTTGGTTGTGCGTAAGTGAGTGGTTCGCAAGCGGTTCGAAGATATATACAAGAGACTTGTAAAAAGGGTGGTGTTCCCTCCCAGAGGCTTGGTTCTCTCTGTGTAAAGGCAGCCTTGAAGGTGGAGACGGCCGTTTCTGCCTACCGTCTGCGGCCACTAAAAGTGATCCCTGTTCAGTCTAGTTAGTCCTGGCCCCCAAGGAAAATGCCCATGCCGATGACTCCCCCCTGGGTCATCTCAGCCACGGCCACCCTTGACAGTTCGAACCGCCAGAACCATAGATTCAGTAAACATCACAGGGCAGGTTTAATCAATTGAAAGTCTAGTGGGATCGAGAAACGGGTATCGAAGCGGGAGATCAGGACACGGGCGACAAGTGACAATCCCGCAATTAGAACAAGACTCAGTTCATGGCGAGATGAATTGGGATTTTACAATTGAGGAACAACGTAATCTAGGACTTCAATGGCCGACAACACGCGGCCATGGTTGAAACACGACCCTAAAATTATCACCAACAGCAACATCATGAGAAACGAAGAACTCAACCAACAAGTTCTACTATTCCGAATCTATTTCGCTCCCCCTTGTTCCAGCGCGAGTTTGTCCGTCGGACTCGAAATCTCCTTCGGCCAAAGACTACAATACCCATTATCTCGCATCATGGGATCCCCCCGGCGATTGAGTCATCAAGGACTGTCTGCAGACCAAAACGCCTCTAGACCAACCAAAACCCTGTCAAGGACTAAAGTGTAAGTACCATTTTCTATGCAAGTGCTACAAAAACTGTAATGTTCTGCATTCGGTGACCTCTTCCTCATTCGCTCTGAGTCACCCCCTTGTCCACTCACTCTACACTTATCCAAATCACGGGCAGTGCTGGGGGACGCCTATCGAGGCTTGGATCCGCCTAAATTCGACGCCGGTTCTCACAGCCTCAGCCCTAAGCTAACCAGGATTAATTACATTCTTCAAGATTGACTGGAAGGTTTTTGTTCAGCCTCGCATCGAGATTTATTGCTTCTGTCTGTCAGACAATCAGTTTGATCATCATCAAGGATTCATTGGATGCCTCTTCCTTTGACATGCAGCGGGAACTAATATCGTACAGATGAGTCTATGCTTGTCATATCGGGACGCACAGTTCAACTCGACTTGCACAATGATGCAGACAAACCGTTGGAAGATGCCAGAAGAACGCTCTCTAGTGCATTTTCAAAGCATGTAGGACCGAGGGCGCGCGTACGTCATGTCATGTAGACTTGTCAAATGCGCATTGCAGCGTTACACGATCACGACTACGTGCGAATAGCTTCAGACCCAAATGACGTTCGTTTTGCCCTCGGTATGAAACGAGAGTAACCAAAGTCCCAAGCCAAGACCGCTCAAATTTCTGTAATTCCCCAGCTCGCGGCACGGTTAGACAGGCATTAACAACAATCCCATTCTTCTATTGGCTCATGACAGCCAAAATACTACCTCCGGTATCGAGGAGTGCTGCCTCTTCCGATAAGACTAAGGCACGAAATGGCCCCCAACGGGGGGAGCTAGGACGATTGTCTTTTGGCTGCCTCACCGAAAAAGATCTTCTGATTCTCAAAAGAGTGTTTCGCAGTTGAATTACAATTATCTCATGTATGCATTAATTCTTGATCGAGATGTTACTGCATGCATACATCCGTTGAAGAAAAAAGGGCTGAGCAAAGGCCTCAAACTTGACCCCATCTCGAGACCTAAAACGGAATGGCGTCATCCAGCCCTGTAAGGCAGAACCTTGACCCTGCTGTAGCTCGTTCGCTTCCGTGGCACTGCCTCCCCCCAGAGTGAAATCAAAGTAGGCGCAGCAGCTTCATGCTTGGATTGATATACCTCATTCCCTACAGGCAATTCCATCATCGCTTTCTCTTCCTTGTTAACTTAACTCCGCATGATTTTGGTTGCCTCTTCCTTTCGTCTCTCGCTTACACACGATGTTCTCACGCGTGCTTCTTGTGTCCGATAGCCATGATTTGTTCCAACTCGAATGTCCGTTGTAGCGATTGACAGGTCGACTCTCCCGTCTTAACCCCAAGCGCCGAACCGAGCTCCAGGGTACGCGTCTCCCACTTAATCCTCAACACCAAACGCCCATCTTCGAACGATCATACGTTTATCATGATAAGTTTATTTAAAATGAATTATATCTGGCGCCCTGTTTCAGTCTCATCGCGGCTTTTAACTGTGTGTCAGATGATTGGTGCTTCGTAACCGTTTCGGTCATCATTCTGGTCTTACTGAAATAGCAATATGCAGAACCGACAACCAACAAGTGGCGACGTTATTAGGTTGCTTATCAACGTCGTGTTTGTGGCCGCATGTTTCATTATCCGCGCGCGGTTAACAAGCAGACATTGATGGCAAATTCAGTTGCTAAATATGTAAACGCAAAGTCTAATTATTAACCAAAGTGTGTCAGCTGTCAGGAACATTCATGTTACTATTCTTATCTTTCGCCTCCGGGGGAACGGTGCTGATGAGATCACCCTGACTTTATGCTATTCAAGCCTAAGCTTAGGTTGTTATCCTAATACTATGATGGTTTATGGTAGTATCTTTATTAGCTCAAGGCTATTACTGCTTTAGATAACTTCTTCACAGTTAGAGCAGGCAGATAATGAAACATCTTGTTGCTTTATTGATGCGCAAATACTTCTCAGCAACAAACCAACCATGACTGACACCTCTAGTGCCCCCGTCTACACCTTCCAATCGAACCCGATATCAAAGTAACCCTTCTCAGGCACCTTCAACATCGAACAGTTGACAACCTTTCCATCAGCCATAAAACCCTGTTGATCGACACCCTCCGTCTGAACCCTGTTCCCCCACCAATCCAGCTCAACCCCCGTATGCTGCACCGCAAAGTACATCACCGCGCCAGAAATACCAATCGCCGCGCTCATAGAACTCGTCATCACGTACGCGTACTTCTCCCACCACGCCGCGTACCGCCTCTTGATCAGCTTGTTGAACAGGAACGCTAGAACTACCGAGCCCTGCACGTAGCTCCAGTTGTAAGGTGCCCAGGCCATCGGTCCGGAGAATAGGACTGGCGCGTTGACATTGCGCCAGAAGGCGTTGGGCCGCCGCTTGGAGATATAGTAGATGACTATGGGGAATATGATACCGACGGGGATTGTGTATGTGACGGCGCGGTAGGGCCCTTGCGTACCGAATAATCGACGTGGCCCGACAACGCCCCATATCACTGAGGACATGAAGAAAGTGTGCGTACGGGGACACGTGAAGCGGGCTTTCTGATGCGTTTGACACACATCCTCAACGTTACGAAGTAACCAGTGATTCACGCCCAACGCTACAAAACCTGCCAAAAGCGTTGCATAAACCTGTGCTGCGAATGCCCACCTTGGTGGAATCTTAGCATAGTGCGCGAGCTTGAGATCGCTGGCAAAGTTGAGCGACTGATGCGTCGACATGAAACTAAACATCTTGAATATCATGTTCGGAATCGGTCGGCCCTCGAGCACATAGCCAGCAATGACCTGGGAAAGGATACGCGATGAAACCTCTATGTTCGTAACAGCCAAGAGCATTCCAATCGGAACCTGCAACACGATGGTGAAGAGGACAGCTAGAACGATGCCCCATATTGGCATACCGGTTGGCCACAGACTCACCGAGACACAGGCGATGATGAAAGACGCAACAAGAATGACAATGTACCACCAGTGAGGACACTCCGGATACGCAGACATGAGGCGATTGTGCACATCCTTAAACTCCTCTTCTCGCGACTTCCGTGCCCAACAAGCTCGTATTCCAGACATGATATCCTTACGGTGCCAGAGGTACATGTGCACGGGTGTAGCGACGTATATCATAAAGGCAGCCGCATACTTGATCACCTGAGTGGAAGTCATGAGGGGGACACTGTACTCGTGGTACGCGGTCTGATTAAGCGTAAAGTCAGGCAGCAATACGCGCGAGATGTTGTACCGCGAGCCATGGTTATCGTAAATGTAGTTGTAGTTGATGGGGAGGTAGCCCGTGTCCCAGACGTTGTTGAAGTATACCAGCGGCGCGATTATGAAGCCCCATATTGCCATGCCGCTTGCAAAGTTCATGAGTGTGAAGAAGGGTGTTACTATAGGGTCGCCGAGAACGGTGGCGACGTTCCAGTCCAGTGTTGGTAAGGGGTTGAGGCCCAGACCGCAGGTTGATCCAGCTATCAAGGCGAGAGTGACATTGCCTGGTGATATCCATGTCGGCCAGTTGAACAAGTAAAGAGATTTGAACAAGTAATTGGGAACCCAGAAGTAGAAGAACATGGAAGTAAAGCAGATCAAGAAGAACTTGTATCGCGACACCTTCCATCCATGCACTGAATCTTCAGAATGTCCATTATCCTTGTTTAAAGCCTTGGCAAGCGCAATATTCGCCAGAGATTTTGGCCAGATCATCGAAGGTGGATATACTAGAAACCTTCGAACCAGACCTGCGCATCCATACCCCATGAATTGGGTCGATATGAGCGTGAGGATTTGCCAAGGGATACTATTCGAGAGGTTCTTCTCCCCGTAGAAGATATCGAGTTTCAGGACTTGGATGATGCTCACGATGTAGGCTCCAATCGCAGAACCGCCAAAGGTCACATTCGCCATCATTGCAATCAGAATTTGCTCCTTCTGGTTGAATGGTCCTGGATTGAGTGTGAACTCCCAGGAAAACATCCGAAATTTCCTCATCGGCAGCCATTTCGCCAACAGCTTCCCCATGGGCAAAGCTAATATTTGTACCACAAATGTCGAAAGTCCAATAGGAGGCATTCGGAGTGAAAAGAACTGTTCGACTCCAGTGCCAACGATTGCAAAAATTGTTCCCAAAAGGAATACCCTGAACGTGCCTACTGGCAAGGTTGGGTCGTCTGTGTCATCTACAACAGCTCGGACTTCAGGATAGATGGAGCTATTGAGCATCAATTCCTTCTGGGCCTCGAATTCTCTGGAGATGCTCTGGCCTAGCTCAGCATCTTGTTGCTCGTCATTTTCGTTCGCGAGATATTCTCGTGCTCGGTTGAGAAGGTCATCAGGGAAATTCTGGTCATGCTCGTGCTCTTCGACAAGCCTTCTTAGGGTGTCTTTGAGGGGTTCTTTTGGTTCTTGTTGCTCGCTGTTCTCTCGACTGCTATTGCCGTTATTCTTCGGTTCGTCATTGACGCGGGATGAGATTTCTACAAGAGTAATATCACCATCTGTATTGGTTGTCCTTGGTCGTTCTAGAGAAGCCATTATATGTATTGTGAAGACAATCACGTCTCTGTAAGCCAGTCGAGGAAGAAGCGTCTTTTGTTCCAGACATCAATCAAACACATACAGCTGATAAGCAATTAGGTTCGCGATGACCTCCTAATGAGGGGAATGATATAGAACTTGACATCAGAGTTCTCATCGCTTCCGACGAATTAGCTCACGAGATGTTTAATGAGACCGTCAGCTGGTAGGAGCATTAGCCTCAGAGATAGTCTTCGCAGAAACGCAACGCAGTCGATCTACAGTATTAGCAATTCTGTGAAGTAAGAAACATAAGACCGCGACCCCAAGCAACGAATCACTCCAACATCCTTAAGATAACCTCGAGAGGCTTGCTGACCATTATTTCCTTGGTCAAAAGTTTGAAGCCTTTTGCGCCCCCAAAGGTAAACAATCGACGGTGGAGATTGGGATGCGGCGTTGATGTTGAACATAATTGGAATTTCGGGTTCGGCAGTAAACGCTATAAAACAAAACCTTAAGGCTCGAAGTCAGGTGAGCCAACAGTGATCGTCTAGATGTTCTGTATGCCATTCGCCTTCTGTAACCGATTCCACGTGGAGATATGGGCCGTTCATCCAAGTTATTGAGAGAACTTAAACCCCATATGCGCCGCAGCCCTCCGCAACTTCTACAGCAGAGGCCGTAGTCCCACTTCACTGGGTCCGCCAATTGCCCAGAAAGCTCGACGGCGGATGCATTCGGTATGTTATCCAGCGACTGTCGAGAGCAATGTGACCAAATCCATCTCTCGCAAGCTTCGGCGCTTTGGCAATCGTAAAATGATAGTGGTAGAATCCCCATTTTCGGCTGAAGGCAAAGTGCGCCCGGTATCAATGCTCGTGTCGACGCCGTCAAACATTTCGCTATGATCTGGCCTGACGGTCGTCCATGCAGTTTCCGCATCAGATTGAGGAGACACCGAAGTCCGCGAAATCGTATAGGAAGGTCCAGAAGAAACAGTCGTAGAACGGGTGGTCCAGAGGTTCAAGCCATGACGGCATAGACAAGCCATTGCTAGGCCAATCGGGGCCATGAAATATCGCGTCTGTGGTTCGGTCCAATGATCTCGTGAATTAGTCCTCGTCGTAAAATCCCAGTCGTAGTAAACAAGTCGGCATGTCTATCGTGTTGATGTCCCAAACCCCAAGCGCCGTTGAATGCATGAATGTCGCGTCCCTCGTCTGCAATCCATCAAAACTTCATATCATAATGCAATAGCACATCACTCAAAGGATCCCCATCTGTCGCCAAGGATCATTTTCTCTCCCTCTCCGTCGCTGTCTTCTCCGGGCAGCACGTCTGGCCTCACCCGTACAATCCACACAACCCCAAATAGCAAAGATTAATCTCCAGCCACTATATCACGCTTATCAGCAACGTGACCCTTATGAAGAGGGGGAAAACTTACACCACGGCGATCAAAGCCCATAGGGCAGCCATAAGCCATTGCTCTTGACGCTTCTGCTCGGCATTTTTGTCGTTGGTGATGTTGATGTTCGATACCCACATCATAATGATACCGCCGACGCAAAGGGCTAGAGAAAACAAGTCATGCAGGACTCTTCTTGAGGTAGCTAACCTGGGAACTGTAAATGAAGCATCTGTTACTGCTAGAACCTCCCAGCTGTCGTTGAGCATTGCAATTGCGCACTAGAGCACGTCAGTTTTGCGTAACGGGAGACGTCGAGGAGAGGGGTTACTCACACCGACAGCACCTGCGATAATGACCTGGCTCTTCGAAGGCCATTCTTTGCAAACAAATGCGAGGAGTAGAATCGAAGCGAGGCTGGTGATCCAAGCAATCAATCTCACACCCGCGTGCACCAACGCATAAGGCCTCGACAGCCTTTCCGGACGATTACGCCGCCGCGGCCGTGAAGGCATGGCGCGCTGAGGGAAGAAAAAATCTCAGCGATGAAGCATTTAAAAAAGAAAAAGAGAGACAAAGAAACACAGCGTTGTTGTTGATGCTGGAGAGGAAATAAAGTGATGAAGAGAAAGTGGAGGGATGGAGATTCGGGGGTTCAAGGGTCGGGAGGGACCAATTGGAGAGGCTGGGGCTAGCTTAGTTGAGGGTAGTAGTGCTAGTGGGAAGGGAGCTATCGACGAGCCGGGCGCTTTACAGGGTGGATTTGGGTATCTCGAGTTTTGCATTCCACGATGGTCTGGAATTGGAATGAGTATCATATCACGATATCAAGAGTGAAAGGAGAAGAAGAATTGTTTCATCATACGTCAATGCATTGTAGTCGCAGGCAGTGCAGTATTTGTTAACCGACAGTGGAGGCCATTGTTTGATCCCCTGGCCTGGCCTAGACCTTGTTGCCGTAGCATACCACCACCACATTCTAACCGCCGCCAACTAATCCCTGTCCTCTTCAATCACTTCACTGCACTCAGCCTTGCAAACAACAATCATAATATCATCATTATTTATCGACACTAAATTAAAATGAATACTCCTCAACATGCAGATAAATTCCCTGCGCTCCCGTTCCCTTATGCACAGCTCGCTCGTCACTCAAACGACTCACACAATTCCTCGTTCGTGCCACTATCTCGCGCCCACCACAAACAACAACCCCTGTTTCTCCCCAAGCCTGCTCCACCGGCTCGCGAATCATGGTCTCGATGTCTGGTCTGCGCGTGTATTCGTGGATGAGCTCTGGAACAGTGGTGGTTATCTTGCCGCGGCAGGGGGAATCGCTTGGACAGCCTTTCTCATCTGGACCGTTTGCGCTGCAGCAGCAGCTTGTTGTTGTTCCTTTTACTGGCCGGATGTCGTCTGAGTCGCTTGTGTTTGAGGACTCTGATTCTGGTCGAACGAAAGTCGGCCCTGTTTGGTTGGAGCTTGTTATGGCGATATGGATGCTCACACCGACGCCTTTAGCTCGTACCATTCTGCCAGCCTCTTCGGCCCTTTCGACGTAATATTGGATTTCTTGAGATGTTCGCGCAACGAGGATAACTTCGACTCTTCGCGTGCAATTCGACTTTTGCGCTGCTGCAATGCTTTCGAGGATGGGGACAACGAAACTGGCTCCAGTTGATGCTCCAATTAGTACCAACGTCTCGTAAATGTTCCATTTCGGGGGAACGCCATATGGACCTGATACGAAGCCTGTAAGTTCGGATCCCGAGTTCTTTGTCGCATATTCGTGGATTCGTTTCGAGAATCCGTTATGGGCGCGCACGACAAGCTGTATACTGTTGCAGCAGCATGCGCCTTCGAGTTTGTGCGCACAGGCGATTGTATATGGATGCGCTTCGAAGGGTCCGAGGCGTGGGACCCAGAGGTATATATGCTGGCCGGCCTTCCACTTGAAGTGCACGTCCTTGATGGTAATGACAGTCGTGGCTGGTCCAACAACTCGCGTCACGACTCGATGTCCAAGATGCTTCATGCCCTGACACTCTGTTCCTTGTGGTCGGAAACGGACATTCTGCCATAGTAAAAGCACCCATCTCATGGCTCGGTCAAAAACAAGGAACGAAACACTCATCCACAGCAGCCATCGGGCATTTGAGGGAATATGCTTGTGAAGCAACCACAGCATTATAATACTTGTGAGCACATGCTGAGCCACCCAGACCTCATACGAAAGCCTCCGAATAGGGACGATCCCAGTGACGACATTCCAGAGCAAGATAGCCCAAGCAGCAAGTCCATACTTGACCAGAGGCATAATCTGAAGTGCGTAGTCCAGGAACTCAGCGCGCACCCACATAGTCCAGAAGTGGAAGCCATGAACCGTCGCAGTAACAAACATGGTGCGCGCAACCCATCGATGCAGCCAGTTGAGTCTCTCATGACTGCTCCCTATCAGAAATCCAATGACGTTGACTTTTGTCGATAAAGGGTAAAGGAGCGGGAACTGGGTTAGAGTGACCCATGCGTTGCGATATCCTATGCGTTCCCAGTAGTACACGTCGTTTTGTGAAACCTTCCAGCTCATCAAATAGACGATAACGACCCAATAGCATGCGAGAACTATGATTCGGCCGAGTGGAAGTGGTGTTGCCCATCGAAGGCCATTGATGGGGATGTAATATTGTGGATGACCCATTTCACGGACGACGGCGGTTACTGTCGCCCATGCTTGGCTGAGTGGCCCTCGTGGGCGTGTCGGATGGTCTATTGATGGATCGCGGCATGCTTTTAGTCTGGCGAAGTGTCAGTGTGTTGAACAGGATGTCGTCGATGTGGCATACCTTTGTTGTGCGTCGAGGTAGTTGATGCCGCGAATGGCGGCCAGTGCTCCGACGACACCGGCGATGGTATACCAATATCCACGTGCGAAGGCATAGTTGACTTCCATCCGCAAGCCGGGATCATGATGCATGTGGTCCATATCCATGATGGGCTATGAAGCGCCGATGGCGCGGGTTGGCTGTGATTTGAGTTGAAGGTACGATTCAGACGGCCAGCGTCGTGATGGAGCCGAAGTCTCTTTGATCTTCACTTAGAGCGATATCCTTTGGTGCTTCAGTTATTCATGTTGTCTGCAAGCAAGCCAAGTTTTGTTCCAAGTGCAAGAGTCCAGTTCCCCTCCGACTCTGTGACTTGTCGACACTCGGGTGAGAATGAATGAGCAAGTTGATATGATGAAACCAGTTCTTGGCTTACGGTGACTGATTGTTCCAAGATGTGAAGGTCACAGGCTGCCGGGTATGAAAAGCCCGAGTGCTGATGTTGGATAGTGAAGAAGTTAACCCCGCGGAGTGTGATTGCGAGACGAGATGCCCATCAGATCAGCCACTCGATCGCTTGTATCTGCAACTAACCTCTTTAGATTGGACAATCAAGCGATGTGAGCTTGATACTTTGAGACTACACCCGGTAGTAGAAACGTTGAACAACCGTCAAATTGCGCATAAAATTACCTAAACTCAAACTCCCATCTACCATCTCTTTCAAATCTCCTCCAAAGCATATCCGTTCTATCCGTCCATGCCGAATATCCGATACTTATCACCATCATTAAACCTTCTCATTGTGATTCAGTGACAAAAACTCGCTCACTAACAAGAAAGAAAACTTGCTCAAACAACCTCAGGTCCGTGCACGCTCTTGTTCTGATTGGTTCCTCCGCACGTCAAGGACCCCTGTTTTCTGCGAGGTCTAGACTTTTGGGGTAGGTAAAACGTGCTCTTAATTACTCTCCACCACTAACACGGCATATGGCGATGGTGGCTTACACTGCTAGACTCTGCTGTAGAATTCTCTGTGACATTGGAGAATGGGTTCTGTGAAGCTTTGGGTGTTTTAGATGGACGTTTGATGCGGAATTGGCGTGAATTGCTTCAGGCTAGTGAGATGGCTTGCATTGATGGGAAGGGTTCATCATGGGCGCACAGAGCCTCAATGACGTAGCTTTCATGATGGGGAGTTTGCAGATGTTGTGTATTCATGCTGTGAAACTAGAAATATGTGTAACTTTAGTCGATATTATATCTGACTACATGAGTTGGATAAGTGAAGTATTTGAGTTGGATGCTCCCAATGGAAGGCCATTTCTCACAACGGCCTGATATTTAACACCGTAACATACCTTCTTAGCGAAACACACACTAGTTCAGCCTCTCCCTCATCCCCTTGCCGATATCCGCAGCTCCTACAAAAGCAGCTCAGCCGCCCACCGCTCCAGCTCAGCTCTCAGACCACACACTCAACCCACTCCCATAACACACCAACTCATCAAAATGCGCTCCTCTACCCTCCTCTCAACCGCCCTCCTCTGCGGCATCTCCCTCGCCCACTTCGAAGTCAAGTATCCCGACTCCATCGGTTTCAAAGACGACGACGAGGGCGAGTCTCCCTGCGGCGGTTTCACACCTGACCTCTCCAAGGACAAACTCGTTGACTTTCACGTCGGCGGCGAGGCTATTGCGCTTCGATCTACGCATCAGCAGGGCAATTGGCTTTTCCGTGTGACTCTTAACGAGAAGGCTGATGGCGATTGGGAGCAAGTCTTTCCTATTGTTCAGCAAAGCGGTCTTGGTGATTTCTGCCAGCCTCAAGTTACTGTCCCCGAGAAATACGCTGGCAAGAAGGGCTGGGTGAACGTTGTATCCTCCGCCGTCGACGGTCTTCTCTACCAGGTACGTCCTTGCTCCAAACTTCATAAGTCAATGCTAACAAAAGTCAAAGTGCATCGCTGCCAACTTCGTCAAAGGCAAAGCCGATCCTCCCAGCGACTGCAAGAACGCAACCTCGGTGAAAGCCGCCTTCACCGATGATGATAAACTCTCTGCGCTCGTCGGCAACGGCTCAAAGGCCGATTCTTCATCAAGCGGCACCGCTACAGGCACCGCTACAAGCACCGGCTCAGCTGCATCCTCGACAACGAGCGACAACGCGGTCGCAGCGCTGCAGGCTTGGTCAGCAAACGGCGTTGGCATGATAACTCTAATGACCATGGCGTTTGCCGGAGGAGCTCTACTTATTTAAAAGGTGCACGACATTGGTTGAGAGCGTTGTATTTTTAATCACAAACAGACAGAGAGAGGCAGAATAATTTCACTGTGCCGCTGAACTGCAGATCACCCATCGTTGGAATCCTACGTTAACATTCACCCCCATGCAATGATCAGCGAATATCTGTACCAAACCGTATCCGGAGAACTGCTCCACGCTCAACAACGACATATTTCTCCACAAGCATCTCATTGGACATCTAAGGGTCTCTGGTCTGATGCCGACCACAACAGGGACGGAAAATCCATATTCACCGCCAGCGTCTCTTCTCTCACTCACTTTGCCCTGCCAATTTATACTCCCCCTGATACATCCAATTCCGTATAACATCTGATTCATATGAATTCATTCACCTCTGTACAGTGAGTCAATGGCTTATAATTCGTCACTTTATGTGTTGTATTCTCCCAACAGTAACGCCCTGCGAATAAACCTTTCCCATGTGTGAATCGCCCATCTCCCGAACATAACATAACATAACATAACAAACGCCATTTGTATGTTTTTCACGTCTCTGTTCTGTACAGCTAGCTTTTGCTTTATTATATCTTGAATCCCCCAAGCCATTGTATACCTACCAAGCCAATCTAGCACCCATTGACGTCTTACCTCCATTTATTACGCTTTCAGTTCCCGTTATTACGTTCCATTTAACTCTCACCGTTCATCTCAAAAGCTTCATGAGCTAAAAGCCTTATCCAGTTGATCGACCTTGGAACTCTGGCTGTTTGCCAGTATGGCAGCTGTAGACCTCTACCACGCCAGCTTCTCGAAGCAGCTCTTCAACTACATACCCATAGACCAACCATTGTACCAAACATGGGGTACATCATGGCCGAAGCGAGAAGTGGGCGTCATGCTCAGTCTTGACATTGCTTCATTTTCGATACTTTTGCTTTACCTTTGTCGAACGCCGTTATCACGGTTTACTCCCCGCTGGTTACAACCGTTTGCGCAAGAACCGCAACCGTTTCAAGCTAAGAATCGAAAATGGACTTTTTGGGCTTTATGCTTGATGCTCATTGCCCTCGTTGGGTTGGGTTTGGCTATCAGTTCTGCTATCGTCCATTTGCATCATAAAGCTTCGTTCATGGAGCTTGTGCCTTGGAGTGTTGCGGCGTTGGTTACGGTTCTGCATAGACCTGTTCAAGCCCCCAAGTTGTTGATGTTACAGTATCTCCTCATGATGGCGACGACTCTTACTCTTCGAGCAATCTACTACCTCAGCTTCAAGGCAAACTCAATCAGCCCCTTCGAAATCGGGCAACTCACCCTTGAAATGTTAGCAATCTTGGTCATTATGAACATGCCCCTTCGAAACCCGTTCTGGGGCTCTTCCAATATTGGGAACGCCAAAGTCGCTCCATCAAATCACGTCCGAAGTCCTGAAGATAATCTCACCCTCTTCCAATTCTGGACCATGAGATGGGTAAATCCCCTATCCAAAATCGCCCAAAAACGAGAAATTGCCATTGAAGACGTATGGCAGCTACCCTATGAGTTTCAGCACTGGAGGCTTTATCTGGCATTTCGCGCACTGAAGGGCAAACTTCTTCCATGTCTCATCGAAGCCAACGGTCTGGATCTTCTCATCGGCACGTTCGCAGCCATCCTGGAACGAGTCGCTGAAGTTTCTAATCTTCGTCTCACAAGTAAGCTCTATCAATCTCTTGACAAGAACGACCCCGCAGAAGCTGGACTCTGGTGCGTCGTTATTCTCAGCATCGACACCATCCGTCAAATCGCAAGAACGTCCTCAGGATGGTACTCCCGCAAGGCCTACGAACGAAGTCGCGGCGAGACATTCATCGGTTTATTCAGCAAGCTCCTCACCAGAGCCGTCCCAGGATCTGAAATGACAGAGAAAGATCCTTCAGTTGGTGTTGAAGAGGGTAATGCTCCTTCAAGCCGCTTTGGAAAGTTCTTCAACAAATGCTGTGGCCGCAACAAATCCAGACCAGCAGAGAAACCAACGCCAGACCATCAAGCTTCAAACGCAAAGGTAGTCAACCTAATCCGCGGAGATACTTATGAGATATCCCAACGATTCTGGGAGTTTCCACGCGTTGTAGCAACACCCATAAAAGTCATCGTCACAATCTACTACCTAATCGACATAATGGGCTGGCCATCCTGCGTCGGCTTCGGATTCATGGTCATCTTCCTCATCTGCAACTCTCTCCTCGTTCGTCAGGTCATCAAGCTTGAACGTCAACGAACTGCACATTCTGATCGGAGGGCTCAGGCTGTTGCGCATTTTGTAGAGGCTAGTCGCCCGCTTAAGCTCAATGGCTGGACATCATCGTGGAGAGATCGGATTCTAAGATTTCGAGACGTTGAGATGAGGAAGAGGCTACATATTTCAATTGTTAATGCTGCTATCTCGACAATCAATGTTTTTGGAGGCGCGGTTTATCCGTTTGCGAGTATTTGTTTATACACACTCATCCTTGGACGCGGGTTACCGAACGACGTTATCTGGCCTTCACTACAGCTCTTTGCACAGCTCGAGGCTAGTACCCGCGAAGCTTTTGATCTTATTTCTGCAGTGTGGAAGTGCACTATCCCTGTCGAGCGCGTCAACAAATACATGTCCGAACCCGACCGAGACGAAGACGCCTTTAGCGGTTGTGAAGCGCGCGATATCGAATTCAACAAAGCATGTTTTGCACGCCCCTCAACAGACCATCTTGTTCTTCGCGACTTGACCCTCAAATTCTCAACGGGGTTAACCGTCGTGCGCGGCAAAGTTGGTTCAGGCAAATCTAGTTTATTGCTTGCGATCCTCAACGAGCTGGAGCACCGTAGTGGTCACTTCTCAAGAGCTGATGAACCTATCTCATATGCGCAACAACTTCCATGGTTGCAGAACAAGACGATCAGAGAGAACATTCTCTTCCATGAATCGTTCGATGGTTCGAGATATCGAGATGTTATCAGTGCTTGTGCACTGATTCCTGATTTCGCGACGTTTCCTATGGGTGATCGAACGAAGCTTGAGGAGGGTGGTATTGGACTTTCTGGCGGTCAAAAGGCGCGTGTGGCGCTGGCGAGGGCAGTCTATAGTAGCTGTCGGATTCTTCTTTTGGATGATCCCCTCGCAGCGCTGGATCACGATACGGCGAGTTATATCGTTCAGCGCTTCCTTTGTGGGCCGCTGGCCAAGACGCGAACAATTGTTCTCGTTACACATCGTGATGATCTCGTTCTTCGACATGCTGATCAAGTTATTGATATCAACGATGGTTACGCCCATGTTCTAACGCCAACGGAACTCAAAGAAGAACTCGAGCATCCTCATCTTTTCAACTCTGGCCCTACTGAAGTTCAACCTCACGAAATGTCTAATGAGCATGTATCTGAAGAAATTTCAAGCGACAAAAGCCTTCCTGAAGAAGTTACCGAGACAGGGTCTATTCCTATTGGTATATATCTTCGGTATATGGGTGCAGGAGGATGGCATCTATGGGTGTTTCTATCTTTGTTCTACGGATTATCTCGGTACTGCGACATTGCGCGAGCACGACTCCTCGAAGCATGGGGCCACGAATCTGCAAATTTCGAAACCTTGGTTGAGAGCGACTATTGGGGTCTTCCTAGTCCTAACCAAAACCCTCGCCCTTGGTTATACGTCCTTGCTGGTCTATCAATCGCACAAATCGTCTCATACGCCTCGGCCCAGGTCCTCCTCGCTTCAATCAGCATCCGCGCAGCTCAACGGCTCTTCAGAATCGCCATCGACAGAGTTAGCAAGGCGTCCTTCCGCTATCATGATATCACACCCACAGGCCAACTCAAGAACCGTCTCATCTCCGACATGGGCATGGTCGATGGTGGAATCCTCGCGCCCCTCGAGCAGTTTGTGTTTAACCTGGTCGCTCTCTCACTGAGTCTCCTCGCCATCATGACGCATCAGATCTTCCTTGTCGCGGTTATCTTTGTTGTCGCCATTCTGTTCGCATACTTCTATCGTATATACGTCCCCGCTTCGCGATGTCTACGTCGAATGGAGATGCGATATCTGACTCCTATCATCGCCAACATTGGAGTCATGCAGGATGGTCTTGTAACAATCCGTGCTCTTAAGGTCGAGAGCCGCTTTCAAGATAAGCACTTGGAAGCTGTTGATGACTTTCAGAAGCACGACCATTTCTTCTGGAGTATGACTTTCTGGCTCGACTTTAGACTCGGTATGTCATCAGCCATCATGCGAACCATCCTTGTTCTCTCCATGGTATATATGGGTACACCAGCTAGTGCAGTCGGTTTTGTTCTGACTCAAACCAACATCGCCATGATTGCTGTTCAACAACTCTGCGAGAAGTTTGCAGCTCTTCAACTCGATGCCGTGTCCCTCGAGAGAGTCGATGCTCTGAACCGTATTCCCGAAGAACCCAGCGGTGATATCGAGCCTCCCCAAGACTGGCCCAGACCATGTGATAGTGTACGCTTCCAGGATATGTCATTCAAGTACGCCGACAATCTTCCCTCGGTGCTGGACAACGTATCATTCGAAATCCCTGGTGGTTCGACATGCGCAGTTCTCGGTCGAACAGGCTCCGGAAAGTCAACCATCGCAAACGCTCTCCTCGTAACACAAGCACCATTCTCCGGCGCCGTCTCAATCGGAAGCATGGATCTCGCACACATTAGCCGCACAGCCCTCCGCAACCGCGTAACGTTCATCCAACAAGATCCTATTCTCTTCCCCGGCACACTACACGACAACATCGACCCAGAAGCCAAGTTCTCCGACCAAGAATGCACAAACGCAATCCATCGCGTTCTCGGTACTGACTGGGGTCTCGAAACCCGCATTGACGCGGGCGGAAAGAATCTCAGTCAGGGCCAGAGACAGCTCGTGGGTATATGTCGAGCTGTCCTCAGACGAAGTGGCCTTGTCATTCTCGATGAAGCAACGGCGTCAATTGATCGTGGGACAGCGGCGATGGTTCAGAGGATCCTTAGGCAGGAACTCAAGGAGAGCACTGTCATCACGATTGCGCATCGGTTGGAGGCTGTGGAGGATGCGACGTGGTGCTTGAGGCTGGATAGAGGGAGGGTGGTTGAGTGTGGGCCGGCGGATAATATAGGGAGAAATGCTGGGGAGGCGGCGGATATATAAGGAAAAGTCGTTGCCATTTATTGCTATTTAAGCGTTATAGTTTGGATGAGAAGGTTGATATTGAATGAAACATTGGATAACGTCCATTGCGTATATAAAAGAATATGGCCTCCATTTTGAAATGAAGGGAAGTGAACGGACATTCTGGCCTTATATAAGTGAAGACTTGTGGTAAGCCTGGTAGACATGACGTTGAATCGCTTGACTAACTGCAGACCTCTGTCACGCATCATGACAGATGGGGTACAACACATTGAAATAGGAAGCGGTATGACAGTAGGCAGTCGTGACAGGAATGATCTTGTGGATGACCATTACATGTCCTTTACAAACAGGCATTAGAAGGGATTGTTTGTAACTCGCGTCACGTGAACTATCTGGTGTAGAGACCTCCTGATGGAAGTTTGCCCTCACTTCACACGGATGACTTCTTGGCCAGGTTTCATGTATCGAGAATGTAAAGATGCCTTGAGTATCGTCTCACAACCATGTCGACAAGATCACATTGTTAGTGCAGCCAAGTGATCATAGCAAACAATTACGAACCACAGCAAACTCTGCTACGTTTCATCCCAAACGTCCCCCATCGTCAGTCCCTGAGGAAATTCAAGACTTTGGGGGTTTGCAATATCGGGATGTGGATACAGCATGATTTGCGGTAAGCGGACCAGTCAAATCAGTCTAATTAATGATCTTGGACCCTGGCGGCTGAAATCCCATCCGGGTATAATTTAATGACAGGGACTCTTCCCGTTTTATACCGTGTCTTTCGAATTCACCAGCCCTGGGGGACACAGGTATGAGGCAATTCATAAATAAGTAAAGAAAGGAAGTCTTAAATAGCTTCAGAATGTACTGTAGGAATAGTAATAGCCGTGAATATTTGGCGGAGACCTTCCTGGCCGGGTCGGCTACGACCTCACCGTCGCGGCTCCGCGAGTGGACCCTCCCTTTCCGACATTCTCTCGGAAGCGCCTCAGGTACGCAACCAATCAAACCTCAGATCCGAGTCTCCGAAACTCCGACCTCGAGCTCCGAGTCAATGGAAACATGGAAGGCATATAACATCGGCATCTATCCGTGCCTAACCTATCTGATTAATCCTGAATCTTATCGGAACAGCACGGAAGAGTAGGGTCAGAGTATTCCGCGGTTCAAGGGGGGCACTTATATCCTTTTCTTCATCGGCAATTGATATCCTCTCCTTACAAGGACGGCAGTGCTAGAGTCTTTACCCGACGGTGAAGTATTTCCGGAAATTTATAAAACAGATCTGAGATTTTTGAAAAAGGGTATGGAAATAACTGGAAATCATAGGTTGAGCCCACTTACAGACCTCGGCAAAGCTCGGTCATGCGCTTCACCTTTTCTTGCTGTTGTTTTATTTCTCCCCTTGACGGCGGACGATGGCCGTTTGGAGAGGGTGTGGGTTTTAGTTAAAGGTGTGTGGGTAGAAATAAAGGCTGTGGGGGATGATAATTGGTGGTAGCCATCGTTGAAGTGATGAAAATGAACCAATGATGAAAAAGAGCCCCTGCTTGAAGCTCGTGATCATGAATACGTAAATTCTTCCCTTGACCTGGGGCTGTCATGATATGCTCTGTTCTCCTCACGAATAAAGTTGATTGATTATCTAACGGGGGAGGACCCCGCAATATCACAAGCTCGGCTACCCGTCGGTAAAAGTGCATCGACGTCACTTACAACCAATCTCTCACCGAGCTTCAACGAGCCCAGGTAAATTGAGTCATCTCAAGCTCGTGATCACCAAACATATTTCCTTCAGAGCTCTTACAGTGTAGCATGTGCCACTCTTTTTAAGGACTATTCAGAGGCTCGTTGTCTCGGCTGCATGGAATGATGCTCTGAACCCTGGTCCTCCATCTGCCCGGACCACTGGTGGGGCATTGACTGTCGGTCTAAAGAAACCCAGAGCTGAGGGCCGACGTCAGAGTTCGTGGATATTGTTTTGTGAGGTGGGAGTTTCTTGTGTTGGTTCTGGAAGGGGTTTAGGGGAGTTGCATGTGAGAGACGATGGAACGGCATCTGAGAGAGAGGGTGTGAAGGCATGAATTTCCATACCATGAGATGAGAATACACCTTGGTGGTCAACTATACAGCTTCATGAGCATGTATCTTGACAAAACATGTTACAGATACAGCAATGAATATATTCAATAATACCATATTCACATAAATCACACCTTCGAATGCCGTTTCTTCAGCCAATTCATTGCCAAGGCATCCTCCGAGGTCTTCCATTTTACCCCCAATCCCGTTCCCGTCCATTCCCCAACTCCAACTTATTTTCCCCGTAATCTAGTTTACAATGTGGGGTTCTCCGGACTTCAATCATAACCTTTTGAGGTGTGTAAGTATTAGACCCTCTAGACTCGGTCCATCGCCGACATGGATCGTGGTCATGGCATATGCTACTCTGCTCTTCAATTCTCTTAAATTGTTTCCTTCCTCCGATTTCCGCTCTTGTTCTCTTCTCTCCTCTTAGCCCTCTCTTTCACTTTTTTGTCCCTTTCTCTCTCTCTCGTCTGTTCCTCGAAGCTACCATTAGACTAAAGTAAATAAGCATCCACCGATCCGAACCTCGGCTCTACGAACTCGGCGCAAACTCTCGGATTTGAAATAACTGTTAACTCGGCGCAAGATTGACCGAAAGATCAATTCTGTCGCAATGGCTTCAAAGAATGGGAATGGAAAGAAACAGCCGCCCTCAGCGGCTGTTAACCTCATTGGTATGTCGCGACCAAAGAAACGGTTCTCCATGCGCAATTGTACAGAAACTAACATGAATCGCAGCTGGTGGTGGTGCTGGTATGATGGAAGCTCTCGCCTGCCATCCTCTCGGTAAGCTCCAGTCGCAAACCCCAAAAATCCCACCACAATTAACATGTGAAATAAAAAAGACACAATCAAAGTCCGCATGCAGCTCTCAAGGCGCGCGCGCCAACCAGGTGCCCCCAAGCGCGGCTTCATCAAGACCGGCGCAGCCATCATCGCAAAGGAGACACCCCTCGGCCTCTACAAGGGTCTCGGCGCCGTCCTCACAGGCATCGTGCCAAAGATGGCCATCCGCTTTACGTCCTTTGAGTGGTACAAGCAAATCCTCGCTGATCCAGAAACCGGCCTTGTTTCTGGAAAAGCTACCTTCATCGCTGGTCTATCAGCCGGTGTCACAGAAGCCGTGGCCGTCGTCACGCCCATGGAGGTCATCAAAATTCGTCTCCAGGCGCAACACCACTCCATGGCGGATCCTCTCGACGTCCCCAAGTATCGCAATGCTGCGCATGCGCTGTACACTGTTGTTAAGGAGGAGGGTTTCGGTGCGCTGTACCGCGGTGTGAGCTTGACGGCGTTGAGGCAGGGTTCTAACCAGGCTGTCAACTTTACTGCGTACAGCTACTTTAAGGATTGGTTGAAGAAGTGGCAGCCTCAGTATGAGAACACAAACCTGCCCAACTGGCAGACTACTCTTATTGGTCTCGTTTCTGGTGCTATGGGTCCTATGAGCAATGCTCCTATTGATACTATCAAGACTCGTCTACAAAAGGCTACTGCTGAGCCTGGAGTCAGCGCATGGACACGTATTACTCGAATTGCTGGAGACATGTTCAAGTGAGTCACACATTTCCACACAAGACAGATTAATATACTGACTCTTCACAGGCAAGAAGGAGTTCACGCTTTCTACAAGGGTATCACCCCTCGAATCATGCGTGTCGCCCCCGGCCAAGCTGTCACCTTCACCGTCTACGAGTTCCTCAAGGATAAGCTAGAAAAGAGCAACATTTCCCTGGTCGGAGGCAAGTACGAGGAATAGAGCGGTGGCAATAAACCACAAAATTACCCATCACCAACTGAAGCTCTTGTTGGGGAAACCTTTTACCTAGAAGGACGAACCGCAAGAACGCCAGTCAAACACATATTTTGGAAGCCGCTTGTATCGTCTCAGTTTCTAATCGGTTCACAGTGCAAGTTGCTGTGAAGGAAGCTGAAGAGTCGATCTAAGATGGCAAGATGAGAGGAAAGGACAAAAGAAAAAGAAGGATGAAGAGTATAGAGGGGGAACAAGTATACCATGCATTGGAGTGAAGGGCGGCTTGGGTTCTTATTGCGTGCATGCATCTTGGATAAATACCAGCATTTGTAGCTTGGGCAATTGACTTTTTTTGTGTATCAATCTCAACGTTTATCTAATCCCCGTTTCAAACTGTAGGCGCTGAGAAGACACGACTAATCTGAACGTTTCACCGTGTTGACTCAGATCTCACGAACTCAGAATCATCGGCCAGGTCGCTTCGGTCGGCTAAAGCCCTGTCGGGCCGCAACCTTGGGATGCAAATCCTCCAAAACCGACTGCTCGGTAATCTCACTAGGCTCCTCCACCTCAAACTTCTTCTCAAGCTTAAGACCAGCCTCCCTCTCAGCGACCTCCAGAACGGATCGCTTCATCAGGGGGTACATCATTCGGAACTTGATGGACTTGTTTCCGGGTGTTGACGGGCAGGTGTAGAAGAACAGAATGGGGCTCGACTCGGCACCGTTGTGCGTGTGAGTATAGCGGTAGAAGGTGAACCGCGGCTCAGTTGAGGAGATGGCCTGCGTCAGTTCTGCAATGCCACTTGGCGTGGGTGCCTCGGGGACGAGCTCCACCACCTCGGTATCGGGGTTGATTTTCTATAGAGGGGTTAGTTTATGTGGGATCAGTTCATGTTTCAAGTACTTACCAGCATTGTCACGATTCGGCCACCGTCCTGGCCAACTTCCTTCAGAGCGGCAACAGCATCTTCGGAGATGGGCATAGCAAAGTTCTTGCTTAGATGAATCTCCTTATGACCTGTTCCTGATCCCGCCTCCTGCTCAGCACGCTTGACCTCGCCCAATTGCTGCTCCTCTTCGGTGAGTGGTGCATCCAGCTTATTATGCGCATCATGCTTCTCGAAGCCCTTTACGCTCAATTCCTCGGCTGTCGTAGCAAAGATAGTCTCGCGGAAATGTTCTGTTCCCAGCTCACGCACAAAGGTCAAGCGTGTTGAGGCGAAAAGCATCTTTTGGCGCACCTTCGCAGAGTCGGGGACGTAGGTAATGGCTAGAAATCGAGGAGCGGTGTCGTAGCGACGAAGGATAATGTAGAGAGCGGCATCGGGCTTCAAGTGAGGCGAGAGGCCAGAGAGGTTATCGGAGAATGAGCTCGACTTTGAAGGGATCGTAGCAACGGGGACCAGAGCTTCTTTCTCAATGGTTGCGAGGAGACCGAAGGTGTCGTCCGACGATAGCAGCGAGTTGAACTGGTCCTGCAGCTCCTGAGAAGCTACAATTGTTAGCGGTAGCCCATCGCCAGGGCCTCGATAGTCTTACCTGATATTCCGGACTGCATCTTGTCTATCTCATGGGTTGTAGGTGTAGGTATTGATGTTGTCTTGGGTTGCTCCGTCGTCAGCTCTACCCCGCCACTTTCCCCTGCGTTGGCACTCGGAGCTCCAGTGGGGCCGCCATTCATGCATTGATTTACGTCAGATGTCTCGATTTCCTTACCCTACATTCGCCAAATCTTCTGATATAAGTCGTCAGGTTGGTAGCAGAAAAATAGGGATTCATTGTATACCAAAATATTGGCTGATATAAATATTTTATCACTTGATTAGCCTCTTGCTGCCCCTATCTGGTCGACTATTTCTGGCTGCTGCTCTTGGGATCCCGGTTTTTTTGCAATCTTCCTGGTCGTCTAGTGTCGTATGGGGAACGCGAAGAGGAAAAAAATGAACAACGCGAGGGGGTTAGCTAGATGAGAGATTCATTTATAAATCTCTACATCATGATATGTGGCTAGAAAGATGGCCTGAGTTGATGGTCAAGTCCAGTACATGCAATTCAGAGCGAAGAGAAGATAAATCATCACAAGACCAGGCCGAGTGTCAAAGTAACATCGGACTTCAGTAAACGATCTAAGCAGCTTGAAAGGCTGTGCGTTCTTTTTTGATCACATTAAAATACTGTACACTGTTGACCTAGACGGCCTCAAGATTGCTTGACATCAACCACAGTACCATCCAGCTGCCTACACATGGTTTCCCTCGTGTGCTTCCAAGAGCACATGAATGCGAAGTCGGGTTGTTACACCCCGTCGCTAAATGGCCATGATGACCATGAACAGAAGACCACCAATTGCGGACAGCATCGAGATCTCGAAGCGCCTCGACTCTGACACATCCACCCGGCTTGGTGCCACTGAGGGAATAGGACCCGTCTCTGTCAACAAAGTCTCACTCGTGGAAGGCTCTGTTTGAGACTTGGGCGGAATTCCAGGCACCTCGGTCGTAGAGTCTGGGGCACTCGCTGTTGGGGCCAATGGGGATGCGCTTGAAGGCAGTGTGAGAGTAGATGGGAAATTGATGGTCGACTGTGAAGGTGACTGCTCAGGCTGAGCGGGCGAAGTAACGGGAGGATCAGATGGAATGGAAGTCGAAGAGGGGGGAGTGACTGATGTCACAGGGGGCTGCTGAACGGCATCAGTTGACTTTGGGGGAGCCTGAACAACCTCACTCTGAGGAAGGGGGCCGCCTGGCAGAGGAGACGATGTAGCCACGGGGAGTGCGTCAGAAGCAAAAGAAGCCTGTGGAGCCATGGAGGGAGGGACATCATTGATAGACACAGGCTGGTTTAACGGGTTGTCCAGCTGAGGCACAGGTTCAGAAGCTTGAAGCTCAGCCGGTTCGACAATGAACAAGTTTGAGATGCTGGGAGTACCCTCGGGGCATATTCCACCACACATGGGAGAGTTGGGGTCTTGAGTACATGGGTAGTTGCAAGAGTGTTCGCCGACCGACTTGATGGCGTTGGCATCGTCTCCGCAACGGCAAGCACTGAAAATGTTAGACTTGATGCGATGACCATGCAATAACACTTACTAAGGAGACACCGCGGCGAACATGTGGCCAGCACAAGCGGCCTGACATGTTTCTGGAGTCAAGATACCGTTGGGAAGCGGGACTGGGTTGCTGAAACCCGCAGCATCAACAATAGCACAGCCCCAGTACTTGAACTGCTCTCCATAAGATGTTTGGCCAAGGGCAGCCGTGACGCCAAAGGCAGCGATCAAGAGACGAGAAAACATGATGAAATGGTTTAGAACACGGAATGGAAGTGAAATACAAACGAGAGGAGTTTCGCGGTTCAGGCTTATGGTGCGGGGAGATTGGCTTGAAGAAGATGGAAAGGAAAAAAGTCATGGAGGAGTAAGAAGAACGGGAAGTTAAGAAGGACTTTGAGGGCGTGCTCTGCGCGTGGCTCGGGAAGGAAGACCAGATTCTTCTGAGGAGGGCAGGAGCCGTGGCTGCACCTACCTTACCTCGCTGAACTGTGATCGCTGCCAAACTCCATCTCGACTCGAACAGGAACAAGAACTTTCACTCTTTGCCTTGTTACTAAAAAGGTCTGTTGATGCCTTTAACTGGTGTAAACGAATGGGAGATAGCGTACGACTTTACCTTGCTGAAGTCTCTGCTTGAGGTCTACTAGAGCCTTTATACTGCGAACCTGGGTTATAGGGAGCTCGAATGGCGATCAAAGGAGCGCAAATAAAGCAATAAGAATTCTTGAAGTCATACCGAGAACAAAGGTCCCAAAATTGACTATCTATATCATAGTCTTTTTGAACACCAACTCCGAAAACGCCGTCTACTATTGATATTCGTCACGTCCCAGTATCCGTTTACTCCAAAGGTCTTCTGGCTCATGATCCTAAATACCAGCCTTGTCGAACATCAAACTGAATATTGTGCCAGTGCCTATTCCTTCGAAGCACCGGGATTGGCTGCTGCGGATCTGGCTCGTTCTGATGCTGCCTCCTCAGTTGGAGTGCCAGGCCCAGTTGTCGCAAATCCGGCAGGGGAATCCACATCCATTGGAGTATCACGTCCCAATGTCGCCGGGCTGTTGACTGAAGGTGATGGTGCTTCTACAGCCGCCCCGACGCCTTTCTAATTTCCAGCCGGGGCTGGCGCCTCTGGCGCTTGAGCAGTTGTCGTCGCTGATGGTGGTGCCGTTGCTGGTGGTGCCGCCGAAGCAGCTTCTCCTTGAGGTTCCCACGTCCCACCATTCTTCTCCGCAAGCTCTCGCATAGCATTCGCGTCAATCTTGTTGAAAAGAGTAGTGATTTCAGCAACGTCGCGATCAATTTGCTCCTCCTTCTCTTTGCGATGTTCATCAGCTCTATCAAGAGGTCCAAATACCCAGAGCTCTTTGATTGTACGAGTCAGAGCAAGGAGTTCCTTGATGCTTTCGTACTAATTCATGTCAGCCATGATAATTCCGTGGTGTGCTATCAACTTACCAGTTCGTTAAACTTTCTTTGTGTCTTTAAGCCAGCGGCTGCCATTGTATCGGGGTCTCTGTAGTTCAGCTTGTTCGCTTGGGCTTCGTAGTCGCCCTGCTTTTCCTTATCCATGCCATGGGAAGTGACACAGTTCATCAAGTCGCGGTAGGACCTGAGGATCTCGGAGATGATCTTCTGGTGCTTGTCTGAGCGATGTTAGCCATGTTGATAATATTCGGTCAAGAAGGTCTTACCCATCAGGTTGGTGGGAGTTGATGTATCCATCTTGAATGATGTATTCTTGATAGTAACTATGATTTGAGAGTATTACAATCTTGCAACGTTTTGATGGGTGACTGTAAGTGTGGTTCGTCAAGCTATGAATCTGTTGCTGAAGGCGAGCTTTGACGGGAGCTTCTGGTTGAGCTGGAAAGAAGTGGGGGTGGGGCTTCAATTCCGAGGTGGGAGGGGGCCGAGAACCCAGGCTCAAGAACAGCCTCCGGTTACTGGATGACAATATAGCAAAAGGTTCAGAATGGGAAACATGATTGTGGCGCCTATTTGATACTGATCTCAAGAAGTAGCATAAATTCGATCGAAAGGTAGAACCAGATCGATTCTGTCCGTATTTGTCTTCAGCCCCAGAACTCTGAACCAACAGTACCTAGCTGTTTGGAATGTGACAACTTGACTTCATGTGTTAAAGCCAACTCTAAATTATATCACTTTTCAATGTAAATGCAATGTTCGCAGGGAATAAGAAAACTTCTACCTTTTATTTTAGATGACAAAAATATTTAGATAAATTTAACATAGCTTAATAAGCTTTGAGATTGGCTATTCTTGTCACTTAGGATGGAGGTCTTAAGCTGTCTGGCTTTCTCTGGCATTTGTACTCTTTTGAATGGCCTTTTCAATTATCCCATGATGATGTTACAGAAACTCTACTTGGTGCAGACATAACAGATTGCCCAACCCAATCCTAGACGCCCATCCCATAACCAATAATTCCAGAAACCCAGAAGTAAGGAATACTTGCGCTTCCCTTGCGTCGAAACACTTCCCATGAAAGGCCCCAAATTAAACATGCAGTGTTGACTTTCGAGAAACCCCCATCATTCGTAAAATCCCTATTGGCGACGCGAACCCATTATATTTCTTCCTCGTTTATTTATGGTTGTCCTTTCCATCCACGGTTCTCTCCCTTCCATCCGAGCTGGGGCCAGCCCTTGGGGAGGGTTGAGAAGGGAGGGAGTGTGTATTGGCCTTCACACTTATCTGCCTCACACTTTAAATCGCACATGCCATAGTTCTGGCAATAACAATCGGCAGCGTTTGGACAATTGACTGCGGGTTTGCCAAAGATGACTGTGAAGAGTTAGTCTATCTATCGGTGAGTAGTTGTGTGGGCGTTAAACGTACTGTGCCATGAATATTCAAGAACTCTGCCGCTGAGGTCATCTCCCAAGGCAGACACAATCAGCCACTCACGAAATCGCACATATTCTGCGCGAGGACGCAAGTGAATGGTCTCTCGGCGAACAGCAAATTGTGAACAGCAAGTGACGCCGACCTCCTCGGGAATCTCAAGACTGGGAAATAGCTCCTGGAAAGCGGCCTTGTAGACATGACGGGCGTGAATAGGTTCACCCTCCTTCGCAGGGGCTTCATCCTTGATGGGTCGAATCTCAGCAGGACAACCAAGGACCCAGACACATCGCAAATTGGCATAGCCGACCTTCTTTAGGTTATCGAAACGGAAGTTTTGGAGCAGAGGGAGAGCATCGTAATCGGGGTTATCGTTGTGCCATTGGAAGCGCTCGGCGTGGTGGAAGACGACGTTGCCAGGTAGGGAGTCGTATCGATCAATGATGTAGCTACAGGCAGAAATGTCAGTATCAGGAATGAAAAATTGGGGACAAAACGACATACGTCAGAAAGACCATGGCTTCGCGACCCTTATTCATAGGTACAGTCAGCTTGGCCTTGTTGTCGTCGACCACGTAGATGTTCTTCTTCCATTCAGGGAGATATTGATCAAGCCACGAAACATTTTCATGCTTCATACTTGCGACCACCATCTCGACATCGTTGTCGCCCAGGGCCATATGAGAGTAATCATTCCTATGTTTTCGCGCCGGCGTACTCGAGGGCAAAAGACTGTCGCGGAAGAAGTAGATAAAGAAGACGAAGAAGACAAATGCGCCGATGGTGTTGGCGCGATTCGTACGCTGTCGAGGACTCCAATGACCAGCCATGATGAAACAATGGCGGTCGAGATGGGCGCACGGATAAGGTAGAATTCGAAAGGCAATGAGTGTTTTGAACGGCGACGGGGGATAAATGAGAGTCGAAAGGGTCGGAGTTGAAGTAAGGGTTGACGATACTCGAAGTTTGGTGGTCAAGCACTTTGTTCTTAGGGGGTCTTTGGGATTATCCCTTGACTGGGATGGGGTGACGGGGAGCTCGCCCTTGAATGGATATGGATATGGATTTGGGGCTGTCAGAGCCAGACCCTTCAAAGCCGCAGTGGCTTGGCCGCATCTGGTGGATCGTCTTCATTGGATCCCCTGCGTTAGTGCGTATAGTGAGCCACTGACTTCTTCAACATTGGAGATCAGTGACTATTGCATCTGCGTCATTGAAGTGGTTTGGAATGAAGTGAGTGTTGATCATGATACACATTTAGTGATTGCACTCGTAACGGCCAAAGAGGAAAGTTAACCTTTCATGTGTGACGGGTAGCAAACCGATCAAGCTTATCACCACAGGCGCTCAGAGATCGGACCGCCACGAAGCTTCAAAGCCACCATACCAAGCTCAATGCCTCAATATTATAAGCTTCGGCAACTGCTGCTTTGAGCCATAAGAAACATCGCGCATGCTTTAACAGTCCGGATTAACATATTTTTGGAGTGCCCCCGGCGTAAGCACGAAGACGTAACTTTACAGCTGCTGGAAATCGATTTATTCAGTCAAAATCCCCGTGCCTTTTGTGAGCTGCCACTCAGCCCTATGATCGTGATCACCAACTTCTGGTTAGTCTTCAGAGCTCATGGAGCTCGGCGATCTCGCAACCCCAAACAGGACCTTAAGCAGTACACTCAGAAACGCTTCTGCAGAGCTACGTGTTGAAAAGAATAGAAGACTGTGCGGGATCATGGTAACAGGTTCAAACCACCAACGAGGTGGCTCGCATATTTCAGCAGGCGAGGCGGAAAACCTATGATACCTAGTGACACAATGAATCACGAAGCACAAGCCCATCTGATGAGACTAGCGCCCATCGAGCTTCCCGAGAGACAAAGGCCTATGAAATGAGCAACTCGGACTGGGTATTGGAGTGCAAATCCTTCTTTACATCTACATCATCTCTGCGCTGATGAAGTTTATGGGTTAAGCTGGCAACGTAATGGCCCCCAAAGCCCATGCAACTACTCAAATCGGCTGCATATAGGGCCAAAGCTTGCTCAGATGGATTCTGTCCCTGTGATCCGAGCTGCCAGCTTCGACTGCTCACCCCATTGAGCCCGAATCCTTAGGGTCCTCGATCAATACTTGCAGACACTGCTTCTGCCCGTCTGATACCACGAAATCCACATGGAATGGTCTTTTGAAGCGAGCTGCATTCGGATACTTCATCCTATAGCCTCATCCGCCTCCATGGATTCAGGAAGTGATACGAAGAGATCATGGCAGCGAGACGAAAAAGCTGTGCCAATGGATACAGCTGGAGATGGATAAATAAGTATATTTGAGTGCCTTGAACATACCCGAAGCAATGGAACGAAGCGTGAGCT